CTCGGGTACCTCTGGTTGCTGTTGGGGAGGGAGACCGGTTGTCTCTTCCTCCAATAACACATTCTGCCGCTGGGGAGTGAGACCGACTGTCTCCCCTCCCTGTAAAACATACTGCCGCTGGGGATCTGGGCCGGGTGCCCAGCATCCCTGTAGGGCCGGTAGAGAGACCTCGGTCCCATCTCCACCGGCCACCTCGGTTTCTTCCTCGTCCCACTCTACCTGTGGCTGGAGTTTCTCCCAACGTGCCCACTGGCCTTCCCTCAACGCCCTGTGTTGTAGGTTCCGGGTCACCATGTCCCACACGAACCGCACGTATTTCTCCTCTGGATTGGGTCCGTAAAACTTCAGGTGCAACCCTACCATCGTGCCAAACTCTAGTACGGAGTAGCTATACGCCATGCTTGCTGTAGCCACTGCTGGTTCCATTATGTTGCTGAAGATAAGGACGCTGCACAACTCCACACGTTACCGGTGTCTCCGAGCTGCTTCTCCTCGCACTAGGATGCCATCCCGCCGCTTGCCACCAATGTAACGGATCACCTGGCACCCCGACTGGGTACCTCCGTTGAAAGATGCTCCTAGCGCTTCCAGAGGACTCCAAGCACTCCACCAGACACCATAAGCACCGCAGGCTGCAGCTATCTCCCTTCAGAACGAAGCAGGAACAAGCTCTTACAAGAGCTCAGTGATTATAGCAAGGGAATATGCCTAGCATAGCAATCCCTTGTAGCAGATTCCCCCAATAAGAGACAGGACTCAAGTTGAGGGTAAAAATAGAACTCAGGTGCTGGCACACCCAGCCTGGTTTTTATTACAGTCTTGCAAATACAGGACCGCCCACAGGGAGGTATAAAACAACCAATCACATCACAGTTACATCCCACATATTCCCTCCCCTTATCCTGAGAGGAAACTCAATTATACATACAGTTAAAACATACTTTCTACCCAACTTTCATAACTCTAAAACCATACATCACATTCACATAAAATTACATATTCACAATCAATCCATTCAGGGGAACAACATATTAAAAAATGGCATGAATCAGACCAGGGGTTCAAAAGTTAGTAAAAGTATCTTTTGTTCCCCCTGGCTCAAACAGTAAAAGTAAAACATCCCCACAATGCATCCTGGCTTCCTCCCTTCTGCCCTGGAGATAATTGGAGAAGGAATCTAATTATCTCCAAAGACAGAGCCAAACTCCATTACCCACATGGCAGACAAAAAGACAGTAAAAGACATAAAATTACATACTGACACATTTAGTACATAAAACACACATTTCTACATATCCCCAGATAGCTTGGATCTGACTGCACATTATTAGATGAATGGCACTCAGATCACACGAATAAGCCTTTCTGCAGGGAAAATAAACAGTTTAACCTGCAGGGCCATAGTCCAAAGGCAAGAGGCGGGCAAGCAGCCCCCTCCAAGGACACGTGGCGAGGTCGGTTTTGCCACAGAATGCATCTAAGTATTTACTTTATGTTTGAGATTGCCCATTTTTAAGATGGCCGCCGGGCTGTCTATATGATGTCACATGCCCACATTTCACTCTGTGAGCTATTCAGAGTGAGCAGCGCTCGGTACGCTACGCACTCCACATATTGGAGATACGTGCGTCCCAATGCGCTATAACATTGTTATTTTCTTTATTTTCTGTGCCGCAAATAGATTTCAGTTTGGTGCGAGCGGCACGCCATTTCCGGTGTGACGCGCGTATCGCGTCACTTCCGGTATGACGCGTGCGTGTCAACCGGAGCTCAGAATCAGGAAGTAACCCAGCAGGAAACTATCACCTCATTAACCAGGATATAAAAACGGACTTTTGGACCCTTCACCACACTTCTGAAGAAGCCTGTTTAGGCGAAACGCGTTAAGTGGGACTTTTATACATATCTTTTATCCAATATTGTTTTATTTTATTATATTAAAGTATACTTTGTTAAAGTTACTTTTTTATATATATTATTTCTTTACTTCCTGGATCCTGCATATCCTTGGTGGGGATTATACCACCTAGGCTGTTTATACTAGAGCAAGTTATATGCTCTGGAAATTGTAAGTACATTACTTTTATTATTGAATACACCATCAGTACTTACTTCACCATATTGCTGCTATCTCTTTTTATGTCTATTATGCACACTGCACTTTGAGAACATCCGTGGCAATTACTACGAATCCTTAGACGGGGATTGTACCGTCCAGGCGCTTCACAGTAGAGCTCTGTTATAGCTCATCCAAATGTGAGTGGATTGCACACAGCTATAATTGCTCACATTTTAATATTTTATTCCAAATATTTAATTTACTGTATTGCACTATTATTCTGTATTTTAATCTTTTTGAGGTTATAAACGATTGGAATATTCAAGGATATATGTATGTATCTTCTTGTACATAAATATCACTAGGCGCGGTATACGCCTTCTGTTTTCTTTAGAGCTATTATATGCCTGAGATATGACATACGGTGTTAATAATAGAGATATTATATGGCTGATATTGTAAATGAGGCATTCATAATAAGAATATTGTATGGCTGGGATATTACATACGGTGTTAATAATAGGGATATTATATGGCTAAGATACTACATACGATGTTAATAATAGAGATATTATATGGCTGATATAGTAAACGCGGCATTCATAATAAGGATATTAAATGGCTGAGATATTACACACGGTGTTAATCATAGGGATATTATATGACTGAAATATTACATGAAGTATTAATATTAAGGATACTATATGACTGAGATATTACACTTGTTGTTAATAATATGGATATTATATGGCTGAGATATTACACACAGTGTTAATAATAGGGTTATTTTATGACCGAGATATTACACACAGTGTTAATAAAAGGGATCTTACATGCGGCATTAATAATAGAGATATATGGCTGATATATTACACGTGGCATTTATAATAGGGATATTATATGGCTGAGATACCACATGCAGCGTTAATAATAAATATATTATATGGCTGAAATATTACCCCTGGCGTTATTAATAGAGATATTATATGGCTGATATATTACATATGGTGTTAATAATAGAGATAATACATGGCTGAGATATCACACATGGTGATAATAATAGGGATATGATATAGCAGAGATATTACACGTGGCGTTAATAGAGATATTATATGGCTGACATATTACATGCAGCGTTAATAATATCGATAATATATGGCTGAGATATTACACGTGGCGTTAATAATAGAGATATTATATGCCTGAGATATTACATATGGTGTTAATAATAGAGATATTATATGGCTGATATTGTAAATGAGGCATTTATAATAAGGATATTGTATGGCTGAGATATTACACACTGTGTTAATAATAGGGATATTATATGACTGAAATATTACATGAAGTATTAATAATAAGGATATTATATGAGATATTACACTTGTTGTTAATAATAGGGATATTGAATGGCTGAGATATCACACGCGGTGTTAATAGGGATATAATATGGATGAGATATTACACATGGCATTAATAATAGGGATATGTGGCTGAGATATTACACATGGCATTAATAATAGGGAAACAATCTGGCTGAAATATCACACGTGGTGTTAATAATAGGGATATAATATGGCTGAGATATCACACGTGGCGTTAATAATAGAAATATAATATGGCTGAGATATCACACGTGGTCTTAATAATAGAGATATCATATGGCTGAGATATTAAACATGGCGTTTATAATAGAGATATTATATGGGTGAGATATGGTTTACGAGAATATGTTTTATATGATATGTTGTATATTATAAGAGGTATGGTATTATCTATCTAAAATGTTAATGATAAGGATATTATATGACTGATATATTATACACAATGTTAATAATTAGAGATGTCGCGAACTGTCTGCCGAACTGTTCGCCGGCGAACAATAGCGTGTTCGCGTTGGGCGATCATATCCGATTTCTGGTCCGCCCCTATACGTCATCATTGAGTAAACTTTGACCCGGAACCTCACAGTCAGCAGACACTTCCTGGGAGGGAGGGTCTGCTGCTGATTGGGTAGAATGTGTCTGCTGGCTGTGAGGTTCCGGGTCAAAGTTTACTCAATGATGACGTATAGGGGGCGGACCGGAAATCGGATATGTTCGCCCAACGCGACCACGCTATTGTTCGCCGGCGGACAGTTCGCGAACAGTTCGGCGGACAGTTCGCGACATCTCTATTAATAATAGGGATATTATATGGCTAATATATTATCTATGAGATTATGTTTTATATTATATGTTATATACTATAAGAGGTATAGTATTATATGTCTGAGATATTATACACAGTGTTAATAACAGGGTTATTATATGACTGAGATATTACATGCAATGTTAAAGGGACACTATAGTCACCAGAACAACTACAGCTTATTGAATTTGTTCTGGTGAGTAGAATCATTACCTTCAGGCTTTTTGCTGTAAACACTGTCTTTTCAGAGAAAATGCAGTGTTTTCATTACAGCCTAGTGATAACTTCACTGGCCACTCCTCAGATAGCTGTTAGAGATCCTTCCTGGGTCATAGCTGCCTAAAATGCATCCAAACATTCAGTGTCTCCTCCCTCTGCATGCAGACACTGAACTTTCCTCATAGAGATTCATTGATTCAATGTATCTCTATGAGGAGATGCTGATTGGCCAGGGCTGTGTTTGAATCATGCAGGCTCTGCCCTGATCTGCCTCCTTGTCAGTCTCAGCCAATCCTATAGAGAGGCACTGTGATTGGATCAGGCCACCACAGCTTGTTTTTCTGAGGCAAACAGCATGCAGATATACAGCTTCAGGCTTGAATACAAGATTTTGCTATATTTATAGAGGCATTAGGGGCCCGGGGGGCTAGATGGTGGTTTTAACACTATAGGGTCAAGATTACATGTTTGTGTTCCTGACCCTATAGTGATCCTTTAATAATAGCGGAATATTATACGGCTGAAATTTCACATGCATTATATTAAACAGGTACTGTATTCTTTATCCTCATTCTATATTGTTTATGTTTAACCCTTTACCTTCTTGCAGTGTGACGAGTCTCCCTCAGAGGATTTATGGAGAGAAAATGGAGATGGGGCTGCAGCTGGGAGTAGACCCTCCATGGAGATTGGCACCTCTCAGATATCACAACTCAGCCGAGATATAAACCAGGTAATATTTACTAAAATTGATTTTTGCATACTGTATCAGGATGAGGGGTCACGGTCAGGTCCAGATTAAGAGCCCATTGGGCCTGGTGCTGACAGTAATGATGGGCCTAATTACAGAATCTTATCGACCAAAAACACTAAAACAGTCATTCCTCCCAAGCGTCATGTATCTGATGGAGATAGTGTTGGAGGGAAACTCAAAGGATGCAGCTATAAGAAAACACATACTCTATACTAATCTCTAATTTATGCTTTCATCGTTTAAGTAAATCCATACCCTCTAACAGCAGTGTCCAGTAAAGCAGGAAGTCAATGGGCGGGGTAAAAGGGTGGGCCACTGACGCAAATCACATGACCAGAACTGCCAAAAGGGGCGAACATGTCCAAAAAGGGGGCATGTCTGTCCAAAGAATTGGAAGGCCAGCCTGGCATCAGTGTCCCTGTGTATCACAGTGTCAGTGTCCTCATGTCACCCAGTCCCCTAGTCTTCCAGTGTTCTCATTTCTCCCCGTGTCCCCATGTCTCAGTGTTTCCCGTGTCATTAGGATACATAGGGACACAGTGAGACACAGGGACTCTGAGAGACCCGGGGACACTGAGACGCTTGGGGACACTGGGAGACATGGGGGCACTTGTGGATACAGACATGGGGACACTGGGCGATATGGGGACACTGGGAGAAATGGGGACACAGACATTATGGACACAGAGACATGGGGCACAGACCTTTGGGGACACTGGGAGAAATGGGGATACAGACACTAGGGACACAGAGACATGGGGACACAGACAATGGGAGACAGTAGGGACACTGGGAGACTAGGGGACACTGGGAGACATGGGGACACTGAGACACTAGGGACACTGGCTGAGAGGCATGGGGACACTAAGACACTTGGAGACACTGGGAGACATGGGGCACTTGTGGACATAGACATGGGGGCACTGGGAGACATGGGGACACTGAGACACTGGCTGGGAGACATGTGGACACTGGGAGACATGGGGACACAGACATTTGGGCACACTGGGAGCTATGGGGACACAGACACTGGGAGCCATGGGGACACTGAGACATTAGAGACACTGGCTGGGAGACATGGGGACACTGGGAGACATGCAGACACTGTGTCCCTAGTGTATCTGTGTCCCAATGTGTCTCCCAATGTCCCTATGTTTCACAGTGTCCCTAGTCCCTTGCATGTGTCTCAGCATCCCTCTGTCTCCCAGTGTCCCCTAGTGTCTGTGTCCCCATGTGTCCCCTAGTGCCTCAGTGTCCCCATGTCTCCCTGCTGCCTTTCCCCCCATACTTCACTTACCTGAGCTGTAGTCTGTCTCTGTAGGCTGGGAGCTGCTGTCTGGCCTCTCTGTGCTGTGTAGCTGCTCCCCCGCAGATCAGTGAGTAGAGGGAATGATATGCTGTAACTTCCTATCCCTGCCTCTCTCCACACACAGTGACCCCTACTGGCCGGTGCTGGTATTGCAGAGTAATCTCAGTTTATACTGAGAAAAATATCTGCATTTGTACTGCCAGTATTACTGCAATACCGGCATGGCCAGGCAGCCTCAAATACCGACTGTGCTGGTAAAATACCAGTCAGGTGGCAAACCTTAGAGTAGTGTGTAAAAAATAAAAAGGAAAAAAAACATTTTTTTATTTTTATCTTTTTTAATGGGCCTATTCCATGGGCCTGGCCTGGAGCTGCAGCTCCATCAGCCCCTACGTTAATCCAGCCCTGGTCATGGTGTGATTTCCCGTGACCCTCAAGCCCACCCCATTAACTGTTATCCCCCAAACTCACCTTTTTGTTTTTCCCAATATCAGCCAAATTGTCTTACCACTAAGCTTACCCTCTTACCTGTAACCCCAAAGTTCACTAATTTCCTACTAACCCAAGCTCACCCCATTTCCAGTTACTCTAAGCTAACCCTAATTTTATATCACTCTAAGCTCACCCCATTTCCTATTATTCTAAGCTCACCGTATTTTTATATCACTCTACGCTCATCCCATCCCAAGATCAATGTGGCGGACCGCCTGGCACCCCGAATGGGTGCCTTCACCAATTGTTGCTTCCTAAGCACTCCAGACACCATAACCACCATAAACCCCACAGCCAGTGTTACAGCTTGATTGGGGTTTTGCTGTCCTCCACCCACCCTGGACCCAAGGCCAGGGTCCAGCTTCCAGTTGGTAGACCACTCCTAGCCCAGTGAGTAAGGCAGCTGCTCTTACAAGGGAGTATAATGAGTATAGCAATCCCCAGAGTGAATATAGCTGTCCCCTCCAAACATGAGACAAGGATCTATGTTAAGGGTGAAGTTGAACTGTTTAATGGCAGCCTCAACTGGCCTTATTTGCAGGTCCCCATGCAAGTGGTTTACTCTAACATATTCCAGGGGCATTCCCCACTGGACCTGAGAGGGGACTATGACAAATCACACACTTTACTTATGTTGGCTCTCAGGTCCAGGACACTCCCACACAAAATATGGTAATCCCAAAACACATGGAAACCCCACAAAAGTTACATCCCCTGAGAGCCCCGATTTGGATCAGTTCAGGGGTTCGGGATTTCCATGGAGGTCATAATTTGACCGACTGCACACGAGGCTCCTGCCCAAAACAGATCCATGAAATCAGGCTGTGCGGTCGTTCTCTTTCAGGAGTTTACAATACAACAGAAATACGAATGCAACCAGTTCATATGTACACTCTGTATCTGTGTCTGAGTCTGTGTTTCTTGTTCAGGAGTGTGTTTCCACCGAATGCCGCTCTTCTCAAGTGAATCCAGCTGAACGTATGAAGAGATAGAAGTCCCAGCGGTGTTCGCGCCGTCGAGGGTCCGATTATAGTTCCATGCACTCGACGACCAAACACAGCTGTATGTGTTCGCAGCTAACGATGGCTGCCGCCACGTGTTCGTCCATACGAACATTGGCCACCCAGCCGACATTTTAGAATGTCGTAGTTAACAAGGTCAATAAGGTTAACGAGCGACACACTCCACTTCCAGGTGGTCCAACTGTTCGGTAGTTGGTTCGGCATACGAACAGCATAATTATATTCCGTTCGGTAAATACTATATACCAAACCAGACAAGGGAACAGGCATGAACAAAGCCTTTTTATAGACCTGAACCAAAGTCTCACACATGGGCCATAGTCCTGAGGTAAGAGGCTGGCCAGCAGGCCCCTCCAAGAACCCGTAACGAGGTTCAGTTTCGTCACAATCACCCCATTTCCAGTTATTCTAAGCTCACCCCATTTTTATATCACTCTACGCTCACCCCATTTTTATATTATTCTAAGCTCACTCTATTTTTATATTTCTCTAGGCTCACCAGATTTCCTGTTATTTGAAGCTCACACTATTTTTATATCACTCTATGCTTGCCCCAACTTATATTACTCCAAGCTACCCTATTTTTATATAACTAAGCTCACCCCATTTTATATTTCTCTAAGTTCACCCTATTTTCTCACCCTATTTTTGTACAACTCCAAGCTCACCCCATTTTATATTACTGTAAGCTCACCCTATTTTATATAACTAAGCTCACCCCATTTTATATAACTCCAAGCTCACCCTATTTTTATATAACTACCAGCTCACCCTATTTTTGTATAACTCTAATCTCACGCCATTTTATATTACTATAAGCTCACCCTATTTTTATAAAACTAAGCCTACCCCATTTATATTACTGTAAGCTCACCCCATTTTATATTACTTTCAGCTCACCCTATTTCTATATAACTAAGCTCACCCCATTTTATATTACTGTAAGCTCACCCTATGTTTGTATAACTCTAACCTCTCCCCATTTTATATTACTTTCAGCTCACCCTATTTTTGTATAACTCTAAGCTCACCCCATTTTATATTACTCTAAGCTCACCCCATTTTATATTACTATAAGCTCACCCTATTTTTGTATAACTCTAAGCTTACCCCATTTTATATAAATTCAAGCTTACCCCATTTTATATTACCGTAAGCTCACCCTATTTTTGTATAACTCTAAGTTCAAGCTATTTATATATAACTAAGCTCACCCTATTTTTGCATAACTCTAAGCTCACCCCATTTTATATAACTCTAAGCTCACCCCATTTTATATTACCGTAAGCTCACCCTATTTTTGTATATCTCACCCTATTTTACATAGCTCACCCTATTTTTGTATAACACCCCATTTTCTATTACTCTAAGCTCACCCCATTTTGTATTACTCTAAGCTCACCCTATTTTTATATAACTAAGCTCACCCCATTTCCTATTACTCTAAGCTCACCCTATCACATGCTTGCCCCATGTCCCTTCACCTGCTGGCTGGGAGAACGAACCACATCTCCACTAACCTGACTGTCTAGTGTTTCTACTGTTTAGTGTTGTATAGTAACTGTGTGAATAACAGTGCTGCATGGTACGCCCCCAGGGTGAGGACTCAGCAGGGTACAGGATAGTGTAAACACCAAGCATCTCTACAGTAACAGTAACACAATCTGGGACTGTAATCCATTTCTCTCTGTTTTATTCAGGCTGAGACCTGGATTCGAGATAAACTACAGTATTTGAGGGATCAGTGCCATGCGTGCCCTCTCCAGGACTGGGAGCAGGAGACTCAGACTATAGAGAAAGACATCAGAGACTTCGAGGGCACAATAATGAAACTGAGCCAGGTACAGAGGAGGCAGCGTGTTTGTAGAATAATGTGCAATGCTGTGGGTTCAGGTATGAGGCTGGGAGTTCAGGTATGAGGCGGTGGGTTCAGGTATGAGGCTGTGGATTCTGGTCTGAGGCTGTGGGTTCAGGTATGAAGCTGTGGGTTTAGGTCTGAGGCGGTGGGTTCAGGTATGAGGCTGTGGATTCAGGTATGAGGCTGTGGATTCAGGTATGAGGCTGGGGGTTCAAGTATGATGCTGGGGGTTCAGGTATGAGGCGGTGGGTTCAAGTCTGAGGCGGTGGGTTCAGGTATGAGGCTGGCGGTTCAGGTCTGAGGCGGTGGGTTCAGGTATGAGGCGGTGGGTTCAGGTAAGAGACGGTAGGTTCAGGTATGAGGTTGTGGGTTCAGGTAAGAGGCTGTGGGTTCAGGTAAGAGGCTGTGGGTTCAGGTATGAGGCTGTGGGTTCAGGTAAGAGGCTGTGGGTTCAGGTATGATGCGGTGGGTTCAGGTAAGAGGCTGTGGGTTCAGGTATGAGGCGGTGGGTTCAGGTAAGAGGCGGTGGGTTCAGGTATGAGGTAGTGGGTTCAGGTAAGAGGCTGTGGGTTCAGGTAAGAGGCTGTGGGTTCAGGCTCTGAGGCTGGTCCAGGCATGAGGCGGTGGTCTGGTAAAAGAGGCTGTGGGTTCAGGGTATGAGGCTGTGGGAAGGTTCAGGTATGAGGTCAGGGGTTCAGGCATGAGGGGCGGTGGGGTTCAGGTATGAGGCCGTGGGTTCAGGCATGAGGCAGTGGTCTGTGGGTGGCATGAGGCTGTTCAGGGCAGAGGCTCTGTGGGGGGTTCAGGTGGTAAGAGGCCAGGGGTTCAGGTATGAGGGGCTGTGGGGTTCAGGTAAGAGCTCCTGGGTTCAGGTAAGATGCTGTGGGTTCAGGTATGAGGCTGTGGGTTCAGGTATGAGGCTGTGGGTTCAGGTATGAGGCAGTGGGTTCAGGTATGAGGCGGTGGGTTCAGGTATGAGGTTGTGGGTTTAGGTATGAGGCTGTGGGTTCAGGTTTGAGGCTGTGGGTTCAGGTATGAGGCGGTGGGTTCTGGGTTCAGGTATGAGGCTGTGGGTTCAGGTATGAGGCTGTGGGTTCAGGTATGAGGCAGTGGGTTCAGGTATGAGGCGGTGGGTTCAGGTATGAGGTTGTGGGTTTAGGTATGAGGCTGTGGGTTCAGGTTTGAGGCTGTGGGTTCAGGTATGAGGCGGTGGGTTCAGGTAAGAGGCTGTGGGTTCAGGTAAGAGGCTCTGGGTTCAGGTATGAGGCTGGCGGTTCAGGTCTGAGGCGGTGGGTTCAGGTATGAGGCGGTGGTATGAGGCTGTGGGTTCAGGTAAGAGTGGGTTCAGGTATGAGGCTGTGGGTTCAGGTAAGAGGCTGTGGGTTCAGGTAAGAGGCTGTGGGTTCAGGTATGAGGCTGTGGGTTCAGGTAAGAGGCTGTGGGTTCAGGTATGAGGCGGTGGGTTCAGGTAAGAGGCTGTGGGTTCAGGTATGAGGCGGTGGTTCAGGTATGAGGCTGTGGGTTCAGGTATGAGGCTGTGGGTTCAGGTAAGAGGCTGTGGGTTCAGGTAAGAGGCTTTGGGTTCAGGTATGAGGCGGTGGGTTCAGGTAAGAGGCTGTGGGTTCAGGTTTGAGGCAGTGGGTTCAGGTATGAGGCAGTGGGTTCAGGTATGAGGCTGTGGGTTCAAGTATGAGGTTTTGGGTTCAGGTAAGAGGCGGTGGGTTCAGGTATGAGGCGGTGGGTTCAGGGATGAGGCTGTGGGTTCAGGTATGAGGCGGTGGGTTCAGGTAAGAGGCTGTGAGTTCAGGTTTGAGGCGGTGGGTTCAGGTAAGAGGCGGTGGGTTCAGGTATAAGGGGGTGGGTTCAGGTATGAGGCTGTGGGTTCAGGTATGAGGCTGTGGGTACAGGTATGAGGCGGTGGGTTCAGGTATGAGGTTTTGGGTTCAGGTATGAGGCTGTGGGTTCAGGTCTGGGGCTGGGAGTTCAGGTCTGAGGCTGGGGGTTCAGGTATGAGGCTGGGGGTTCAAGTTTGAGGTTGTGTGTTCAGGTCGGAGGCTGAGGGTTCAGGTTTGAGGTTGTGTGTTCAGGTCGGAGGTTGTGGGTTCAGGTTTGAGGTTGTATGTTCAGGTCTGGGGCTGGGGGTTCAGGTCGGAGGCTGGGGGTTCAGGTTTGAGGTTGTGTGTTCAGGTCTGGGGCTGGGGGTTCAGGTCGGAGGCTGGGGGTTCAGGTTGGAGGTTGTGTGTTGAGGTCGGAGGCTGTGGATTTAGGTTTAAGTCTCTGGCTTTAGATTTCACACTGTCGGTTTAGCTATGGGGCTATTAGTGTTAGTGCAAGGTGCTCATATAATCACACAATGTTGTAAGGATGCTAGAAGGACCAATCCTCAATTATTACACTACAGACCAATGCCTAATGTCCCTCCTTCAGATCGGGGAACATATCTCCAAAGGTCATACCACCAGCTCGTCATCGCTTCAAGCCCAACTCCAGTGCCTGAGGGACCAATGGCAACTACTAAAACAAACAGCGGCCAATCAGAGCAAAGCAATTGGAGGAGCTAAGACTCTACAGGAGTTTAATAAGAAAGCGGATGAACTGGAGATTTGGATGAGAGAAAAGGTCTGTAACCTAAACAGTCCTATAACATGAAATAGTGCCTGATACAGTGTATAACGTTACCCTAAACAGTCCTTGTAAGGAAACCAAGTATATTTAAACCTCCTTCGGTAGTTTCCTCCCGAACCGCCAGAGCCTTAGTGATTATAGCCCTCTATTCGGTAGATAGGGTAGACGAATTCTATAGCAATTCCAATAGCTTCACAAGATGATTCCATTAGTGAAACACACGAATCCCCAAACATGAAGTAAAGAAGAAGGGTACAAAATGAACTGGCCTTTAATGGGTGCACACAGGCTTTTATGCAAGTCCCCATGCAAGGGGACAGCCCTCAGGGAGTGACAAACATTAACCAATCACATACAGTAAAACTTCAACACACACCCACAGTTTCCTCCCCTAGCCCAGGAGATAATTCAGTCTGATAAAAGAATAACTTAATTATCTCCGGGCTGAAAAACCACCTTTTTCCCCAATAACTGGAACACCCCTTTATACTTGGGGTATGCCCACAATTCACATGTCCCCTGATAGCCCTGATCTGGGTGACCCCATATCTGAATTTCACCCAGATCGGTTCAGGGGTTCGCAAAAACTATGGAGGTCTTCTGTGACCGGCTCACCCTGCACTGCATGCCCAAAACAGTTCCATGAATTTGGTGGGTTTTGCCCGTCATTTTAGGAATAGCAGAAAAACGAACAAAGTACCGAATTGATCCCTCTGGCTCCTAGCAGCGTTCGTGCCCCTCTGTCGAATACACCAAAGTACCGAATAGCGCTCTTCCAGCTATTCGGTAAATAGAGTTCCAGCGTTCGTCTGTTTTGGACCGGTGTTCGGGAAGTCGAGTGTCCATTTTCAGTTCCATGCACTCGACGACCAGGTCCCGCTGCCTTTGTTCGCATGAACAAAGATGGCCACGGTTTTCTCTGCCACGTGGCGTTCGACTGTACGAACGCTGGCCGCACAGACAGAGGTAGCAATTTCACTAGACTTTGAAATGAGCCAGAGGGGTGGTCCTTGTTCGGTAGTTACATCTACCGAATGCAATGGGCAGAAATAATGTAACAAAAAGGGAATGCAATGGGTATACATAATACAACAAAAGGGGATTTCTTCACACTGCTCCCCTATAAGTCCATAGGTCGGCATACCCGCCTAGACCCTGTCGGGTTGGCTTGGGGATGTCCGAGAAAGGGTCTTTAAGCGTCCAGGTTAGTCTGTCGGGACAGACCATCCGCATTACCGTTTTGATTGCCCGGACGGTATTGCATTGTGAAATTGTATGGCTGAAGTGCTAGGCTCCACTGTAATAGCCTGGGGTTGTCCCCAGCCACTCTGTTTAGCCACACAAGGGGATTATGATCAGTCATGAGCGTAAATGGTCGGCCGTACAGATAAGGTTTTAGTTTCTTGAGCGCCCACAGCAGGACTAAACACTCTTTCTCCACGGTGGCATAGTAAAAGGTAGGCCACCGGGTGTTCCATGCCGTCGTCCCCCACTTGGCTTAAGACGGCTCCCAGCCCAAACATGGAGGCATCTGTGTGGACAAGAAATTGTTTAGTGTGGTCGGGTGCTGCCAACACAGGAGCCTCATTTAATGCCGCTTTAAGTTTCTGGAAAGCTTCCGCGCACTCTGGGGTCCAGTTTACCTGAGCTTTTTAGTGAGGTCAGTGAGAAAAAAGGGCGCTATACTCGGGGACAAATTTCCGATAATAACCGGCTGTTCCTAAAAAGGCTAAGACCTGGGTTTTGGTACCGGGTTGGGGCCAATTCGCTGTGGCTTCTATTTTGGCAGGCTCTGGCCGCTGCCTACCTGAACCTACCCTGTGGCCGAGGTACTATACCTCGGCCATGCCGGCATGACATTTGTCGGGCTTCAATGTGAGCCCGGCCAGGTGAATTCGCTTGAGTACCCTGGACACGTGCCCCAGGTGATCCCTCCATGTGCGGCTGTAGATGGCAATATCTTCCAAATACGCACATGCAAAGTCCTGGAACCCCTCCAGGAGCCTGTCGGCCATCCGCTGAAATGTAGCCGGAGCATTCTTCATCCCAAAGGGATGTTTAATGAGCCAGAGGGGTGGTCCTTGTTCGGTAGTTACATCTACCGAATGCAATGGGCAGAAATAATGTAACAAAAAGGGAATGCAATGGGTATACATAATACAACGAAACATGAAATAGTGCCTGATATCACGTATAACGTTACCCGAAACAGTCCTATAACATGAAATAGTGCCTGATACAGTGTATAACGTTACCCTAAGCAGTTCTATAATATGAAATAGTGCCTGATACAGTGTATAACATTACCCTAAGCAGTCCTATAATATGAAATAGTGTCTGATACAGTGGATAACGTTACCCTAAGCAGTCCTATAATATGAAATAGTGCCTGATACAGTGTATAACGTTACCCTAAGCAGTCCTATAATATGAAATAGTGCCTGATACAGTGTATAACGTTACCCTAAGCAGTCCTATAATATGAAATAGTGCCTGATACAGTGTATAACGTTACCCTAAGCAGTTCTATAATATGAAATAGTGCCTGATACAGTGGATAACGTTACCCTAAGCAGTCCTATAATATGAAATAGTGCCTGATACAGTGGATAACGTTACCCTAAGCAGTCCTATAATATGAAATAGTGTCTGATACAGTGTATAACATTACCCTAAGCAGTCCTATAATATGAAATAGTGTCTGATACAGTGTATAACGTTACCCTAAGCAGTCCTATAACATGAAATAGTGCCTGATACCATATACAGTCCCATTGTATGTTTTATTAGCCAGACTCATTTATATAAACAGAATAAGGTGCGCTGTAAGTTTAAACACCAATCCTTTCCCACTCTTATGCAATCATAAAGTGCACTATACCTTTAAAGTGTAAATAAAGTGTACCCTTAAGTGCACAATTTTCTTAATAAAGTGCAACAACCAGTGAAAATATAAAACAATAGTGTACACACACTTATTTATAAAGGGCATATAATGGCACGGTTTCTAGTAGAGTGCTAAATTAATCATGTAAGCACACCTATTACTAAAGAGCATCAAACATTAAACCTTATAGTGCAAAATGGCTTCAAAGTGCATAAAATTCACCGACAAAATGTGTTCCATTCATTGAATATGTAAAAAGAGAAATGGAACTATATAGTGTAATAGGCAGCGGCTCACATACACAAATCTTTATTCAGAAAAAATAACACTCGCTATAAAAGAAGTCCCCCACAGGCAGAGTGCTCCAATCACTGTTCGGTTCTCTTGCCGGCTCCTGAACTTTTCGAGTGAGAGATAAGAGTGGGAAAACGTAAGAATTGTATTTTAAGGTACAGTGCACCTTATTTTGTTATATACTGATGTAGCGTATTTTACGAGCTATTGCACTTTGATAGGTGCTGCTATATATTGTTTAAATTTTATTGGAAATATTTATTTTAGAAGACGAATATGCGCCATTATTGGAGATTTTTTATCATTTTTGTTCAGGAATAAGTTGTAATTTAAATGTATGTGATGTATATAATATACTGCTATAGGGTTTGATATTTTACATTATTTAACCCAGTGACAGCCCCCCTCCAAACTATTAGTACATTTTTATAGTATGCGTTGATGTCCCATAACTATAGGGTCTAGAATTAGATTGTGGACTCTGTTTATACTGTAATATGGATTAAGGCTTCTCTCATTTATATCATTTGTTTTTCTATATGTGCAGGAAGAGAAGCCCTCACTCCCACTCCTTCTGGATGAAAACTTTGATAAAGTGCGATTAACGAGACAAATCCTTGATTTGAAGCAGGTAGAGCTGCGTTCCTTTTTATTATAAAAACTCTGGTTCGGTAGTAATAAGATATTTCTGAATATCGCTCTTGCATACATTCACGTAAATAACGGATTTCCTCTAATGCATAATTCGGACACAAAATGGCCTCCTATAACCCACTTACCAGTTATTGTTTAGTTTCCATGTGGCAGTCCTCGGTAACTTTACAGCTGACCATTGACATAACAAGTCCAAAAGGGATCAAAGAGAGCCCACTTTTGAAGTACGTTGCTCAATATATTTTAACCATAATTTGCAGTTTTATATATCAGTCTGGGTTACAGGGCCAAAGTTGTTCACAGGCTAGGTTACAGTCTGATGAGGAGGCCGTTTGGCCAGCTTATACTTTGTTCCTGTTTAGCGCACCATACTACACATTGAGGCACGGTGTTTGCTTAAAGAAAAGGGCACAAGGTAACTCTACATTTATACATTTTTCTCTTTTATATTGACATGGACAGGAAGAAGTTTATTACCGAAACCTTCAAGAGAACATAAACAGCTTGGCTCAGAAATTGGAAAAACAAGGACGAGCGGAGAACAAGGGGCCTTCCAACCGACGCAAACAACTCAACAAGATGTAAGGCTTGGCTTTCACTGAGCGAGAGTACATAGTTATATAGACTGTAAAGGACATTGGAGACAATTAAAGGGGAGACTGGAGATGACGAATTTGATCAGCCAGTCTGGTAGAACTGGAGTCAGCACAGTTTGTTTTAACCCTGTTGTATGCCCTGTTACAGGTGGCTCAGGCTCCAGGTTACCCTGCAGGAGCACCAGCAAAGTCTTCAGCTGGCACTAGAGGCATCGTCATTATGGCAACAGGCAGATACTATCCTTAGAGCCATGGAGGAGAAGGTAATAAACAGCAAGGGGGTAGACACCCTGTGAATCACATGTATGTTACAGCGTAAGGTATGTCTTCCTGACACATTAGCCCAAGAGTATTATCTTTTTTAAAAGGTCCATCTTTGGTCTAGTTTTCCAGCTCACTAATGACCATCTGGAATACTTTATATACAATGTGCATTAAAGAACAGAGATTTTTAGTACCACTGAAATGGACATTAAAGTGTAAGCTCACCTGTCAATGTCAGACAATTCACCTCGCTGCTTCCTTCTTAAACGTTGACATTGGCAAGTGAGCTTACATGTTGCTGGCCATTGCAGCAGTACTACAAACCTCTGTCTAAAGGCACAAATGTACATTTTATACCAGAGTGCCTAGAAAATGTTTGGTTCTGATCTGCATTCAATGCCAACAAATCTAAGCAAATATATAAATGGGATCTTCATATTACTGCCACCATGGAGACTGTCATTAAATGCCAATAAGCCCATCACTACAAAGAGAGATTCAGGGCTGAAACCATACTGGTTGTCACACAATGTTAGACAGTGTGGGAGGTCAGGAGGTCGTATAAATATTCAATACAATGTTATTATTGCTCTACCAGTCCACCGGTGAGAGAAATGAAGGAACCTCCGACAGACGTGGACACCAAGACATGAGGGATATAGCCAGCCAGATCATGGTAAGAAACCAACAAGCGGGGCCCTTGGAAAGAGACATTAGACAATCACGGGGTAAAGAGAGACTCCAAATTAGACAGTCACACAGTATGGAGAGACATCTAGAATTAGACAGGTATCATCTAGAGAAGTGCAGTAGTCTATTGCTGCCCCATTAAAAAAGAAAAATTTGAAAACTGTACACTGTGCCCTGCACAGAAAATAATAGGAGTTACAATCGGTTCCTTGTTAGCACTTTATTTCATAAATATTTTTGGTGCTTTTTTTTATCTGCCATGGAATATATTTTTGAATAATTAATAAAGAGAGGAATTAATTGATTTACACATTTTAATGGAGTGTATTATTGTGAGATTTTGTTTTATTTATGATATAGAGATCCCTCGATTTAATGACATTGTTATACAGAGTGCACTCCCTGTCAGTAACTAGATAATGTTATAAATATTTGTCTCTCTGCACTAGGTCTAGTCTCTCTCTATTTTGTTCTCCCTATTAGGGCCCTCCCCATCTCTGTTCCTGTACGTCCAGTTGTCTGGTTACAATAACATGTATGTTAGTCCGTCCACCCATTGTACAGCGCTATGGAATTTGATGGCACTATATAAATAATAATAATAATTATATATTTTTATGAGAACACATTCCTACACTTATCTGTCTACTGATCTCTTTCTCTTCCTCCATTCCTCGGTATTATCCCTCCCGTCTCTTTCTTTTCCTCCAATCTTTGGTATTATCCCTCCTGTCTTTCTTTGCCTCCATTCCTTGGTATTATATCTCCCATCTTTCCTTTCCTCCATTCCTTGGTATTATCCCTCCCATCTCTTTCTTTTCCTCCAATCTTTGGTATTATCCCTCTCGTCTTTCTTTTCCTCCATTGATTGGTATTATCCCTCCCGTCTCTTTTCCTCCATTCCTTGGTATTATCCCTCCAGTCTTTCTTTTCCTCCAATCTTTGGTTTTATCCCTCCCTTCTTTCTTTCCCCCCAATCTTTGCTATTATCCCTCCCGTCTTTCTTTTCCTCCATTCCTTGGTATTATCCCTCTTGTCTCTTTCTTTTCCTCCAATCTTTGGTATTATCCCTCCTGTCTTTCTTTTCCTCCATTCCTTGGTATTATCCCTCCCATCTCTTTCCTTTCCTTCATTCCTTGGTATTATCCCTCCCATCTCTTTCTTTTCCTCCAATCTTTGGTATTATCCCTCTCGTCTTTCTTTTCCTCCATTCCTTGGTATTATCCCTCCTGTCTCTTTTCCTCCATTCCTTGGTATTATCCCTCCAGTCTTTCTTTTCCTCCAATCTTTGGTATTATCCCTCCCTTCTTTCTTTCCCCCCAATCTTTGCTATTATCCCTCCCGTCTTTCTTTTCCTCCATTCCTTGGTATTATCCCTCTTGTCTCTTTCTTTTCCTCCATTCCTTGGTATTATCCCTCTCGTCTTTCTTTTCCTCCATTCCTTGGTATTATCCCTCCCGTCTTTCTTTTCCTCCATTCCTTGGTATTATCCCTCCCATCTCTTTTCCTCCAATCTTTGGTATTATCCCTCCTGTCTTTCTTTTCCTCCATTCCTTGGTATTATCCCTCCCGTCTTTCTTTTCCTCCATTCCTTGGTATTATTCCTCCCGTCTCTTTTCCTCCATTCCTTGGTATTATCCCTCTCGTCTCTTTTCCTCCGTTTTTTGGTATTATCCCTTCTGTCTTTCTCTTCCTCCATTCCTCGGTATTATCCCTCCCGTCGCTTTCTTTTCCTCCAATCTTTGGTATTATCCCTCCTGTCTTTCTTTGCCTCCATTCCTTGGTATTATACCTCCCATCTTTCCTTTCCTCCATTCCTTGGTATTATCCCTCCCATCTCTTTCTTTTCCTCCAATCTTTGGTATTATCCCTCTCGTCTTTCTTTTCCTCCATTCCTTGGTATTATCCCTCCCGTCTCTTTTCCTCCATTCCTTGGTATTATCCCTCCAGTCTTTCTTTTCCTCCAATCTTTGGTATTATCCCTCCCTTCTTTCTTTCCCCCCAATCTTTGCTATTATCCCTCCCGTCTTTCTTTTCCTCCATTCCTTGGTATTATCCCTCTTGTCTCTTTCTTTTCCTCCATTCCTTGGTATTATCCCTCTCGTCTTTCTTTTCCTCCATTCCTTGGTATTATCCCTCCCGTCTTTCTTTTCCTCCATTCCTTGGTATTATCCCTCCCATCTCTTTTCCTCCAATCTTTGGTATTATCCATCCCATTTTTCTTTTCCTCCATTCCTTGGTAATATCCCTCCTGTCTTTCTTTTCCTCCATTCCTTGGTATTATCCCTCCCGTCTTTCTTTTCCTCCATTCCTTGGTATTATTCCTCCCGTCTCTTTTCCTCCATTCCTTGGTATTATCCCTCTCGTCTCTTTCTTTTCCTCCGTTTTTTGCTGTTATCCCTTCCGTCTTTCTCTTCCTCCATTCCTCGGTATTATCCCTCCCGTCTCTTTCTTTTCCTCCAATCTTTGGTATTATCCCTCCTGTCTTTCTTTCCCTCCATTCCTTGGTATTATACCTCCCATCTTTCCTTTCCTCCATTCCTTGGTATTATCCCTCCCATCTCTTTCTTTTCCTCCAATCTTTGGTATTATCCCTCTCGTCTTTCTTTTCCTCCATTCCTTGGTATTATCCCTCCCGTCTCTTTTCCTCCATTCCTTGGTATTATCCCTCCAGTCTTTCTTTTCCTCCAATCTTTGGTTTTATCCCTCCCTTCTTTCTTTCCCCCCAATCTTTGCTATTATCCCTCCCGTCTTTCTTTTCCTCCATTCCTTGGTATTATCCCTCTTGTCTCTTTCTTTTCCTCCATTCCTTGGTATTATCCCTCTCGTCTTTCTTTTCCTCCATTCATTGGTATTATCCCTCCCGTCTTTCTTTTCCTCCATTCCTTTGTATTATCCCTCCCATCTCTTTTCCTCCAATCTTTGGTATTATCCCTCCCATCTCTTTCCTTTCCTCCATTCCTTGGTATTATCCCTCCCATCTCTTTCTTTTCCTCCAATCTTTGGTATTATCCCTCTCGTCTTTCTTTTCCTCCAATCTTTGATATTATCCTTCCCGTCTTTCTTTTCCTCCTTTCCTTGGTATTATTCCTCCCGTCTCTTTTCCTCCATTCCTTGGTATTATCCCTCCTGTCTTTCTTTTCCTCCAATCTTTGGTATTATCCCTCCCGTCTTTCTGTTCCTCCAATCTTTAGTATTATCCCTCCCATCTCTTTTGCTCCATTCCTTGGTATTATCCCTCCCTTCTCTTTTCCTCCATTCCTTGGTATTATCCCTCCCGTCTTTCTTTTCCTCCATTCCTTGGTATTATCCCTCCCGTCTTTCTTTTCCTCCATTCCTTGGTATTATCCCTCCCGTCTCTTTTCCTCCAATCTTTGGTATTATCCCTCCCATCTTTCTTTTCCTCCATTCTTTGGTATTATCCCTCTCGTCTCTTTCTTTTCCTCCATTCCTTGGTATTATCCCTCCCATCTTTCTTTTCCTCCATTCCTTGGTATTATCCCTCCCATCTCTTTCTTTTCCTCCAATCTTTGGTATTAACTCCACGTCTTTCTTTTCCTCCATTCCTTGGTATTATCCCTCCCATCTTTCTTTTCCTCCAATATTTGATATTATCCCTCCCGTCTTTCTTTTCCTCCAATCTTTGATATTATCCCTCCCGTCTTTCTTTTCCTCCTTTCCTTGGTATTATTCCTCCCGTCTCTTTTCCTCCATTCCTTGGTATTATCCCTCCTGTCTTTCTTTTCCTCCAATCTTTGGTATTATCCCTCCCGTCTTTCTGTTCCTCCAATCTTTAGTATTATCCCTCCCATCTCTTTTGCTCCATTCCTTGGTATTATCCCTCCCTTCTCTTTTCCTCCATTCCTTGGTATTATCCCTCCCGTCTTTCTTTTCCTCCATTCCTTGGTATTATCCCTCCCGTCTTTCTTTTCCTCCATTCCTTGGTATTATCCCTCCCGTCTCTTTTCCTCCAATCTTTGGTATTATCCCTCCCTTCTTTCTTTTCCTCCATTCTTTGGTATTATCCCTCTCGTCTCTTTCTTTTCCTCCATTCCTTGGTATTATCCCTCCCATCTTTCTTTTCCTCCATTCCTTGGTATTATCCCTCCCATCTCTTTCTTTTCCTCCAATCTTTGGTATTAACTCCACGTCTTTCTTTTCCTCCATTCCTTGGTATTATCCCTCCCATCTTTCTTTTCCTCCATTCCTTGGTATTATCCCTCCCGTCTCTTTCCTTTCCTCCATTCCTTGGTATTATCCCTCCCATCTCTTTCCTTTCCTCCATTCCTTGGTATTATCCCTCCCATCTCTTTCTTTTCCTCCAATCTTTGGTATTATCCCTCCCGTCTTTCTTTTCCTCCATTCCTTGGTATTATACCTCCCATCTTTCTTTTCCTCCATTCCTTGGAATTATCCCTCCCATCACTTTCTTTTCCTCCATTCTTTGGTATTATCCCTCTTGTCGCTTTCTTTTCCTCTATTCCTTGGTATTATCCCTCCCGTATATTTTCCTCCATTGCTTGGTATTATTCCTCCCGTCTTTCTTTTCCTCCAATATTTGGTATTATCCCTCCCGTCTTTCTTTTCCTCCAATCTTTGATATTATCCCTCCCGTCTTTCTTTTCCTCCATTCCTTGGTATTATCCCTCTCATCTCTTTCTTTTCCTCCATTCCTTGGTATTATCCCTCCCGTATATTTTCCTCCATTCCTTGGTATTATCCCTCCCGTCTTTCTTTTCCTCCAATATTTGGTATTATCCCTCCCGTCTTTCTTTTCCTCCAATCTTTGATATTATCCCTCCCGTCTTTCTTTTCCTCCATTCCTTGGTATTATCCCTCTCATCTCTTTCTTTTCCTCCATTCCTTGGTATTATCCCTCCCGTATATTTTCCTCCATTCCTTGGTATTATCCCTCCCGTCTTTCTTTTCCTCCAATATTTGGTATTATCCCTCCCGTCTTTCTTTTCCTCCATTCCTTGGTAATATCCCTCGTCTTTCTTTTCCTCTATTCCTTGGTATTATCCTGCGTGCTGCCTTCGACATCCCCTTCCGTCTTTCTCTTCCTCCATTCCTCATTATTATCCCTCACGTCTCTTTCTTTTCCTCAATCTTTTGCATTGTCCTCCTGCTGCTCCGTGTGCCATCTTTCTTTTCCTCCAATCTTTGGTATTATCCCTCCCATCTCTTTCCTTTCCTCCATTCCTTGGTATTATCCCTCCCATCTCTTTCTTTTCCTCCAATCTTTGGTATTATCCCTCTCGTCTTTCTTTTCCTCCATTCCTTGGTATTATCCCTCCCGTCTCTTTTCCTCCATTCCTTGGTATTATCCCTCCAGTCTTTCTTTTCCTCCAATCTTTGGTATTATCCCTCCCTTCTTTTTTCCCCCCAATCTTTGCTATTATCCCTCCCGTCTTTCTTTTCCTCCATTCCTTGGTATTATCCCTCTTGTCTCTTTCTTTTCCTCCATTCCTTGGTATTATCCCTCTCGTCTTTCTTTTCCTCCATTCCTTGGTATTATCCCTCCCGTCTTTCTTTTCCTCCATTCCTTGGTATTATCCCTCCCATCTCTTTTCCTCCAATCTTTGGTATTATCCCTCCTGTCTTTCTTTTCCTCCATTCCTTGGTATTATCCCTCCCGTCTTTCTTTTCCTCCATTCCTTGGTATTATTCCTCCCGTCTCTTTTCCTCCATTCCTTGGTATTATCCCTCTCGTCTCTTTCTTTTCCTCCGTTTTTTGGTATTATCCCTTCCGTCTTTCTCTTCCTCCATTCCTCGGTATTATCCCTCCCGTCTCTTTCTTTTCCTCCAATCTTTGGTATTATCCCTCCTGTCTTTCTTTGCCTCCATTCCTTGGTATTATACCTCCCATCTTTCCTTTCCTCCATTCCTTGGTATTATCCCTCCCATCTCTTTCTTTTCCTCCAATCTTTGGTATTATCCCTCTCGTCTTTCTTTTCCTCCATTCCTTGGTATTATCCCTCCCGTCTCTTTTCCTCCATTCCTTGGTATTATCCCTCCCGTCTTTCTTTTCCTCCACTCTTTGGTATTATCCCTCCCTTCTTTCTTTCCCCCCAATCTTTGCTAGTATCCCTCCCATCTTTCTTTCCTCCATTCCTTGGTATCCCTCTTGTCTCTTTCTTTTTCCTCCATTTCCTTGGTGATTATCCCTCTGGGTCTTTCTTTTCCTCCACGTTCCTTGGGTATTATCCCTCCCGTCTTTTTCTTTTCCTCCATTTCTGGTATTATCCCTCCCATCCTCTTTTCCTCAATCTTTTGGTGGTATCCATCCCGATTTTTCTTTTTCGCCATTCCTTGGTAATATCCCTCCCTGTCTTTCTTTTCCTCCATTCCTTGGTATTATCCCTCCGGTCTTTCGCGCACCATCCCGTTCATGGTATTGATTTTCATCAGTCATAGCTTTCCTCCATTCCTTGGTATTATCCCTCTCGTCTCTTTCTTTTCCTCCGTTTTTTGCTATTATCCCTTCCGTCTTTCTCTTCCTCCATTCCTCGGTATTATCCCTCCCGTCTCTTTCTTTTCCTCCAATCTTTGGTATTATCCCTCCTGTCTTTCTTTGCCTCCATTCCTTGGTATTATACCTCCCATCTTTCCTTTCCTCCATTCCTTGGTATTATCCCTCCCATCTCTTTCTTTTCCTCCAATCTTTGGTATTATCCCTCTCGTCTTTCTTTTCCTCCATTCCTTGGTATTATCCCTCCCGTCTCTTTTCCTCCATTCCTTGGTATTATCCCTCCAGTCTTTCTTTTGCTCCAATCTTTGGTATTATCCCTCCCTTCTTTCTTTCCCCCCAATCTTTGCTATTATTCCTCCCGTCTTTCTTTTCCTCCATTCCTTGGTATTATCCCTCTTGTCTCTTTCTTTTCCTCCATTTCTTGGTATTATCCCTCTCGTCTCTTTCTTTTCCTCCATTCTTTGGTATTATCCCTCCCGTCTCTTTCTTTTCTTCCATTCCTTGGTAATATCCCTCCCGTCTTTCTTTTCCTCCATTCCTTGGTATTATCCCTCCTGTCTCTTTCTTTTCCTCCATTCTTTGTTATTATCCCTCTCGTCTCGTTCTTTTCCTCCATTCTTTGGTATTATCCCTTCCGTCTTTCTTTTCCTCCATTCCTTGGTATTATCCCTCCCATCTTTCTTTTCCTCCATTCCTTGGTATTATCCCTCCCGTCTCTTTTCCTCCATTCCTTGGTATTATCCCTCCTGTCTTTCTTTTCCTCCATTCCTTGGTATTATCCCTCCTGTCTTTCTTTTCCTCCAATCTTTGGTATTATCCCTCCCGTCTTTCTTTTCCTCCAGTCTTTGGTATTATCCCTCCCGTCTCTTTTCCTCCATTCCTTGGTATTATCCCTCCCGTCTTTCTTTTCCTCTATTCCTTGGTATTATCCCTCCCTTCTCTTTTCCTCCATTCCTTGGTATTATCGCTCCCGTCTTTCTTTTCCTCCATTCCTTGGTATTATCCCTCCCATCTCTTTTCCTCCAATCTTTGGTATTATCCCTCCCATCTTTCTTTTCCTCCATTCCTTGGTATTATCCCTCCCGTCTTTCTTTTCCTCCATTCCTTGGTATTATTCCTCCCGTCTCTTTTCCTCCATTCCTTGGTATTATCCCTCTCGTCTCTTTTCCTCCGTTTTTTGGTATTATCCCTTCTGTCTTTCTCTTCCTCCATTCCTCGGTATTATCCCTCCCGTCGCTTTCTTTTCCTCCAATCTTTGGTATTATCCCTCCTGTCTTTCTTTGCCTCCATTCCTTGGTATTATACCTCCCATCTTTCCTTTCCTCCATTCCTTGGTATTATCCCTCCCATCTCTTTGGTATTATCCCTCTCGTCTCTTTCTTTTTCTCCATTCTTTGGTATTATCCCTCTCGTCTCTTTCTTTTCCTCCATTCTTTGGTATTATCCCTCCCGTCTCTTTCTTTTCCTCCATTCCTTGGTAATATCCCTCCCGTCTTTCTTTTCCTCCATTCCTTGGTATTATCCCTCCTGTCTCTTTCTTTTCCTCCATTCTTTGGTATTATCCCTCTCGTCTCGTTCTTTTCCTCCATTCTTTGGTATTATCCCTTCCGTCTTTCTTTTCCTCCATTCCTTGGTATTATCCCTCCCGTCTCTTTTCCTCCATTCCTTGGTATTATCCCTCCAGTCTTTCTTTTGCTCCAATCTTTGGTATTATCCCTCCCTTCTTTCTTTCCCCCCAATCTTTGCTATTATTCCTCCCGTCTTTCTTTTCCTCCATTCCTTGGTATTATCCCTCTTGTCTCTTTCTTTTCCTCCATTTCTTGGTATTATCCCTCTCGTCTCTTTCTTTTCCTCCATTCTTTGGTATTATCCCTCCCGTCTCTTTCTTTTCTTCCATTCCTTGGTAATATCCCTCCCGTCTTTCTTTTCCTCCATTCCTTGGTATTATCCCTCCTGTCTCTTTCTTTTCCTCCATTCTTTGTTATTATCCCTCTCGTCTCGTTCTTTTCCTCCATTCTTTGGTATTATCCCTTCCGTCTTTCTTTTCCTCCATTCCTTGGTATTATCCCTCCCATCTTTCTTTTCCTCCATTCCTTGGTATTATCCCTCCCGTCTCTTTTCCTCCATTCCTTGGTATTATCCCTCCTGTCTTTCTTTTCCTCCATTCCTTGGTATTATCCCTCCTGTCTTTCTTTTCCTCCAATCTTTGGTATTATCCCTCCCGTCTTTCTTTTCCTCCAGTCTTTGGTATTATCCCTCCCGTCTCTTTTCCTCCATTCCTTGGTATTATCCCTCCCGTCTTTCTTTTCCTCTATTCCTTGGTATTATCCCTCCCTTCTCTTTTCCTCCATTCCTTGGTATTATCGCTCCCGTCTTTCTTTTCCTCCATTCCTTGGTATTATCCCTCCCATCTCTTTTCCTCCAATCTTTGGTATTATCCCTCCCATCTTTCTTTTCCTCCATTCTTTGGTATTATCCCTCTCGTCTCTTTCTTTTCCTCCATTCTTTGGTGTTATCCCTCTGGTCTCTTTCTTTTCCTCCATTCCTTGGTACTATCCCTCCTGTCTCTTTACTTTCCTCCATTCCTTGGTATTATCCCTCCCATCTCTTTCTTTTCCTCCAATCTTTGGTATTATCCCTCCATTCTTTCTTTTCCTCCATTCCTTGGTATTATCCCTCCCGTCTCTTTTCCTCCATTCCTTGGTATTAACCCTCCCATCTTTCTTTTCCTCCATTCTTTGGTATTATCCCTCCCATTTTCTTTCCCTCCATTCCTTGGTATTATCCCTCCCGCCTTTCTTTTCCTCCATTCCTTGGAATTATCCCTCCCATCTCTTTCTTTTCCTCCATTCTTTGGTATTATCCCTCTCGTCGCTTTCTTTTCCTCTGTTCCTTAGTATAATCCCTCCCATCTTTCTTTTCCTCCATTCTTTGGTATTATCCCTCTCATCTGTTTCTTTTCCTAAATTCTTTGGTATTATCCCTCCCGTCTTTCTTTTCCTACATTCCTTGGTATTATCCCTCCCGTCTCTTTCTTTTCCTCCAATCTTTGGTATTATCCCTCCCGTCTTTCTTTTCCTCCATTCCTTAGTATTATCCCTCCCATCTTTCTTTTCCTCCAATCCTTGGTATTATTCCTCCCGTCTCTTTCCTTTCCTCCATTCCTTGGTATTATCCTTCCCGTCTCTTTCTTTTCCTCCAATCTTTGGTATTATCCCTCCCGTCTTTTTTTTCCTCCATTCCTTGGTATTATCCCTCCTCTCTCTTTTCCTCCATTCCTTGGTATTATCCATCCCGTCTTTCTTTTCCTCCATTCTTTGGTATTATCCCTCCCATCTCTTTCCTTTCCTCCATTCCTTGGTATTATCCCTCCCATCTCTTTCTTTTCCACCAATCTTTGGTATTACCCCTCTCGTCTTTCTTTTCCTCCATTCTTTGGTGTTATTCCTCCCATTTTCTTTTCCTTCATTCCTTGGTATTATCCCTCCCATCTTTCTTTTCCTCCAATCTTTGGTATTATCCCTCTCGTCTCTTTCTTTTCCTCCATTCCTTGGTATAATCCCTCCTGTCTTTCTTTTCCTCCATTCCTTGGTATTATCCCTCCCGTCTCTTTTCCTTTATTCCTTGGTATTATCCCTTCCATCTTTCTTTTCCTCCACTCCTTGGCATTATCCCTCCTGTCTCTTTCTTTTCCTCCATTCTTTGATATTTTCCAAATCGTCTGTTTCTTTTCCTCCATTCCTTGGTATTATCCCTCCCGTCTTTCTTTTCCTCCATTCCTTTGTATTATCCCTCCCGTCTCTTTCTTTTCGTCCAATCTTTGGTATTATCCCTCCTGTCTTTCTTTGCCTCCATTTTTGTATTATACCTCCCATCTTTCCTTTCCTGCATTCCTTGGTATTATCCCTCCTGTCTCTTTCTTTTTCTCCAATATTTGGTATTATCCCTCTCATCTTTCTTTTCCTCCATTCCTTGGTATTATCCCTCCCGTCTCTTTTCCTCCATTCCTTGGTATTATCCCTCCCATCTCTTTTCCTCCATTCTTTGGTATTATCCCTCCCCTCTTTCTTTTCCTCCATTGCTTGGTATTATCCCTCCTGTCTCTTTCCTTTCCTCCATTCCTTGGTATTATCCCTCCCGTCTCTTTCTTTTCCTCCATTCCTTGGTATTATCCCTTCCATCTCTTTTCCTCCATTCCTTGGTATTATCCCTCCAGTCTCTTTCCTTTCCTCCATTCCTTGGTATGATCCCTCCCGTCTCTTTCTTTTCCTCCAAATTTTGGTGTTATCCCTCCCGTCTTTCTTTTCCTCCATTCCTTGGTATTATCCTTCCCATCTCTTTTCCTCCATTCCTTGGTATTATCACTCCCGTCTCTTTTCCTCCATTGCTTGGTATTATCCCTCCCGTCTCTTTCCTTTCCTCCATTCCTTGGTATTATCCCTCCCGTCTCTTTCTTTTCCTCCATTCTTTGGTATTATCCCTTCCGTCTTTCTTTTCATCCATTCCTTGGTATTATCCCTTCCATCTCTTTTCCTCCATTCCTTGGTATTATCCCTCCAGTCTCTTTCCTTTCCTCCATTCCTTGGTATTATCCCTCCCGTCTCTTTCTTTTCCTCCAAACTTTGGTATTATCCCTCCCGTCTTTCTTTTCCTCCATTCCTTGGTATTATCCTTCCCATCTCTTTTCCTCCATTCCTTGGTATTATCCCTCCCGTCTCTTTTCCTCCATTCCCTGGTATTATCACTCCCATCTTTCTTTTCCTCCATTCCTTGGTATTATCTCTCCCGTCTTTCTTTTCCTCCATTCCTTGGTATTATCCCTCCCATCTCTTTTCCTCCAATCTTTGGTATTATTCCTCCCATCTTTCTTTTCCTCCATTCTTTGGTATTATCCCTCTCGTCTCTTTCTTTTCCTCCATTCTTTGGTGTTATCCCTCTGATCTCTTTCTTTTCCTCCATTCCTTGGTATTATTCCTCCCATCTTTCTTTTCCTCCATTCTTTGTTATTATCCCTCTCGTCTCGTTCTTTTCCTCCATTCTTTGGTATTTCCTCCATTTTTTGGTATTATCCTTCCCATTTTCCTTCCCTCCATTCCTTGGTATTATCCCTCCCGTCTTTCATTTCCTCCATTCCTTGGAATTATCCCTCCCATCTCTTTCTTTTCCTCCATTCTTTGGTATTATCCCTCTCGTCTATTTCTTTTCCTAAATTCTTTGGTATTATCCCTCCCGTCTTTCTTTTCCTCCATTCCTTGGTATTATCCCTCCTGTCTCTTTCTTTTCCTACAATCTTTGGTATTATCCCTCCCATCTTTCTTTTCCTCCATTCCTTGGTATTATCCCTCCCATCTTTCTTTTCCTTCATTCCATGGTATTATCCCTTCCATCTCTTTTCCTCCATTCCTTGGTATTATCCCTCCAGTCTCTTTCCTTTCCTCCATTCCTTGGTATGATCCCTCCCATTTCTTTCTTTTCCTCCAAACTTTGGTATTATCCCTCCCGTCTTTCTTTTCCTCCATTCCTTGGTATTATCGTTCCCATCTCTTTTCCTCCATTCCTTGGTATTATCACTCCCGTCTCTTTTCCTCCATTGCTTGGTATTATCCCTCCCGTCTCTTTCCTTTCCTCCATTCCTTGGTATTATCCCTCCCGTCTCTTTCTTTTCCTCCATTCTTTGGTATTATCCCTTCCGTCTTTCTTTTCATCCATTCCTTGGTATTATCCCTTCCATCTCTTTTCCTCCATTCCTTGGTATTATCCCTCCAGTCTCTTTCCTTTCCTCCATTCCTTGGTATTATCCCTCCCGTCTCTTTCTTTTCCTCCAAACTTTGGTATTATCCCTCCCGTCTTTCTTTTCCTCCATTCCTTGGTATTATCCTTCCCATCTCTTTTCCTCCATTCCTTGGTATTATCCCTCCCGTCTCTTTTCCTCCATTCCCTGGTATTATCACTCCCATCTTTCTTTTCCTCCATTCCTTGGTATTATCTCTCCCGTCTTTCTTTTCCTCCATTCCTTGGTATTATCCCTCCCATCTCTTTTCCTCCAATCTTTGGTATTATTCCTCCCATCTTTCTTTTCCTCCATTCTTTGGTATTATCCCTCTCGTCTCTTTCTTTTCCTCCATTCTTTGGTGTTATCCCTCTCATCTCTTTCTTTTCCTCCATTCCTTGGTATTATTCCTCCCATCTTTCTTTTCCTCCATTCTTTGGTATTATCCCTCTCGTCTCTTTCTTTTCCTCCATTCTTTGGTGTTATCCCTCTGATCTCTTTCTTTTCCTCCATTCCTTGGTATTATCCCTCCCATCTTTCTTTTCCTCCATTCCGTGGTATTATCCCTCCTGTCTCTTTCCTCTCCTCCAGTCCTTGGTATTATCCCTCCCATCTCTTTCTTTTCCTTTCAATCTTTGGTATTATCCCTCCATTCTTTCTTTTCCTCCATTCCTTGGTATTATCCCTCCCGTATCTTTTCCTCCATTCCTTGGTATTATCCCTCCCGTCTTTCTTTTCCTCCATTTTTTGGTATTATCCTTCCCATTTTCCTTCCCTCCATTCCTTGGTATTATCCCTCCCGTCTTTCATTTCCTCCATTCCTTGGAATTATCCCTCCCATCTCTTTCTTTTCCTCCATTCTTTGGTATTATCCCTCTCGTCTATTTCTTTTCCTAAATTCTTTGGTATTATCCCTCCCGTCTTTCTTTTCCTCCATTCCTTGGTATTATCCCTCCCATCTCTTTCTTTTCCTCCAATCTTTGGTATTATCCCTCTCGTCTTTCTTTTCCTCCATCCCTTGGTATTATCCCTCCCATCTCTTTTCCTCCATTCCTTGGTATTATCCCTCCCATCTCTTTTTCTCCATTCCTTGGTATTATCCCTCCCATCTTTCTTTTCCTCCATTGCTTGGTATTATTCCTCCCGTCTCTTTCCTTTCCTCCATTACTTGGCATTATCCCTCTTGTCTCTTTCTTTTCCTCCATTCCTTGGTATTATCCCTCCCGTCTCTTTCTTTTCCTAAATTTTTTTGGTATTATCCCTCTCGTCTTTTTCTTCTCCTCCATTTCTTGGTATTATCCCTCTCGTTTCTTCTCCTCCATTCCTTGGTATTATCCCTCCCGTCTCTTTTCCTCCATTCCTTGGTATTATACCTCCCATCTTTCTTTTCCTCCATTCCTTGGTATTATCCCTCCCGTCTCTTTCTTTTCCTCCATTCCTTGGTATTATCCCTCCGCTCTCTTTTCCTCCATTCCTTGGTATTATCCCTCCCGTCTTTCTTTTCCGCCATTCCTTGGTATTATCCCTCCCGTCTTTCTTTTCCTCCATTCATTGGTATTATCCCTCTCGTCTCTTTCTTTTCCTCCATTCCTTGGTATTATCCCTCTCGTCTCTTTCTTTTCCTCCATTCCTTGGTATTATCCCTCCTGTCTCTTTCTTTTCCTAAATTTTTTTTGGTATTATCCCTCTCGTCTCTTTCTTCTCCTCCATTTCTTGGTATTATCCCTCTCGTCTCTTTCTTCTCCTCCATTCCTTGGTATTATCCCTCCCGTCTCTTTCTTTTCCTCCATTCTTTGGTATTATCCCTCTCGTCTCTTTATTCACCTCCATTTTTTGGTATTATGCCTCTTGTCTCTTTCTTCTCCTCCATTTTTTGGTATTATCCCTTTTGTCTTTCTTTTCCTCCATTCATTAGTATTATCCCTCCAATCTCTCTTTCCTTCCATGTCTTGGTATTGTGTCAGCATTTTCCCCTCCTGCTCATTTTCCTCCTCTTTTCTCGATAGTTGTTGGATATTGCGGTGTCACAAATCTCTAGTCTTCATCCTGTCCTGTCATTGAGAGCTGCTTCTAAGCAACGTCAAGTAAAGGAGAGTTGGGCACAGCTCCAGAAAGCACTAAGGTATTTAAATTCTGCATACATTTAGCTGTCAGAATGTACAATTCAGTGTCTGATCCCATTCATATTCTCACAAATTTCCGAGTGTGTGAGTGTCCATAAATTAATACACAGGGTATGTTTGTAACTTTTTGTACCTTTGCTCTCTCTGACACGGACGCTAGCAAAAGGCTAACTTGTGTTGGCCTCATGAAATTATAAATAGCTCTTAGTCTTTCCCAGAAACCATTTAATATATTATATATGAAAAAAAAGGGATAGTCACCATTGACATTAGTAGTGTTTGTGATGTGAGGGAGTCTTTGAAAACTCCACCAGCCTGCCCAAACTCTGAAGTGACCTGGTCTGAGACATGCAACTTGGGACACAAAGTGATCTTGAAGAATGCCTCCCCCTCCCCACCCCGGGCTGTCTGACTGAAAGCTGGGACCGATCAATCCAAAATCGTTATAAAAGTGCTGATATCGCTGGAAATTGGCAATTTTATACCGCGAGATAGACTCTGTTAATCCCTACAGGAAGCTAAAGGGGATTTAGTGGCTTGGGGTTTACATTTAACCTTTTCACCGGCAGATTTAGACCAAAATAGGTGATCTAAAAAGATTTGAAATAATCATCAATTTTGTATTTTTTGACCCACAATTCACAATTCCCTTGTCAATTTTTAGAATTTGCAAGTTTAATGGATAGCCATGCCTGTGTGGGATTTAGAGTTTATTATCTGAATAATTGTTAGAGAGGGTGATAGCAAGTCTGAACGAGAGGGTTAGCCGGATGTAGCACAATGTAACCTCCTGGAAATGTGGCTCTGCGTGTGAGATGGGCTCCAGGGAATAGCTGGATGTATAGCCCACTCAATAAATTTAGCACAATAAATTTAGCACAATAATCTGGGTCTGTTTGGAGTCTCTGAAGAGATCCTTGTTTTGAGTTTTATAAATAGACGAGTACTTCCTGTTGGAGTCTTGTTTTCAATTCCCAGACATTATATAATTAGTTTTGAAATTTCTCCCCAAGGACGGACAATTCAGTGAGACCCATTCCAAGTTCCTCATTCACCAGAGAACTGGACAACCTTGCGACCCCCGGAACAGAGGAGCAAGGCAGCGTGGGAAGCCTTGGAAATGAGCCAAACAGCTCACAGGTCAGAAAAGCGGGTTGTCATGATTTTGTGACAAGCCAGCAAAACGTATGATACTGTGCAATAGTGATCGAATGAAAAAGTAAGATGGAGGCCACTATCATTTTTCACTGGTAATGGAATATTCTAATGCGTTACTTTTACAGAATTACGATGGACACAAAGGAAGTTTAAATGTGAAGGAAATGAACAGATTGTGCCCTTCCCTCAGATCAGGAACAGAAAGTGAAGCCATCATGAAGCCAGCCATGTACTTTAATGAGAGGAAGAGGTTTGTATGTAACATGATATGAATATTTACCCCCTCCTAATACACAGACATTAGACATGCACCTCTCACCTCCTAATACACAGACATCAGGACACCTACCTCTCACCTTCTCCTAATACACAGACATCAGGACACGTACCTCTAACTTCCTCCTAATACACAGACATCAGGACATGTACCTCTCCCCTCCTAATACACAGACATCAGGACACCTACCTCTTACCTCCTCCTAATACACAGACATCAGGATACCTACCTCTCACCTCCTCCTAATACACAGACATCAGGACACCTACCTCTCCCCTCCTCCTAATACACAGATAAAAGTTTTCATAGTTTTGCTGGTAATATCTGTATAGTAGTAAAGCCATGAGGTGGATTAAAGCGGTTCTGATGCTAGTTACATGATTAGTATAACGTAATCCCTCCAGTAACATTAATTTTCATTGTTAAAGTGGCACTGTCATGCTGAACTTACCTTTCTTTAATCGATTTCTCTTCTCTCCCTCTCTCAGGATCTGTTCTTCATTTCTTCCTGTCTGCTCTATAAGACCAAGTAGGCACTACTTGTATTATGGAGGCTTCCATTGCCATGACCAGCGGAGGAGCAAAGTGTGCTTCATTTCCGGTGGTCAGAGCAATTTTCCCATAATTCTAAGCTTTCCTCCCTGTTCCCGCGATGCTTCCTTTTCACGTCCGTTCACTTACATAGAACGCCGGCAAAACTACCGAATTGCATCTTAACAGAATGAGCACAGTTTCTCCATTCGCGTTAGGACGCAATTCGGGACTTTGTTTCTATCAAAATTTCATTCGAATGAATGAAACTCCGATCCTATTGGTGCAGCGGCTGTATCTTGCAGACGCTTAGTACATAGCTCCCTAATAACGTGGGAATTAGGGAGTTATCTACCAGAAGGCTGAAAGACCTAAATTGCTATTGTAAATTTTTTTTTAAATAACCCCACCCTCAATAAAATGGCCCACATAGTGTCGTCATCCCCCTTGAGCCCCCACTCATGCCCCAGTTTTGAGCAGCAGGTGGGGGTCTTATTGCCCTCCCCCCCACCCCCCGGCCCGCACCCCTGAGCGGCGGGTGGGAGCCCTAAATGAAAATGTTAACACCCCAGGTCCCCAAGCCCCTAGACACCTCCCACCCAAAAATAAAGAAATAAAACCCTCCTCACCCTAAAAGCAGTTGGGGAGAACAATAAAACTAAATCCCTGTAAATAAAAATAACTTATCATTTGATGTTTTTTTTCTAAAATCCTTTTTTCAGCCCCAATAAAGGCCAAATAAAAACCATAATACCTGTTGGACTTTGAAAATAAAATAAAAAACCTGAGCACAAACAAAAAAAAAATACGATGAAAAGAAAAAAACAGACGCTAAAAAAAGGAATCAATTTTCTCCCATGGAGGGCTCCGCGCAGACTGAGCTCTGCAGGGCGGAGGAATGCTTATAAAGCCTTGCCCCGTCCTGCAATAGGGCTCAGAGCACTCTGATTGGTGGGTTTAAGCCATCCAATCAGAGTGCTCTGACAGGTAAATGAAGAGACTGACAGGTAAGTCTCTACATTTACCTGTCACAGCACTCTGATTGGTTGGTTTGAAATCCACCAATCAGAGTGCTCTGTGTAATTTTACACAGCGTGGGAAAGTTCTTTGTAATTTTCCCATGCTGTGTAATTTGACTGATAATGACACTCGTGGGTGGGGGCCGGGGGGGACAATAGCTCCCCCCTGTAGCGGAGTAGTAGTATTATCCACGGTATCTCCGCTGGTAGACAGAATCAAGCAGGCACACAGCAGGTAAAATCCAGGTAGCGTAGTTACAATCCCTTCCTCCCAAGAACTAGACGACACATAGCTTGGAGGTCAACTGAGGTTTTATTTTCAGGTCACGGTATTTATGGGATTCCCCATGCAAGGGGTTTCCCTACTGACATTTCAGGGGTGGTACAGTAGGGGACAACATGGGGAACTGACCAACATATACATTTTTCCCATCATGCACTGCTGGACGAGAGGGATACTCCCACTGGAATATACCGTTAATGGGATTATCCCTCCGTGCAGCAGAATTTACATTTTACATTAAAATGTATAACTTTACTAATATTCACTTGATTTACACGAATGGACGTTCGGTAGATAGCTGGAGGCTGAGCGCATAGTTCGTGAGAATACCGCTCAGCTCCCAGTCTAACTAACCGAACGCCGCACGAAATACACATTATTTCTAACATAGGTTTAAAATACCGATTAGGATAAGGGGAACAAACTACCGAATGGCAAAACACCGCTGGGCTAACAAAAGAATCATGATGGCCACCTAGAAACACATTTAATTACCGATTGCAACAATGTTGCAATCGGTTAATGGGCGCCACACGAACCCCTGTGTGTGGTCATGCATTCGGTACGTTATTTGTTTCACGAACAGTATTTAAATTCACTGTTTGTGAAACTACAGTATGAACGCTGGGGTTTTCCTACCCCCAGCATACGAATGCCCTCATTCGCCTGAAATATACCTAGAATCCTGCACTGATCTCTATGGCTTAGCAAGAATACAAACATACTTATACATTAATAGTCTCTAGTGGCTAGTTTTGCCACACCCCCTATTTTCATTTAGGGCCCCCATCTGCCGCTCAGGAGTGGGGGAGGACAATCGATCCCCCCCTTATTGTTATTTAGGGCCCCCACCCACTGCTCAGGGGTGTGGGCCGCGGATGAGGTCAATAGGTCCTTCCCCCCCTTATTTTTATTTAGGGCCCCCACCCACCGCTCAGGTGGGGACCAGGGTAGGACAGTAGGTTCCCCCCCCCTTTTTCATTTAGTGCCCCAACCCGCTACTCAGGTGTAGGCACACTATGTCGTCGTCCCCTCAGGGTAGTTAAGAGATGCTCCACCATGGGGTCATTTATTGAGTATTAGTAAATTGGCTGAAAGACCAATTTAGGTCTATCAGCCTTTTGGTAGATAGCTAGCTAATACTGTGGGAATTTGGGAGTTATCTACTAAGCGGCTGCAAGATGCACCCACGGCACGAATAGGATCAGAGTTTCATTCATATGAAGTTCCAATACAAACAAAGTCCCGAAATGCGTCCTAACACGAATGGAGAAACTGTTCTCATTCTGTTAGGACGAAATTCGGTAGTTTCGCCAGCGTTCTGTCTAAGTGAGAGGATGTTCGGGAATACTGACAGGAAGCATAGTGAGATAATGGATCAAAGGTGAGAATTGTGGGAAAATTGCTTTGACACCGGAAACAAAGCACACTTTGCTCCTCTGCTGGTCAGAGATGGTCAGGCGTAGGAAACCTCCATAAGACAAAGTAGTCCCTACTTTGTCTTATGTTTTAGAGAAAACTACAGCAGACAGGAAGAAATGAAGAACAGATTCTGAGAGAGGGAGAGAAGAGGAATCGAATGGGGAAGGCATGTTCGGCATGACAGTGCCACTTTAACTTGTAGACTGCTTTAGCTCATTGTAACATTTCTGCAGGAAACAGAATTCAGAGGACAGCCAACGAGAGAGCGGTTCCCACAATGAAGATAGACAGGGTGGACCTGAGACCACAGAGGTAAACCAATATCCTTGAAACATCTCTCTCCTGAATCTTACCTGTCATACCATTCCTTAAAGGCATTTTAATATGATCATTGTTTCTACTGTCCCAGTATCTGATCCACGACCACCTGTCCCTGCCCTAATTACTGATCAACGGCCACCCGTCTCTGTTCTAATTAACGAACCACAGCCACCCGTCCTAATTAATGAACCATGGCCATCCACTGCTTTAATTGCACAAATGTGACCACCTTTTGACATGCTTATCACTGTGCTGCTTACAGAGCCGTGCATGCTGGTATTGGTATCATGACCTTACGGTGTTCCATGTGGTTCTGTATCATGTCCAGGTTGGTCAACTCTTGAGTGTGCTGATATCCACAGAGAAATGGTTGCAGAGACTGGAGATGCTTCTGTCTGAGCCAGCGGCCATGAGAAGCCCCGAGGTGATTCGCAAGAACCTGCGTGATGTGTCCATCTTGGACAAAGAAGTGAAATCCAGAAGCCTTGTTCTTCACTCGCTTGGAGATAAATTGAGGAAATCGGGAATCTCAGAACGGATACTGAGTGAACAGACTCTGGGGAAAGTACAGGAGGTGAAGGAGAGGTGAGTACAGGGAGGTATCTCAGTGTGTACATTAGCAAGATGTAGCCAGGTAGGTGTGTACACATATTGGGATCTGAGTGTGAATGGACACCTGCTGGAAATGTGTCTATTTTAAAGCACTATAACTCAGGTTATTGGAATACTTAACCCTTTACATGTTGCAGGTGATACCTTCCTCCTTCCAATGACCAGGTGGCTATCATTTAACTCCGTGTGTCCTCCATCCACCCAGAGTTTCTGCTAACAGGCAGTGAAAGGTGGATGCTGATATCAGGGTTGTTTTCACAGGATCCAGATGGTGCAGGACACCCTCCGGCAACGTACCTCTGATTTGAGGGACACCCTAGTACTGTCTGAATTCATGAAGGTCGTGCAGATGGAGGAGGAGAGGAGGAACAAAGAGCTGGTGAGATAATGGGTGAAATTTAACATGAGACTGAAAATATTTATATTAGAAGGCAGGGTGGGATTGTGCTTGTGGTGGTCGGATTCTGGTTACCAGTCAGTAGAGAATTCACACATTTCTCTCTTGCAATCATGGTCTGTAGGTTGGAGCCTTTTAGAGAATAAATGTCTCTCCTCATGCATTTGGTGCCTGGATGCTAGAGTCTTATAGCATGTATCTCAATATGCATCTTGAGATGGGAGTCTCGTACCATGTATCTCAATCTTCTTTCCTCCGGTCTGCCTTCTGGTGGTGGGAGTCTCGTAATCATGTACCTCAATCTCCCATCCTCCAGTCTGTGTCCGGTGGGAGTCTTATACCACATACCTCAATCTCCGGTCTCCGTCTGGCGGTGGGAGTCTTGTACCAAGTACCTCAATCTCCTTTCCTCCAGTCTGTGTCTTGAGATGGGAGTACTGTAGAGAATGCATGTTTCTCAATCTCTTCTTTTCAGTTTGTTATCTGATAGTGGGAGTCTTGTAGCATGTACCTCAATCTCTTTTCATGCAGTCAGGGTCTGGAGATACAATCAGAGAGGGACTCTGTGACCCAGGAATGGAGGGTGATCCAAGACATATGTTTACACCCATGGAGGAGCTACAGGAAGCTGTGGAAATGTTAAACGATGCAGCAAAGGAGCGAGAGAAGGCAGTGGCCCTCACCAAAGAGACAGAGAGCCTGCAAAGTAGGGTAAGTGGGGAGGAAAATTGAGGGTATGGTGACTGAAAAACTGAGCAATGCTTCACATTATAAGCACAGCAGATTACAGCAAGACTATTTCTCTCAATGTATTCGATATCCATGTGTAAATAAAAACGGTCAGTCCAAGTAACTCAGCTACGGATTTTAGAACTGTCCGAAGTGGCTACCTGGGTTCAAACAAGGGATGCGCTGATAGGAGGGCAGTGTGAGCAATGTGCAACCGTAATGTAACTAATGACAGGCTAGGATCATTCGTTCAGTGTAAATCTGACCAATGACAATGAAACATCACACGTTAGGTGGAGATGTGACATTGAGAAAGAAGGGCTGTCCTTTAGGTCAGTAAAGGACCATTTTTAACGTTGGCAGTCTGATCAACCAGAAAGCTGTCACTCTGTATTTGATAGTATTGCCCAGTAGAAGGCTGTGTCATGGCCTTTCTTCCATCGTTCTCCAGCTATCGGTCCTGTCTCAGATGATGTGCACCGCTCAGGATTGGTTGGATGAGATCACAAGGCAGACAGAAGATGCAGAACGGGATTTTGTGGCTGTGAAGAGGCAGACAGACCTCAGAGACCTACAGGAACTTTTCATTCAGCACCAAGATCTGGAGGTAAGAGCGTTCCTGTCCATTCAGCCATTTCCATCACATCTTTTTATCATTTTTAATCCAGTCATTCAGGAAAGGCTACTTTAACACAAGCTTTCAATTCTGCAAGATGTTCGCACCAAATAGACACCTTGTACTCTTCCCAGAGACCACTGATTTGCAGTCATTGTATAGTGATGTACAAACTCCCCAGAATGGAACTGTTCACACTGTTACCCCAGGGATTGACCAGTAGCATACTATCAGCTCCTGGGGGATCAGAGCAACTCTATACTGCAAGCTGGTTTGAGCAGGGTCCTCATCAACCAATTGTTCAGTATAATTTTGTAATTGTCTCATTTATTGGTAAATTTCCTCTTTTATTATATTGTAAAGCAGTGCAGTATAAGTTGGCGCTGACCAAGAGTAATAATGCAGAGGCACATGGCCCTGGCAGATTGTTTCCTTTTTACTGATACTAAAGCACTAATGGATACAGTCAGTTCTAGTCGGCCTAGTGTGTGGAGTGACTATCTGTAAAATACTAACTATACTTACCTTACAGTATAATGTGTCTGGACCGATCCAGCTGGAGGTCACAAGGCTGGAAGACCAGCTGGACAGACTACGAGAGTTGTCTCCATATGAGAACCATGTGGTGGGTACGGATGTTGAAGAAACCCTGAAGGCCTGGGTCCGGTTACAGGAGAGCGTGCGTGAGAACAAATCAAAATTACAGACGATGGACCAACTGCGAAAATTCTTTCTGAGTTACCTGGAGATGATGTGAGTGATCTATATTATTAGAGGTGTAACAGATTTTATCGTGAAGTCACTTGGACACAGTCTTACCTAATGGTCTAGTTTCACTGATACAGAAGAGTCAGTAATACCAGTATCTCCTGCAATGGCTTTCACATCAAAGCTAGATGATAGGGATGGCAGTCTGCACCACATATAGTTGCCAGTTTAAGTGGGAACCGATTATACTAGCTGCAAGATGTTCAGATTAAACCAGAAGCCTATTTATTAAACAGCATAGCCGATAATAGCAAACTATTGGAGAAGTATTGATGGAGTCAAGGTATAACCACGGTCAGCAGGACAACTCCCAGCTACATAGAAGCTATGCCATGCAGAGTCATTTACTGGTCTTCATCACAATGTCATATGTGTGGAGTCTCCATCCTGTGGCTAAATCTTTAGAGCTTAAGGTCCTATTGTGGAATTGTGCCACCTGCCTTCTGTAGAAACAGATAGTGACGATAAGATCTCTGACACAGGACCGAGACAATAAGATTTCCAGCACAGGACCGAGAGACTAAGATCTCCAGCACAGGACGGAGAGACTATGATCTCCAGCACAGGACAGTGACACTAAGATCTCCAGCACAGGACGGAGACACTAAGAGCTCCAGCACAGGACGGAGACACTAAGATCTTCAGCACAGGACGGAGACACTAAGATCTCCAGCACAGGATGTATCCTGGTTTTGTGCTGCCCTAGGCAGGACAAAACTCAGATGCCCCCCGCCCCCGCGCCAGCCCCACCCAACCCTTCCCCCCGCCCTGCCTTCTAAATACACACACACACACACATTCACTGACAGATATGCATTGCATACACTAGCTAACAGAAACACACACACTCACTAACAAACACACACGCGCTAACAGACACGCACTCACACACTAGCAGACACACACACACACACTAACAGACACACACACTCACTAACAGACACACACACACACACTAACAGACGCACACACACACACACGCTCACTAACAGACATACACACACACACACACTCACATATTTTTTTATTTATTTAACCCCCCCCCCCTCCCCAGCCTCCTTACCTTTGGGAATGCTAGGGTGTGTGTGTTCTCTTTCTCCCTGGGGGTCCAGTGGCTGCTGGGCTGGGCGGGCGGTTTGCGAGGGAGCACTTTCCCCTGAGCTGTCTGCTCAGCTCCCTCGCGCGCTGCCGAGTGAAGCTGGGAGCCGGAATATGACGTCATGTCCTGGGCATTTGGGGGCGGCTTTTTTTGCCGCCCCCTGGAAAATGCCGCCCAAGGCAAATGCCTTGTTTGCCTCGCAGCTAAAACGTCCCTGACAGGATGGGTACAATAGCCTCACTGTAATGGAAGCCATTGTTCTCACAGTACAGATATGTCATGTCTTATTTCAGGATTTGCAGGATTCTGGTCCATTTTGACAGTTGATATGTTTTTGTGATTTTGTGTGATGGATGTGGAACGTGATCTGAGAACATATTAATTTAGTTGTAGACACGATTGTGTATTTCTCATTAACAATAAACTATTCCTCTTTTTCCAGATCCTGGACTGAAGATACGAGAGCTCAGATTTTTTCAGACAGTCCCATTGTTGTCCCATCCCAAAGTGAGGAGCTGGAAAGGAGGATTGAGGCAAAACTGAAAGATTTTGAGGAGCTGGCTGCTATTGGGTGGAAATTTATAGGAGAGAATCATTTTCTTTCCCAGACGGTATGAGAGTTGAAATATCTCCCAGGAACATAGAGCAAAGTTGGCCTAGGATTAGTTATATGAGGAGCATTTAGATCTCTAAGCACTGCACCAGTTATTAGACATATTAGAAAACAAGCATGATGACGGTCTTGTTTTTCAAAGATGCAAGAACAGAGCTAAAAGTGAAGCAATCAGAAGGTGCATTCAATTGGTTTCCAATGCATTTGCTCCACTTTTAGAACTTTGCCCCAGGATTAAGCTTTGACCAGTCGAGGTGACATTTAGATGTGTATAGTGCATTGCTGTCACCTTCTGGATTTGTTAATAAATGCCACGTGGCATAATTTTTTTTTGTCCCGCAGATAAAAGAGAGAATGGAAGAGTTACAGGGAATGTTAAGTTGGGTACTGATGCGATGGCGGTGTCAAAAACATCAGAAGGTCATGGAAAACAAGATGGAAAAATGGAGGCCAGGAAAGACTGATGACAGCCATGGATTGAAGGTTAGTTACAATGCCAGTCATGAATTGAAGGTTAGTTACAATGCCAGTCATGAATTGAAGGTTAGTTACAATGCCAGTCATGAATTGAAGATTAGTTACAATGCCAGCCATGGATTGAAGGTTAGTTCCAATGCCAGTCATGGATTGAAGATTAGTTACAATGCCAGCCATGGGTTGAAGGTTAGTTACAATGCCAGTCATGGATTGAAGGTTAGTTACAATGCCAGTCATGAATTGAAGATTAGTTACAATGCCAGCCATGGATTGAAGGTTAGTTACAATGCCAGTCATGGATTGAAGGTTGGCTACAATGCCGGCCATGGATTGAAGGTTAGTTACAATGCCAGCCATGGCTTGAAGGTTAGTTACAATGCCAGCCATGGATTGAAGATTAGTTACAATGCCTGTAACAGATCACCTGGCACCCCGACTGGGTACCTCTGTTAATGGATGCTCCCAGTGCTTCTTGAGGATTCCAAGCACTCTAGCCAACACCACAACCACCGCTGGCCAAACCTCTCTTCCTTCAGAGTGAAGAAGGAACGAGCTCTTAAAAGAGCTTAGCAGTGAATATAGCAAGAGAGTATGCAGAGCATAGCAATCCCTTGTAGCAGATTCCCCCAACAAGAGACGGCAATCGAAATTGAGGGTGAAGTAGAACTGAACTTTTAATCCAACACTCTGCTTTTATGCCCATTTTACAAACATAGTACCGCCCACCAGTGGCGGATCCAGGGGGGGGGCAACGGGGCAATTGCCCCCCCCCGAGAAATCCGCCGGTCTCCCTCCCCTGCCAGGACATGCAGGTGCCAGCCCTGCAATGTGCCTGTGGACCGGGGAGGAAGATCAGAGATCTCCCTCCCCGGTCCGCAGGCACCGTGCTGACAGCCGGCAGGGGAGGGAGAGGGAGTGAGAGGGAGGAGAGAGGACCCGGGAGCTCTGCCTGCAGCTCCTCCGGGTCCTCTTCTCGTGAGATTTGGAGCGTTGCCGCAATTACCGCGGCAACGCTCCAAATCTCGCGAGAGTGAACTCTAGCCCGAGCGCGGGCTAGAGCTCACTCTCCCCACTGGGACCACCAGGGAATCACCACTGGGACCACCAGGGATCGAAATATGTTCCCCCTCCTCCCCAGTAAAGGTAAGAAGGGTGGGGGGACATAGGATATTTATTTTAATTAAATTAAAAAAAAATATATTATTAAAAAAAAGCCACACACACATACATTGCCCCCAATACTGCCCCCCCCATTCACACAAACTGCCCCTATACACACACACTGCCCCCCCATTCACACAAACTGCCCCCAATACACACAAACTGCCCCCCCATTCACACAAACTGCCCCCAATACACACAAACTGCCCCTATACACACAAACTGCCCCAATACACACAACCGCCCCCAATACACGAAACCGCCCCCATTCACACACAAACAGCCCCATACACACACACTGCCCCCCATACACACACTGCCCCCCATACACACACACTGCCCTCATACACACACACTGCCCTCATACACACACATTGCCCACACTCACACATACACTGCAATACTCACACACACACTGGAACTGTTACACACACATACGGTCCCACACATACACTGCATCCCTGACATACACTGCTGCCCTCATTCACATACTACAACCTTCACACACACACACACTGCTCACACACTGTCCTCCTCTCTCACACACACACACACACACATACTGCACCCTTTACACATTGCACCACTCACACACACCACTGCTCATATGCCCTACTACAGCCCCATTTCCCAGCAGACCTCAGGTAAGTTGTCAAACTGTTCTTAAACGGTTTGACTACTTACTGTGTGAGGGGGTCCCGGCACTATTGACACCATAACCACTACACTGAGCTGTAGTGGTTATTGTGTCTGGATTATTTCTTTAAATAATCTACAAGTGCCCCTCCCGAGATCAGGCTCTGGATCCGCCACTGCCGCCCACAGGGTTTTGTAAAACAACCAATCAATACATTACAACACAGTTAAACACTCCCATTCATACCAGCAGAAATCCTCCCCTCTGCCTGTGATACAATTACCGCAACACAATAGACTAACTTAATTATCACAGGCAGAAAATATATAGTTTTTACAAAATATTAATAACTTCCAAAATATACATGCCATTCACATAAAACATACATTTCAGAATCAGCATACTTGAAATATAAACATACTCAAAAATCAGGGCAATCCGTTCAGGGGTTAAAAATTTAGGTGGAGGTCCCATTCGAACGAGCGTTCGAATCTTCGAACGGAACTTAGTCTCCAGCCGCAGTGTCGAAGTGGAGGAGAAGGTACAGGTCAGCGGTGTTCGTGCAATTGGGTAGCTGAAAACAGTTCCATAGATTTGACGGCACACACCTCTGACCGCGTTCGAATGAATCAAAATGGCTGCCGCCACGTGTTCGGTTTTCGAATGGCGGCCACTTCGACTACTTCGGCACTTCGGCTGCATCCGAAGTGCCAATTTAAAGCTGCTCCAATACAATTTAAAGGGGCAGCAAGAGTCTTTTAAATCCAATCTGCTAAAATAGAGTTTTTAACAGGCCTGCAGCTCCTCCGGGTCCTCTTCTCGTGAGATTTGGAGCGTTGCCGCAATTACCGCGGCAACGCTCCAAATTTCGCGAGATTGTTCTCCAAAGTCACAATGTGCCCACATACGGTTCTTAAAGGGCCATACACAGTCCAATAGAACCCCATTATGCCCAAATAAGTTTCTTAACCTCTTAAGGGCCAAACTTCTGGAATAAAAGGGAATCATGACATGTCAGACATGTCATGTGTCCCTAAGGACAATACATCCCAGAGGCCGTACTCACAGGGCAGGAGGTGGTCAAGCAGCCCCCTCCAAAAACTCATGGCAAACTCCCTTAACCCCTTAAGGACAAAACTTCTGGAATAAAAGGGAATCATGACATGTCACACATGTCACGTGTCCTTAAGGGGTTAAAGGAGTACGTTCGCTACAGTGTGATCTTCAGTCATAATTACCATGTTTAAATTAGTAACAATACAAGTTTTAATTAGACTGGTAACACTAATGTCTAGGATTTATTCCTTTGTTTTTCTTGTATATTTTCAGAGGTTAACCACCTTTTCTAAGTCCTAGAATCTTTATGATTGTATCTTCTTTACAATATTTGTCTAGCTTGTCCTGTTATTTCCTGGTTCCTGCTTTACGTTAATCCCGGCCACTCTAAGGTCCAGTAATAAGTCTCTTCCTACCCCTACACCTTTACATTTGTAAGGTCGCTGTAGACACCAGAACGACTACATTAAGCTGTTGTTGTTCAAATGACTATAGTGTCACTTTAAAAGAGTGCCATGAGACAAAAGCCTTGTTACTTCCTGGTTTGGTTAGCTCAGTGGAGATAAACTCAAGAGTCAACAATTGCCCAGAGCACCTGCCTTGCAAAGACTCCTCATTGAGCTGCATTGGGAAGTCTGTGATTGGACAGCCACAGACAGTCTGGGCGGGGTTAGAAGGGGAGGGCTTGCAAAGGCTGCAGACAAGAGATCTTCAGCTTTTACAAGCTGTTATTAGATTTAACTTCAATGAAATGAAAATAAATTCTGCATGTTTTCTACTCAAATGTTTTTTATTTGGGCAGTGGAGTTTCCCTTTAACTGACAGGTTGGTGTCTGTTGCTGTCTTTGTGTAGGTGCAGCTCCCCCCAAATGATGTTCAGTATGAGACCACCAGCTGGACCCCACTAGAATTCTTTGAAGGTCTGCCGGATGTGAGCGCCAGCCAGCTATCTCACTCTGCCAGGAAACACCCACTGCGCCGGTATGAGAGGAAGACGCACAGCCCAATGTCCTTGCAGAGCTCCCTGTCCATGCTCTCTGTCGGCAGCGACGTTCACATCCCACAAACAGATAAATCGGGATTAAAATGTTCAGAGGGACCCGTGTGGCTGGAACCCAAAGAAATGCCAAGAGAAACTAAAATGGCGTCAGCTGAACCCTCGTACATGGTAAGAACCAGCATAACGCACATTTATACAGCCTAGTGCTAGGTCAAGGCCTCTGTCTCTCTCTCTGTCAGTATCTCTCTGTCTGTCAGTATCTCTCTGTCTCTCTCTGTCAGTATCTCTCTGTCTGTCAGTATCTCTCTGTCTCTCTCTGTCTGTCAGTATCTCTCTGTCTGTCAGTATCTGTCTGTCAGTATCTCTCTGTCTGTCAGTATCTCTCTGTCTCTCTCTGTCAGTATCTCTCTGTCTGTCAGTATCTCTCTGTCTCTCTCTGTCAGTATCTCTCTGTCTGTCAGTATCTCTCTGTCTCTCTCTGTCTGTCAGTATCTCTCTGTCTGTCAGTATCTGTCTGTCAGTATCTCTCTGTCTGTCAGTATCTCTCTGTCTCTCTCTGTCAGTATCTCTCTGTCTGTCAGTATCTCTCTGTCTCTCTCTGTCAGTATCTCTCTGTCTGTCAGTATCTCTCTGTCTCTCTCTGTCTGTCAGTATCTCTCTGTCTGTCATTATCTCTCTGTCTCTCTCTGTCTGTCAGTATCTCTCTGTTTTTCTTTGTCTGTCAGTATCTCTCTGTCTCTCTCTGTCCGTATCTCTCTGTCTGTCAGTATCTCTCTGTCTGTCAGTATCTCTCTGTCTGTCAGTATCTCTCTGTCTGTCAGTATCTGTCTGTCAGTATCTCTCTGTCTGTCAGTATCTGTCTGTCAGTATCTCTCTGTCTGTAAGTATCTCTCTGTCTCTCTCTGTCAGTATCTCTCTGTCTGTAAGTATCTCTCTGTCAGTATCTCTCTGTCTGTAAGTATATCTCTGTCTCTCTCTGTCTGTAAGTATCTCTCTGTCAGTATCTCTCTGTCTCTCTGTCTGTCAGTATCTCTCTGTCTCTCTCTCTGTCAGTATCTCTCTGTCTCTCTGTCTGTCAGTATCTCTCTGTCTCTCTTTGTCTGTCAGTCTCTCTCTGTCTGTCAGTATCTCTCTGTCTCTCTCTGTCTGTCAACATCACTGTCCTTCTCCCTCAATATCTATTTTTCTTTATCATACTCCATTTATATATCTTTCTGCCTGTCTGTCTGTCTGATTACCCCCCTGTATATATCCTGTATATAATGATAAAATAAGATTTTGTGCTGCTCATCACATTCAGGGATTTATTGAACTGCCTGCACCTTATGGGCTTTGTAACACACAATATGCAGTATATTACTGGCAGCCTCTGTATACAGCTCATGTCTCTGTATAACATCCTGGTCTCTGTACAAAGCTCCTGTCTCTGTATAAAGCTCCTATCTCTATAAAGCACCTATATCTGTATAAAGCTCCAGTCCCTGTATAACATCCTGGTCTCTGTATATCTCTGTATAACATCCCGGTCTCTGTATAACATCCCAATCTCTGTATAATATCCTGGTCTCTGTACAAAGCTCCTGTCTCTGTATAACATCCCAGTCTCTGTATATCTCTGTATAACATCCCGGTCTCTGTATAACATCCCAGTCTCTGTATAATATCCTGGTCTCTGTATAACATCCCTGTCTCTGTATAAAGCACCTGTCTCTGTAAAACATCCCGGTCTCTGTATAAAGCGCCTGTCTCTGTATAACATACCAGTCTCTGTATAAAGCTCCTATCTCTGTCTAACATCCCAGTCTCTGTATAAAGCTCCTATCTCTGTACAAAGCTCCTGTCTCTGTCTAACATCCTGGTCTCTGTATAACATCCCAGTCTCTGTATATAGCTCCTGTCTCTGTATAATATCCCAGTCTCTGTATAAAGCTCCTATCTCTGTATAACATCCCGGTCTCTGTATAAAGCTCCTATCTCTGTATAACATCCCGGTCTCTGTATAAAGCTCCTATCTCTGTATAACATCCCGGTCTCTGTATAAAGCTCCTATCTCTGTATAACATCCCAGTCTCTGTATAACATTCCAGTCTCTGTATAATGCCGTCCCTCTATTTTCCTCTTGGCCAGCCACATCCCCCCAAGTCTACGTTTTGGAGGCGCTGTCAGGAGCTCTTACAAAGTACTTTTGGTAGTTTAAAAAGAAATAAAAGAGTGTCGCCCCTGGTGGAAGAGGTAACAATGCATGCTGGGATTGCGTGCCATGGTGTGCGGTGGGGAGAGGTGATGGCATGTAGGTAATGCTAGCTGTACAGAACTTTAACTCCTGCCATCAAACTGTCTGAGGATGATGGGAGTGTATGGCTAGAACAGTTGTGCCTATGAAAGGATTAAGCAGAGACACTGCCACCTGCTGGCAACACGTCAGAATTAACTGCCTTTAAACTGATAGCCTACTAACGTATACGTACGTCCTGTTATATGTTTGGTCTTTTCATTTTATTTCGTCTTCTTTTTCCCTCATGTCTATTCTAAGTTTTGTATGTTTATATATAAAAATAAAAGGGAAAGTTTGGCTGAATGCAGAGATTCGTTTTGCCCAAGTAAGGTTTTTTAATCCCATTCTGATTTGCAATATAATGTTTCTAAATACTTTCATTAGTCCCTGGCCTTATCTTATAGTTAGGATAGCCTTATGCCTATCCGACGCATGCTTAAACTCCTTTACTGTGTTAACCTCTACCACTTCAGCTGGAAGGCTATTCCATGCATCCACTACCCTCTCAGTAAAGTAATACTTCCTGATATTATTTTAAACCTTTGTCCCTCTAATTTAAGACTATGTCCTCTTGTTGTGGTAGTTTTTCTTCTTTTAAATATAGTCTCCTCCTTTACTGTGTTGATTCCCTTTATATATTTAAATGTTTCTATCATATCCCCCCTGTCTCATCTTTCCTCCAAGCTATACATGTTAAGATCCTTTAACCTTTCCTGGTAAGTTTTATCCCGCAATCCATGAACCAGTTTAGTAGCCCTTCTATGACCTCTCTAAAGTATCAATATCCTTCTGAAAATACGGTCTCCAGTACTGCGTACAATACTCCAAGTGAGGTCTCACCAGTGTTCTGTACAATGGCATGAGCACTTCCCTCTTTCTACTGCTAATTAGAGATGTCGCGAACTGCTCGCCGAACTGTTCGCGAACTGTCCGCCGGCGAACAATAGCGTGTTCGCGTTGGGCGAACATATACGAATTCCGGTCCGCCCCCTATTCGTCATCATTGAGTAAACTTTGACCCGGAACCTCACAGTCAGCAGACACATTCCAGCCAATCAGCAGCAGACCCTCCCTCCCAGGAAGTGTCTGCTGACTGTGAGGTTCCAGGTCAAAGTTTACTCAATGATGACGAATAGGGGGCGGACCGGAAATCGTATATGTTCGCCCAACGCGAACATGCTAGTGTTCGCCGGCGGACAGTTCGCGAACAGTTTGCGACATCTCTACTGCTAATACCTCTCCCTATACAACCAAGCATTCTGCTAGCATTTCCTGCTGCTCTATTACATTGTCTGCCTACCTTTAAGTCATCAGAAATAATCACCCCTAAATCCCTTTCCTCATATGTTGAGGTTGGGACTCTATCAAATATTCTGTACTCTGCCCTTGGGTTTTTACGTCCAAGATGCATTATCTTGCACTTATCCACATTAAATGTCAGTTGCCACAATTCTGACCATTTTTCTAGTTTACCTAAATCATTTGTCATTTGGCTTATCCCTCCTGGAACATCAACCCTGTTACATATCTTAGTATCATCAGCAAAAAGACATACCTTACCATCAAGATCTTCTACAATATCACTAATAAAAATATTAAAGATAATGGGTCCAAGTACAGATCCCTGAGGTACCCCACTGGTGACAAGTCCAAGCTTGGAATATATTCCATTAACTACAACCCTCTGTTGCCTGTCACTCAGCCACTGCCTTACCCATTCAACAATATTGGAATCCAAACCTAAAGATTGCAGTTTATCTTGGAAAATTTAATAAAAACCGATGTTAGGATATTGAGAGCACCTTTAAAAATCTTGTCTCCACTGTATTACTGATGACATCCTTAACTTTGTTCATTTTTGCGCTGGTGTCTGAAGTAGGATTCATGTTGGACTGTTTTGCACGTCTTTTTACCCTGTTGTTACCATGTGGAGACGTATGCCTCTGCATGAGATATGTCTCTAGAATTTGCAAATCAATTTACTTCCCCCAGCCGCTCTATATTTTAAGATTAAATGTCTGAAGAGGCAGCAGTGCAGTGAGCGCATGTGATGTGATACTGTGTGCGCGTTGTGTCTTGATGTGCAGCCTGGAGCAGCATGACCTCTTGTGTGAAGTGATCAAAACTTATATTACTGTAAGCCATGAACTAAGTGCATGCAATCAGGTAACATGTAACCCGTATATGCTGCAGATATGGCGTGAGTTTATTATATTAGCCAGAATGTTATCGGGAGCAAAATAACCAAATATTTTACAAAGGGCACACAGTGTTATCGAGACATGGATTTCCCAGAATTCGCTCACATTCGCTCCAGTATCTGCTGGGGGGGCATGTACATACAATTGGCATAATTTGGGAGGAAAAAAACTTGTCACAGGGGCAGTTAACTTTTAACTTGTAAAATTGTTCCCCTAGGCTTATAATGTGACTGTCATGAAAGCATGAAACAGGAAAGAGACATGAATTGGCAAACAAGGTTAAGATATGTGAATTAAAATATAGAAATATCAATGACAATAAAACTCCTTTAACCCCTTAAGGACTGAACTTCTGGAATAAAAGGGAATCATGACATGTCACACATGTCATGTGTCCTTAAAGGACCACTATAGTGCCAGGAAAACATACTCGTTTTCCTGGCACTATAGTGCCCTGAGGGTGCCCCCACCCTCAGGGACCCCCTCCCGCCCGGCTCTGGAAGGGGAAAAGGGGTAAAAACTTACCTTTTTCCAGCGCTGGGCGGAGAGCTCTCCTCCTCCTCTCAGCCTCCGTTACGCCCCGCCGGCTGAATGCGCACGCGCGGCAAGAGCTGCGCGCGCATTCAGCCGGCCTCATAGGAAAGCATTTACAATGCTTTCCTATGGACGCTGGCGTGCTCTCACTGTGATTTTCACAGTGAGAAGCACGCAAGCGCCTCTAGTGGCTGTCAATGAGACAACCACTAGAGGATTAGGGGGAAGGCTTAACCCATTCATAATTATAGCAGTTTCTCTGAAATTGCTATAATTATGAAAAAATGGGTTAACCCTAGAAGGACCTGGCACCCAGACCACTTCATTAAGCTGAAGTGGTCTGGGTGCCTAGAGTGGTCCTTTAAGGGGTTAAGTGAATTCAGCAAACAATATGGACACATTCTCTGGTGTTATCGCAGAATAAAATAAAATGTCAGTGGAGCGCCTCAAGTAAAACGAAATATTTTAGAGAACGAAGGGTAACAAACAGGTAACCAATTAACCTATTACAATCAACAAATATACTGAGCAATGAATTCACCCTGTTCTCTCTGCATAAACAGTCCCATAAGACTCTATGGAAATAACGGTGCAATTTTACAATACTTGTAGCACAAAATCAGTCTCTTTGAAAAAAGATTTTTTTAAATGCTTTGTACAGTCTTTTGCAGTTGTTTAGTTTACCCATAATCCTGATTTGTATCCAATAGTTCCAAGAAAAAAATCTAATTTGGAAATATGATTAAAAACTTTCCTTTTATTTAGACACAATATCAATTATTCATAAAAGACATATGTATCACTTTCTTGGTACGTATATATAAAAATAGTCGTTTGAATGCAGACCTTAATAGATATGCTCGGTGTCCCGAGTGCTACTATTATTATTATTGCCATTTATATAGCGCCAACCGATTCTGTAGCACGTTACAATATTATGAGAGGGGGGATTTAACTATAAATAGGACAATTACTGCGTTATGTCTCTTCCGATATCGACTTTACCGATGTTTCGTATGGGCTGGATACCAATAGTGAGTTTCGTATTGAAAGGCTGTTCAGCTCAATTAATCACGAATTGTTACTGGTAAAATCACTGTTCAAAATACATTTTTGTGCATTCAAAACATATATGTATATTAATACTTTATCTCATTCTTCTGATAATCTAAGATTTATTCATGACATAATTTTAAATAAAATATTTTTTTTCGTTTATGCGGGTTATCATGGTAACTCCCGCTTATTTCATACGGTACAGAATTATACAAAATTATAAAATGCACATAACATAGATAGTTCATTATTACAATAAGCATCAATATAATATCAATATCATTATTTATATAACTATATTTAAAATCCAGCATAGCTATTGTTTTCTTAAAGGGGCCCTGTCTTTGAAAATGATGTTCTTTCAGGAGCAGTGTACACCATAAAGAACTCTTGTTATTATTAATTTATAATTTATATCACTATTTCAAAAGCTCATCATAATTAGTGTCCTCTCAAAGGAGGCCTGTTCCAAAAGAGGGTCTTCTTTGAAGGGCTCTAAATCTGCAAATATGGGCTGAAAGATATTACATAAGTATAAGTTAAAAATTGTTTTAAAAAATACACATGGAAAGAAATATTGACTAAAATATAATCATTGACATAAAAATATAAAAAACAATCTAGATAATAATCTAAACGTTAACCCTTACTATTTGTCTTAATGCTAACTTAACCCTATATTGCGTTGTGTCTCATGAAGAATATGTTGTTTCAGAAAATTTACCTAAAAAAATGGCACAACTTAAATTCTGCATTTAATCCTTTAGGGTGTAGAAAGTCTAACATATAGATCAATTTCATCTCTGCTATCCCTAATTGTTTCAAATCATTCTAGAACCTATGTCAGATGACATCAATTCACAAGACAGAAGCATTACAATTTCTGAAACTGTAGACCGATTAGAAGAAGAAATTAAGAAAATAAAAAAGAAGACTTTTTACGTTATATGAAGGATTATAAGAATAATAGGGTATCCATAAGAAATAAAATCCCTACTGTGACAAACTCCCCTTTCCAAGTGAGTTTGTCACGAGCTCCTGGAGGAGCCTGCTTGCCAGCCTCCTGCTCACACACTATGGATCCTGTAAAATGTAATGTAAAAGTCTCCATTCGTGTATTTGGACTGTATGGTTCGGGAACCGAACAGCCGCATGAACCGGAGACCACCTAGCAGCTTGTTAAGCGTTATTGCTACTTTGTGCAGTGTTCTAAGTGTTCGTCTGGGTGGCCGCATTTCCTATGGACGAGGTGGTGGCCATCTTGTTCACATGAACACAGGCAGCGGTGTTTGGTCGTCGAGTTCATGGAACTATTTTTGGACACTGAAACTCCCGAACACCGCTGGACTTCCACGATCGCCTGCGTTCGGTTCTACAACACTAAGAAACATGCTGTTCGGTGTTTTAGGGTGGTTTTATGTAATTTTACTTTTGGGGTGTTTGGTAAATGTGTGTTTTTTGTGCTTGGAGATAATTGAGTTTAATACAGTACTTGACTCAATTATCTCCCAGGCACAGGGGAAGGATTATCTTGTTTTGTATGAGAGTGTCCTGCACCTGAGAGCCAATGTAATTGTGTGTATGTTTTTACTGTAGTCTACTCTCAGGTCCAAGGGGGAGTGCCCCTTGCACTGGGACCTGCAAATAAGGCCAGTTGTGGCTGCCAATAAATGTATTCCAGCTTGTACTCCCAGAACTATGTGTCGTCTGGTTACTGGGAACTATGTGTCGTATGGTCACTGTTCCAGTATGAAGGATTTAACAGGGAAAGTCCTTGTAAGGACTAGAGCTCCCAAGACTGAGTGTCGTCCAGTGCCTGAGGGTGTCTAGAGCGAATCTCTATTTGGCTTCAGGAGGGAGCAGTTCCAGGACCCCAGTCAAGCCACGGCGACTGTGGGCAGAAGTGCTGTGGTTTGTCCCCTGTTCCAGCTAGGAAGCGGTCCTTTGGCGGAGGTACCCAGTCGGGGGTACAGGGAGGTCCATCACACCTACCATTCTAATAAACATCATCAAGAAGTACAAAACTCATACTATCTATCAGAGACAAACAACACACGGAATTCAAGATACACTCAGCAATCAACTCATACTAAGGAAAGAAATCCTAACCTTACACCGGTGAGAAACACCAGAAGAGGAATAGACAGACATCAGACAACTGTACACTGGCCAAAACACACTCATCCTGCAAGGAAGCAAACTAAGACAAATAGGCCAACTGAGTTACCGTCTGCTCACAACAAAAATTCAGAGAGTTACGGTGCATATGACCAGGGCAAGAAAGTGGTACAGACAATAACTCATCGACCAAGGCCAAACATATGAACAAAGTAAGATACGGAAAACCCTGGATAACCCAGTGCAAGAGGATACTATGAACATAAATACACCTACTACTGGAAACAATATGATGGTAGTGGAAGATCCATAATCCATCAATAGAAGTGTTATTTAGGGAAGAACTCCAGGGAAATTATGACGTGGTTCCTTCCAGTGACACCAAGGAAAACCAAATGGAAAGAACCCAATATATTGGAAATAGAGTAGGAAGAAGCACAAGAAATAACAAAAAAGAAAAGCAAGGAATGAACCTACTAGGTATTTTCAATTTAGCCGCAATTCTTTTATCCCCACGACACCTCAGCATTAAAGGACCACAGCTTAATGAAGTGGTCTGGGTGCCAGGTCCAGCTAGGATTAACCCATTCTTTTATAAACATAGCAGTTTCAGAGAAACGGCTATGTTTATTAATGGGTTAAGCCTTCCCCCAAAGCCTCTAGCGGCTGTCTCATTGACAGCCGCTAGAGGCGCTTGTGTGCTTCTCACTGTGATTTTCACAGTGAGAGCACGCCAGCGTCCATAGGAAAGCATTGTGAATGCTTTCCTATGCGACCGGCTGAATGCGCGCGCAGCTCTTGCCGCGCGTGCGCATTCAGCCGACGGGGAGGAACGGAGGAGGAGAGCTCCCTGCCCAGCGCTGGAAAAAGGTATGTTTTTACCCCTTTCCACCTTCCAGAGCCGGGTGGGAGGGGGACCCTGAGGGTGGGGGCACCCTCAGGGCACTATAGTGCCAGGAAAACGAGTATGTTTTCCTGGCACTATAGTGGTCCTTTAAACAAAGACTTAAAGTTTGCTCCCACCGTACATGTGAATGTGAACCCACACAACCCGCTTGTTATATTTACGATATTGCACTATTGTTTCTTATATGTTCTTTTACTTTGAGGTCAATTGGACACAGACCATTGCATATACACTTGTTTACGTATACAATTTATTTGTATCACACTGTCTAGGGCGTGGTTTCCTAATCCTATCTGTCCACATTATAGACATCAAAAGGTTTATCAGGAAATTGAATATCAAGAAACATTTTCATCAGCTCCCAGACTTTCAGAAGAAAGAAGAACCACAAAGTGCCTTCAAACATAGTCAACTTAGACCCATATCCACCTTGTTCCCAACTAATCATGTCGCAGCTGGAATGGAGATTTTTGAGGAACTAGTGACTGATGACATCAGGAAAATTAAACTGAACCAATAACCAAGAAACAATTTAACAAAACAAGAAATGGAGGCATTAGACAATCTGACCAGCAATAATGAAATCATTATAAAACTAGCAGACAAAGGGAGAGGACTGCTAATAATGTCCAAGAAGTATTATTTAAAAGAAGCTACCAGATTATTGAATAATCCAGAAATGTATGAAGTACTTCATTGTGATCCCCTTATGGGAATGAAAGATAAACTTGGGACAATGCTATCCAATGTTAAAGATGCAGGAATTCTAAAGGAGTCAGAGTTTAGATTTCTAAATATCGTCTTCCCAAAGATCCCAGTCTTCTACTTCTTGCCAAATATACATAAAAATGTGGAAACACCAGCAGGAAGACCAATCATTCTAGGAATCAATTTGATCACTTCAAATCTGTCACAATACATTGATTCATTCTAACAGCCATATGTGTCTAAGGTTAAATCACATCTATAGGACACTACACAAATGATTGGGGACTTAGCTGCTGTAGAATAAAAGGAGAACTATATTCTGATTATACACTATCATAGACCACGAGCAAGGCTGCAACTCAGTGTTAACAGCGCCAAAGAAAACTGGAGAATTGAAGAATGCCCAAATTCAGTTTAATATTGAAGGCATATCCTTTATATTAAAGAACAACTACTTCTGGTTTGAAAGGCAATTCTATCTACAGAAGAAAGGGTACAGCATCAAACATTATCTTCAGGGGAGCATCAAACATTAAGACATAGTTGACAAATAATTATCTAAAACCCCAAAAAGAGGCAAATGAGACCAAGAAGACAGGCTTTGTTTTCTATCAAAATTGTATTGACTGCAGAACAAGCAATTAAGAAGGTTATCTCTAATAATTCTAAGAATTCATTCATAATCAAAGATGTATTAACTTGCCAAAGCACTAATGTCATTTACGTATGGGAGTGCCCATGTGGATAATGTAGGTAACAGAGTGCACCTATAATCTTAATTTTAATAATGACAGGAGGCGAGTATTTTGCATTAACTTTCTTTACTTATGCCTCCAGCAGCACTAGTCAATCATTAAACTTAAACCAATTAGAAACAAGTAACACATTCCATATAAAGCCCTGACAGGCATAGCTCTTCCTCTTTCTTTGATGTGAATTGACAGTCTAGTCTAGTACACAGTCAGGCAATATAACAATAACGTTGAGGAAACTTAATAACAGTAGGTAGAGTTAAAGAACGGACACTTCCAGTATATCCAATCTCAGGACCGTAGATAAAGGCCACACTGAAAATAACAGAAACAAGTGAAAGGTAATGGTAATAAACGGATGTCCACATAACATAAAGGATCAATATGTAATTCAATGTTAGGATATTCTAAGTCAACATATCAAATTAGTATATTGTATACGAGATGTACTATATAGCAATAGGCGTATCTAGAATCACACCATTGGTATGAATAGCACTAACTAAATAGAACTAATAACAAGACGAAACCAGTCTAAAGTAAAATAGTCTGAGGGAAACTGCGTTAGCATAATCTACAATTTTACAACATGACAGGAGGCTTCATAATTTGCATTTTTAATGCTGTGGTAGAAACACAAATATGCGTCTAAAGTCTGGTTGAAGTAAAATACCCTGAAAGTCTCTTCTCGCGTCCAATCCGAAAGATATCGGCGAGGGAAACACACGACATGAACGCCCGAGATGCAGCCGCGCCCCGAATGTCCGCCAAACATGTCTCCGCTCCCACTAGGGACAATAGCCGATGTGCCCACCCAGCTAATGTGGTGGTCGTAACTGGTATGAAAGGTTTGTTATACAAAAAGAGAGGCTGGCCTGACTGTGAAGGCCGAAGAGGTGTAGACACCTTCACATGGTAAACATAAAAAGTAGTATGAGCTTCCCCGAGAGTTGTTGAAGAGAAAATCCAAAATGTCTGGCCAAACCCGTAGGGAACAGAGAACTACCTCTACATCCCATAACTGAGTGTATTTCAATACTGGTTCTGGATCGTATGATGCCTCATGACATACCAAAGATCCTGACCAACTGGTATGCAATGAAGCAGAATGTGATTCACCAAGAACACCGATGATACCTTATGGGTCTGTCAATAGAAAGGAAGACGATGGAAGGAGCAGTGGATGGCCCAGAAATGGAGTCAATAGGTCCAGTAACCACCCCTGATTCTGCCGTAGTTGCAAAGTGAGTGTCACCTAGGTCTCTGTGATGTAAAGACGATCAAGGACTCTTGCCAACATCGAGAAAGGTGGCACGTGTATGCCTCTTGCGTTGGCCCAGGTTGGAGAAATGCGTTCCATGCTTCGCATTGGGGTCTGGAAGCCAGAACGATCGCATCATGGTACACTGAGGTATCCAGTTGCCAACCGCTGGCAAGAAATACAGTCCACAGTGATTGGTTGGTGATCTCCTGAAGGTACTCTGTTCAGAGAGTAATATTGCATGGAAGTAAGAAACGGTAAATGTCCTTCGTTGTTACTGTTAGAGCCTGAGATCAGGCTCCGCCCAGGCGGTTTATGTATCAAACCTCTGAGATATTTCCCATGTGAAGGAGAATATAACAATTAGACATGTCCATGGCTAGCTGCGGGTTGCAAATTATCCCACCATCAGCCATCTTTTCCCCAGACCATTGTCTTCCAGTGGGAGTATGTGTGCCTTAGAGGCTGACGGTCGATTCCACTATGAAATCTGGTATGGATCTGAAGATTGCTTTGCCGTTCCATGTCGATATGTGGAAGCCATCATGAAGTTCCATTAACCCCTCTGGTGAGACCATCACCAGTGGTCGTAGGGGTACCTTGTCCCCAGGTAATAGGCTTTCGGGTGTTGCATAGCCCGGTAATGCAGAGTCCCTGAGAATATCACCTGTATGAAAAAGGGAAGGAGTCACATCAATCTGGCCAGGAAACAAAGGGGAATGGAGTCCTTGCAGAGTATGCAACGTATCTCCCTGCTAATTCCGGTCATTTCACACAATTGGACTACTCAGGATGGAGGCAGAGCCGGTTTTGTTCTGTTCCCCGTTCCCCCTAAAACCCCATGATTCCAGAAATAGAACAATAAGTTTTGTTTGATAGCGTAGTCTGAATGCCGACTCGCAGAATATCAGCATGTCGTCTAGATATCAGCATGTCGTCGCAGAATATCAGCATGTCGACTGGCTATAGGAGTTCCTTGAAGTACCATGGGTTGAACCCATAATGGTAGACATGTGAATTGGCACGGTCTGTCCTGTCAATGAAGCCAAAGGAATGGATGACTCCTTGGTGTGATTAGACAGGTATGTGTCCCTCAAATCCAAATGAGTGAACTGATCTTTGGTGCGGAGAAGATCTTGCAGAATATTAATACCATCCATCTTGAAGTGACGATTGTAACAGAGCTCCCTGTACCCCTGCCTGGGTACCTCCACTAAGGACCGCTTCCTAGCTGGAACAGCGGACAAACCTCAACACTCTTGCCCACAGTCGCTGTGGCTTGACTGGGGTCCTGGAACAGCTCCCTCCTGGAGACGAATTGGGAATTCGCTCTACACACCCCCAGGCACTGGACGACACTAAGTCCTGGGAGCTCTAGGACTTTCCCCGTGGTATCCTCCAAACTGGAAAAGTGATTAAAGAGTAGCCCTTTCCCCTCTGTCAGGATTACAAGTTGATCCAGCACGCAGAACTGTGTCACACCTAGGACTAAGGATAACGTATAACCGGACCTTGGAATGGCCGGACTTAACGGATCCAAGAATATTCAAAATATTTTCCGAGGTCAGGAACACAGAATCAGACACAACGATAAGGGAAAGCCAAAAGTCAAGGATACCAGAATTCAGGGAAGTCAAAACGAAGCAAAGGCAAATACCAGAAAATCAAGATCAGGAACGCACTCTCAGATTACCATCAGGATGAAACCACGACAGGGCAATGAGCAAAAGGAGAATTGGGTTTATATACCCCTCCTGTCGATCTGATTTCAGACATATAAATCCAGTACACAGATACACCTCAGTGATTAAAGACAGTTATACAGTCATCGATGTAGTATAATGATATTGCATTCTAGTAACATCTGAGGACCACATACAACTTGTCAGTTGGAGGTAGTTACTACGTTCCAGGGCCTTCAGTAAACCATATGTAGAGAACATACAGTAAATCAAACATAACAAAGGTATTTACAAAACCAGGCAAATAGGCATGAACCCAACTGGGTAGTATCAGGCCTCTACCATTTACTCCATTTTGCATTAGACATGGCATGTCGCCCTTATGTGTGGTTGTGAGCCACTCTTGTCGCCCTTTTCTCTCTTTCGCCTCCCTTTATTTCCCAATGTGTCCCCCTTCATTATACCAGGTCTCCCACGTTCTCCACGTCTCTCTGAATTTTGCGGTTGTCTGTGCAGTGTCTTTGGACATCTTCTCGTATACATAGAACTGATGTATTTTATCTTTTAGTTGCTGTAAGGACTGGCAGTTATGTTTTTTCCAGTTTAGCGCTATCAGATTGCGGACTGCCATGAGAACAATCAGTAACAGTTGTTTTTGGTCATTAACCACATTTTTATGTGCGGATGAATACGTGACACCCTCCCAGTAACCAGACAACACATAGTTCGGGGACTATAAGCTGTAATATGTTTAATCTGGCCAGATGGCCTGCTTTTATAAAGTTTCAAATACAGTTGAGCACACTCATGATACTCCCACAGAAACAGGATAATCTCTTCCCTATGTCAATTATCTCCAGGCACAAAAAAACACACAATTCACAAACACCCCAAAAGTACCATAAAATTACATAAAACCGCCCTAAAAGTTACATCCCCTGATAGTCCCGATCTGGGTGACCAACATATCCAAAAATCACCCAGATCAGTTCAGAGGTTCGGAAATTTCCTGGAAGTCTTAATTTGACCGACCGCAAACAAGGGTCCTGCCTAAAACAGTTCCACAAGATCAGGGCTAGTCCGGTAGTCTAAAAACAAACTACCGAACATAGTCAATATTCTTACCCTGGAGCTTGTTCCTCTTGTTCGTGGGATTGTTTCCACCGAACAGTGTCTTCCTAAGTGTTATAAAATGGAACACAGGCAATCATGGAAGTCCAGCCGTGTTCGGGAGTTTCAGTGTCCAAAAATAGTTCCATGAACTCGCCGACCAAACACCGCTACCTGTGTTCATGCAAACAAGATGGCCGGATACTAGAAATAGGATGGAAGGTATTGGCACTAAGGCCAGTTAAGAAAGACAAGCTGCAGGCGGCCTGCAGGGACCTTTTACCACCTACATTGTGAGCAAGTGTTCAGATGAAAGGCTGACCAAAGATTTTCATGTGTACATGCTCAAACCCTATTTCAAAAGAACTGAAGATGTGGGCACAGTATGTGCCCCCTCTTCCAGGGATAGTGAAGGACTTCCCCTCCCAGATTTATTAGACACCTCCCCGTGTACTATTGACCAAGTAAGCTTGGGTCAAAACTTAACCCCCTTAGAGAAGAGTGAGGCATCTCAACCGCTTCAGGGATACCAGGAAATGTTTTCTGCCATCCCAGGATATACCTCCGCTGCGGTACACCGTGTAGAAACCCAGGGAGAAACCCCTCTACGGCAGCAACCATATCGTATCCCTGGGGCAGTAAGTGAAAATATGCTCACTGAAATAAGGGATATGCTCAAGTTAGGGGTTATAGAACCCTCTCAGAGTCCTTGAGCTTCGCTGGTAGTATTAGTACCGAAGCGCGACGGCACCATGCGCTTCTGTGTAGACTATCGGAGGCTCAACGATCGTACCATAACTGACGCCTACCCCATGCCCAGAATAGATGAGCTATTAGACCGTATGGCTGAGGGGAATTACCTGACTACCTTGGACTTGTGCAAGGGGTATTGGCAGATCCCCTTGGAGTCTGCGGCCATCCCCAAGTCGGCGTTCGTCACTCCATTTGGGCTAAAGCAGTTCAAGGCTACCTTTCAGAGGATGGTCGATAGGCTCCTGGAGGGGTTCCAGGACTTCGCATGTGCATATCTATCTGCATATACAGCCGCACCTGGGGGGACCACCTGGGCCACTTGTCCTGGGTACTCAAGCGAATTCGGCTAGCGGGCCTCACATTGAAGCCTGACAAATGCCACATAGGCATGGCCGTATCTCGGCCACAGGGTAGGTTCCGGTAGGCAGCGTCCAGAGCCTGCTAAAGTAGAGGCCATAGCTAATTGGCTCCAACCACGTACTAAAACCCAGGTATTAGCCTTTTTAGGGACGGCCGGCTACTACCAAAAGTTTGTCCCAGAGTATAGCACCCTGGCCAAGCCTCTCACAGACCTTACCAAAAAGGCCCTACCTAAGCAAGTGACCTGGACCCCAGAGTGCACGGACGCTTTTCAGAGACTTAAAGCTGCATTAAGTGAGGCACTTGTGTTGGCAGCGCCCAACCATACTAAACAATTTCTTGTACACACAGATGCCTCCATGTTTGGGCTGGGAGCTGTGTTGAGCCAAGTGGGGGACGACGGCATGGAACACCCGGTGGCATACCTCAGCTGTAAACTTTTGCCCAGAGAGGTCAGCTATGCCACCGTAGAAAAAGAGTGCCTAGCCCTAGTTTGGGCACTAAAGAAACTGCAACCTTATCTGTATGGTCGACCGTTTACCCTTATGACCGACCACAACCCACTTGTGTGGCTAAACCTGGTAGCTGGTGACAACCCCAGGCTATTCAGCCAATACCGCCCGGGCAAACAAAACGGTAATGCGGACGGTCTGTCCAGACAGACCGAGCTGGACTCCTAAGTTACTTTTACCGGACATCCCCAAGCCAACCCGACAGGGTCTAGACGGGTATGCCGGCCCATGGAACTATAGGGGAGCAGTGTGAAGAAATCCCTCTTTGTGTTCGGTATTTCTCCCCTTTTTCATTCGGTAGATGTAACTACCGAACAGGGACCACCCTCCCGGCTCGTTAACTTCAAAGCATGCTTCAATTAAACCCCCTACCTGTGCGGCCGTTGTTCGTATTGCCGAACGCCACGTGGCTGAGAAAACAGCGGCCATCTTTTTCTGTGCGAACAAAGGCAGCGGGACTTGGTCATCGAGTGTCTGGAACTAAAATCGGACACTCGACTTCCCAAACACCGGTCCAAACATACGAACGCTAGGTCTTTATTTCCCAAACAGCTAGAAGATCGCTGTTCGGTACTTTTGTTCATTCGTATGAGGGGAACAATCGTTGCTAAGAGCCAGGGGGAACTGTTCGTGGAATTATTCGGTTTTTGCAACTTTACCAAATAGACCGGCAAAACTACCCAAACTCGTAGAACTGTTTTGGGCAGCAACATCGCGGTTAGCCGGTCACAAAAGACTTCCATACTTTTTGCGAAATTTTAATATGTTGGTCACCCAGATTGGGGCTATCAGGGGACATATTATTTGTGGGGATACCATATGCATAAAGGGGTGTTATAAATATTGGGTAAAACTGTATTTTTTTTCTGCCTGGAGATAATTAAGTTATTACTTTATCAGACTTGATTATCTCCAGGACTAGGGGAGGAAATTGTATGTGCTGGGAGTGTTTTATGTTTTCCTTGTAAATGATTGGATGTACCATGTCCCTCCCTGTCCGTCCCTTGCACGGGGACTTGCATAAAAGCCAGTGTAGTTAAAGGTCAGTTCTGTTGCACCCTTCTGCTAGACTCCGGCTGATGTTTGGGTATTTGTATGCTTTACTAAGGAAATCGTCTGGTAAAGCTATTGCATTCGTATGGGAATCGTTTATTTTATCTGCCGAACGGAGAGTTATAATCACTGATGCTCTGGCTGTTCGGAAGGAAACTACCGAAGGAGTATTGGATGTACTAGGTTTCCTTACAATATCCTCTGACCGTCTGGACCATCGAGATTGCTTCCCATCTGTGAAAAGGAGACATTTGCTCATTGCATTATAATAGCGTTGAGAAACGGAGATATCTACAAATATACATGTTTCTTCAGTACCACTAGGAACTGCTCTCTGAACAGGAGACCATTAGCCAATGGACCCAATTCCTTACCCCCCCACTCTACGAGTTTGGTGTCCAGTTTAAGAAGGGCCGCTTGTGGTGTTCGGCCCATAAGCCATGTTTGTAGTGCCCAGGATACGTAAAGCTTGTCGTGCTCGTTCTCGCATTATTTGCCTCCATTGGAGTGCTCTGTGAGAGTGCCAGGTCCGCATAATATAGTATCTTAGCCAATGGGTCGAGCAGTTATCTAGGGCTTTTAATCCTTTTTTCAATTCCCTTCCAGGGGTCCCAACCGGAGCGGGACCTAGAGGTCACCCCTGTGGAGTCAAATTTTGTAGTGTTGTGCCACGTTGTCGGGGAGAAGTGGGCGAGGGTGTTCGGCACGGAGTCGAACCCGCTGTCTTTTTTCCTTACACTTTTGTAACCTGAAGTGTCTGAATTGTGTCCGATGGTTTGGCTGCCCCCATTTCAACGATCTCTGTTGTTTTTCTGATCGTGAGGTGGTCAAACATAGCAACACCGTGGGTATCGGGAAATATCGTCTTCCCCTTTGCCTGTGGATTTGTGGGAGTCCTCCCCTTTGTCCACGGAATGTCGGGAGTCTTCCTTATAAACAAGGGGGTTAGGCCATCTCTAAAAAACTTTTGGACATATCAGGGATCCGTTTCAGGACCTGCCTTTAGTTTTCCGAGGGCCTGTGTTGGTACCCATCCAGTGTGTTTCGGATACGGTTAGTCCATAAGTTAATTGGCAGGTGGAAGACCCTGACCCAGCATCTTGGGAATTGCTGTTTCTACTGAGGCTGCAACAGCAGCATTTATCATAGATTGAAAGTCTTGAGTGTGAGGCTGAGGTGAGTTGCTTGTGATGTGTGTAAACACATTCTATACAATCTGTGTGCCCATTATAAACTCATTCTATACAATCTGTGTGCCCATTATGTACAATCTGTGTGCCCATTATAAACCCATTCTATACAATCTGTACATGTTAAACAAGTTATTGGGAACTGAAAATAAATCTGCAGAGCAGGGCAAAATAGCTGAACTGGTAGAGATAGCTGGAACTGGACAATTTTTCCAATTTGACAATTTTTTTTTTAAATTTTGCAATTACCTGTTCAATTTTCCTCAGTTGTGAGTTTAGTAAATACCTTGCCACCTCTGTTGGTCCTGTTCCTTTATCTATCTATATTTATTTCCTTATATGGTCCCTGACTGCTCTAGTTTCCACTTTCCTACAGAAAATTCACACTCTTGTTCTCTGCTGATTTTCATTAGTGACCTTGAGTGCAAGGACCCGGACTGTGCCTCACTCAACGTTTTCTCTCTCGCCTTGTGCAGGTGAGCACGTACTTACATCTGAAAAACAGTGATCAACAACCAATCATGTGCCAAAGTTTGACTGTGCCACGACCTTCTAAAAAATTTCATTGCCAAGACCAGTGTTCGCTGCAATGTCCATCCAGTGCAGACAACTCCTCGGTCAGCTTCCCCAAAAGCCAATTGCCGCTGCTTTTTGGCAGCCTCCAGAGGACTGGGGAAAACCAAAGATGTACTGATCACAGGGAGCCAGGATTTTATTCAGATGACATTTGTTTCAGTCCAAAGGAAGCAAGCCAACACCAAACCCACACGTGGCCATCAAAACATAGCAGTAAAGTCACAATATCTGGGCCAAATTCTCACCAATTTAAGTCCATTGATATTGAAAAAAATATGCTAATGAAAAATACTGATGCTGAACATGGGACCTATGGCTCAGCTTCAAACACAGCTGAACCCACAGACAGCAACCATAATTCCAATACATCTCCAAATTTAACTTCCACCTGTAGACATCTTACCTTGGGTTCTGTAGTGAGTCTAAAGAAACTTAATGAAGAACATGTTCAAAAGCCGAACCCATTGCATGCCAGGGAGTCTGACAAAAGTGATAGCATAGTCCCTCATTATGGGATGGATCGAGTTACTGCGGAAAGAACTGGACAAACTGACACCATATTTAGCATATCATCTGAGGAGAACAGCAGTCTGGAAGCTCATTCTCCGGCCAGTAGAACATGGATAGAGGCTCTAAGTCACAGCACTGGCTATTGCAGGAAAAACCTACATGCATATGCTCAATCCATAGAAAGCTCAACAAACCACGTGATGGAAGGTTCAACTGAGACTTTAATTGACTTTGAACTGGGCAGATTATCACCATTGGGTGTCCCTAATAGATATTTGGAACCAGAATGTGAACAATTTGATATTGTATCGAAACCATGGCAACATCAAGAGAACAGCACTGTTGAATTGATTATTTCAGATAGACAGAATGCCATCTGCCATCCTTTAGTCTTCAAGGAGAAAACAGAAGTTATTTGCTCAAAGATGTCTTCAATTACTGAGCGACATGGTGAGAACTTAGTTCAATGCGACCTTACAGCAATACTTTCTGATATGGATGATGAAGCCGCTAATCAAATTTCCAAGTTCAGCCTCTCAAGCATTCCCCAGCCATGCAGGTTTGTGAATGACCCTTCTGGAAAACATAGTTTCTCTAAATCTCCTTCTCCGGTATTGCCGGAAGTTCTCCACCCTGACCATGAGCTTCTGGAAGAAGATGACGAGGAGCTGAAGTGCATATGGAACAATGCTGAGCGTATTCGTGTGGGTTGCCCCAAATTTCGAAACAAATCAATACTGGACAGAAAAGCAGAGGGGGGAGGCTCAGCAAAGCAGGTGTTGATGATGGCGGAACCAAATATGTTAGGTGCCACATTTACATTGCCCATGGCGGCTCCAGTTCCTTTTGAATCTGTGAAGGAAAGAGAAGTCTCAGAATCTACAGAAAAGGGGAGCCCACACCGAGAAAAAATTGTGCTTTTGGATCATAGAGGTCCTTATCAGCAGAAGATCCAAGAGAACTGTCCAACACAGGATTCGGGTGGAAAAGTTCTTCAAATGCCGGCAGATAGTAGAAAAGAGAAAGAAACAAAGAATGACATAGAAACTAGTGCCATGAAGGTAAGAATTCATGGATGGATGGATTGATTGATGGATGTATGGGTGCATTGACAGACAGATGGATGTATGTATGGATGGATGTATGGACAGAGTGATGGATGAGTGGACAGGTGGATGGGTGGACAGACCGATGGATGTATGGACAGACCAATGGATGTATGGACAGACAGATGGATGGACAGCTTGATGGATGTATGGACAGGTGGATAGACCGACAGATGTATGGACAGACAGATGGATGGACAGCTGGATGGATGTATGGACAGAGTGGTGGGTGGATGGACTGACAGATGGACAGACAGATGGATGTACAGGCAGATGGATGAATGGATGGATGGATGAACAGCTGGATGGATGGATGGACAGGTGGATGGCTGGACAGCTTGATGGACCGACAGATTGATGGACAGACAAATAGATGTAAGGACAGACAGATGGATGGACAGCTGGATGGATGTATGGACAGAGTGATGGGTGGATGGACTGACGGATGGACAGACAGATGGATGTACAGGCAGATGGATGGATGAATGGATGGATAGACAGCTGGATGGATGGATGGACAGGTGGATGGCTGGATGCAGCGACAGATGCATGGATATATTTCTCCATTAAAGTCCAGAGCAAGTACAGGCAACCTGACACCAAAGCTGCACAGACTTCAGCTCCGGTCATGAGGCCCAAAAGTAATGGGAGTTGTGTTCCAGCTGGAGTAGATCTGTGTACAGATTCTTGTACAGATATTGCATAATCCGGCGCAAGAGCTTAATGTGCCAAATTCACCCAAAGAAAAACATAATATAAACCATGTGTGTAGGGACTTCCTTGGGGACTTGACAATGGATGGGACTCGCCCCAGGGTGTGGAATATTAGTCTGGAAAATGTATACTGTGTGGCTGTATATACATTACTGTTGTCCTTCTCACAGCGTTTATCTAAAATGTCCCCAGTTACAGAGGAATAGTGATAGTGACAGAAAAGGTAAGGGTAGGGTAGAAAAGTATGTTGCTAGGATAGTATTTAATGAGTGTTTTTTTTTGTTTGTTTGTTTTTTACTATAATAGTTGCCGGAGAGGAATAATGGTTTGGAGGGGGTGGGGGGAAGGCAGCAACTATAACATTTAATTGATAAGTGTTCCTGAAGAAGTGAGTTTTCAGTTATTTTTTGAAGGAGTGGAGACTGGGTGAAACATCTCTCTCAATCCATCTCTGTCCATCCGTATCTCTCTCTATCCATCTCTCTCTATCCAACCAACCATATATCTCTCTCTCTCTATCATCCATTTCTCTCCATCCATCTCTCTCTACCCATCCGTCCATCTCTCTCTATCCATTTATCTCTCTCTATCCGTCCATCTCTCTCTATCCATTCATCTCTCTCTATCCATCCATCTCTCTCTATCCATTCATCTCTCTCTATCCATTCATCTCTGTCTATCCATTTATCTCTCTCTATTCATCCATCTCTCTTTGTCCATCTATCTCTCTCTATCCGTCCATCTCTCCCTATCCATCCATCTCTCTCTATCCATCTCTCTCTATCCATTCATCTCTCTATCCATTTATCTCTCTATCCATTCATCTCTCTCTATCCATCCATCTCTCTCTATCCATTCATCTCTGTCTATCCATTTATCTCTCGCTATTCATCCATCTATCTCTCTCTATTCGTCCATCTCTCTCTATTCATTCATCTCTCTCTCTATCCATCCATCTTTCTCTATCCATCCATCTCTCTCTATCCGTTCATCTCTCTCTATCCGTTCATCTCTCTCTATCCGTTCATCTCTCTCTATCTGTTCATCTCTCTCTACCCATCTCTCTATCCATCCACCCATCCATCTATCTCTCTCTATCGTTCATCTCTTTTTATCCATCTCTCTCTATCCATCCATTTCTCTCTATCCATCTCTCTCTAGCTATCCGTCCATCTAACCCTCTGTGTCCGTCCATCTATCTTTCTCTATCCGTCTGTCTATCTCTCTTTCTATCCATCTCTCAATTCATCTAATCCATCCATTCTTACATTATTATGTATATAGCGCCAACAAATTCCATAGCGCTATACACTGGGTGGACAAACAGACACGTATTTGTAACCAGGCAAGTTGGACGCACAGTAACCGAGGGTTTGAGGGCCCTACTCAATGAGCTGACATGCTAGAGGTAGTGGGGTATAGTGACACAAAATGTAAGGTTTGGGGTATGTATACTGTTAGGGTTAGTGTAAGCATAGTGCTAAGGTTGGGGTTAGGGTTAGTACAGTTTAGGGGTAGGTATACTGTTAGCGTTAGTGTTAGTGTAGGGTTAGGGTAGGGTTAGTACAGTTTAGGGGGAGGTATACTGTTAGTGTTAGTACAGTTTAGGGGTAGGTATACTGTTAGTGTAAGTGTTAGCGTAGGGTTAGGGTAGGGTAGAAAAGTATGTTGCTAGGGTAGTATTCATTGAGGGCTTAGTGTTTTGTTTTTTTACTATAATAGTTGCAGTAGAGGAATAAGAGTTTGGAGGGTGGGAGGGGGGCAGGAACTATAACATTTAATTGATAAGTGTTCCTGAAGAAGTGAGTTTTCAATTATTTTTTGAAGGAGTGGAGACTGGGTGAAACATCTCTCTCAATCCATCTCTGTCCATCCATATCTCTCTCTATCCATCTCTTGCTATCCAACCATCTCTCTATATCCATCTCTCTCAATCCATCTCTGTCTATCCATCCATCTCTCTCTATCCATCTATTTCTGTCCATTCATATCTCTCTCTATCCATTCATCTCTCTCTATCCATCTCTCTTTATCCAACCATCTCTCTCTATCCATCCATCTCTCTCTATCCAACCATCTCTCTCTATCCAATCATCTCTCTCTATCCAACCATCTCTCTCTATCCATCCATCTCTCTCTATCCATCTCTCTATATCCATCCATCTCTGTCTATCCATCCATGTCTCAATCCATCTTTCTCTATCCATCCATCCACCCACCCACCCACCCATCTCTGTCTATCCAGCCATCCATCTCTCTATATTCATCTCTGTCTATCCATCTCTCTGTCCATCTTTCTCTCTCTATCCATCCATCTCTTTCTATCCATCCATCTCTGTCCATCCATCTCTCTCTATCCATCCATCCATCTCTGTCCATCCATCTCTCTCTATCCAACCATCCTTCTCTCAATCCATCTATCCTTGTATCTATCTCTCTATCTATCAATTCTTCCACCCGTCCGTCCACCTGTCCATTTATCTCTCTGTCTGTCCATTCAGCTGTCTGTAGTGCATGATATAATTAACCCTTTGTGTTCTTCCTCAGAGCATTTCCAGATGTAGAGATAACCTTTGTCAGGGCTATGCAGGGAGTATAAATTAACCCTTTCATTCCACCATTCCAGAATACATGCTTTAACCCCTTGTTCTCTCGATTTTCACAGTTATTGCAGGTTAACAGAAAATTGGATTTCCAGTTAATGGAGGGTCCCCTGGAAAGAAAGCACAGCCTGCAGTCAGGGGGAAGGAAGGTAAGTGGCAGTCTGTCACTGGGCCATGCTGGTGAGGGGTGGATGGTGAGTGAAGGTTGGAAGGATACTAACAAAGTGAGTGGAGGTTACTGTGTTAAGGATGAGTTTCAGTCTGCAATGAGTGAGTTAATATCCAGATATGTGCGGGAGCAAAACTTTACAGTATCTGTCTGTCTGTCCAGGCATCAAACCGTACATGGAGTGTATACTATGCCGTGCTTGTGAGACGGACCCTGTGTTTTTACCACGACCGCAGACATTCCAAGGTGAGTCCTGCACCTGTTGTATTTAAAACACCTGCACTATATACAGAATATAGGCCAGTAAGCTTTACTTCAGTAGTGGGGAAAGTGATGGAAACCATGTTAAAGGATAGGATTGTTGAACATCTAAAATCCCAGGGATTTCAAGAGCAGAGACAATATGGGTTTACTTTTTTGATTGGGTAACTAAAATTATAGATCAGGGTGGTGCAGTAGACATTGCTTACCTAGATTTCAGTAAGGCTTTTGACACTGTTGCACATAGAAGGCTTATCAATAAACTGCAATCTTTAAGTTTGGATTCCAATATTGTTGAATGGGTAAGGCAGTGGCTGAGTGACAGGCAACAGGGGGTTGTAGTTAATGGAGTATATTCGAAGCTTGGACTTGTCACCAGTGGGGTACCTCAGGGATTTGTACTTGGACCCATTCTCTTTAATATTTTTATTAGGGATATTGCAGAAGGTCTTGATGGTAAGGTATGTCTTTTTGCTGATGATACTAAGATATGTAACAGGGTTGATGTTCCAGGAGGGATAAGCCAAATGGCAAAAGATTTAGGTAAACTAGAAAAATGGTCAGAGTTGTGGCAACTGACATTTAATGTGGATAAGTGCAAGATAATGCAGAGTACAGAATATCTGACAGAGTCCTAACCTCAACATATGAGGAAAGGGATTTAGGGGTGATTATTTCTGATGACTTAAAGGTAGGCAGACAATGTAATAGAGCAGCAGGAAATGCTAGCAGAATGCTTGGTTGTATAGGGAGAGGTATTAGCAGTAGAAAGAGGGAAGTGCTCATGCAGAGGCGTAACTAGAAACCACAGAGCCCCGGTGCGAAAATTGCCCTGGGGCCCCCCCCCATACATCCATGGAGACAAACAGAAACACATACAGACACACACACATACACATAGAGACCCATACATACATACAGACACATGTAAAGACTCATACACACACACTCAGACATATACACACGTACACTCACAGACCCACAAGCACACACAAACAGACACACACACTCAGACACACATACACTTACAGACACACACCTACATACACTGAGACACACATACACTTACAGACACACTCACAGACACACACACACAAACACTCAGACACACACACTCACAAACACATACACACACACACACTCAGACACACATACGCTTACAAACACTTACAGACACACACACACTCACAGACACACTCACATACACTCAGACACACACACTCACAGACAAACACATACATACACACATACACACACACACACTCAGACACACACAAATTATTAATATTAAATGTCCACCCAGTGGGCCAGTGGGGCTTCAGTGCGGCGAGCAGCAGAGTTCCTGTCAGACGCGGCGTGGGAGCTGTGTTCTCTCTGCTCTGCTCCCTCATGGGCTGTCTACTGATGCGGAGAGCTGAAATATGACGTCATATTCCGGCTCCCTCACTGCATCTGTCATTAACTCTGCCGCCTGCCAGGGGAGTCCTATGAGAGGGGGAACACAGAGGGGGCAGCATCTAGGCGGCCCACGGTCGCAGGGGTCGTGGCTGCGGCCGGGCCACTTGCAGTGAGGGGCCCAGTCGCAGCTGCGACCCGTGCGACCGTGGTAGGTACGCCACTGTGCTCATGCCATTGTACAGAACACTGGTGAGACCTCACTCGGAGTATTCTACACAGTACTGGAGACCGTATCTCCAGAAGGATATTGATACCTTAGAGAGGGTTCAGAGAAGGGCTACTAAACTGGTTCATGGATTGCGGGATAAAACTTACCAGGAAAGGTTAAAGGATCTTAACATGAATAGCTTGGAGGAAAGACGAGACAGGGGGAATATGATAGAAACATTTAAATACATAAAGGGAATCAACACAGTAAAGGAGGAGACTATATTTAAAAGAAGATAAACTACCACATCAAGAGGACATAGTCTTAAATTAGAGGGACAGAGGTTTAAAAATAATATCCGGGAGTATTACTTTACTGAGAGGGTAGTGGATGCATGGAATAGCCTTCCAGCTGAAGTGGTAGAGGTTAACACAGTAAAGGAGTTTAAGCATGCATGGGATAGGCATAAGGCTATCCTAACTATAAGGTAAGGCTAGGGACTAATGAAAGTATTTAGAAAATTGGGCAGACTAGATGGGCCGAATGGTTCTTATCTGCCGTCATATTTTATGTTTCTATTATAGCATAGAGCCTGCTCTGCATTATATACAGTATAAAGCATGCTCTGCATTATATACAGTATAAAGCCTGTTCTGCTCTAAATACAGTATAAAGCCTGTTCTGCACTATATACAGTATAAAGCCTGCTCTGCACTATATACAGTATAGAGCCTGCACTGCACTATATACAGTATAGAGCCTGCTCTGCATTATATACAGTATAAAGCCTGTTCTGCACTATATACAGTATAAAGCCTGCTCTGCACTATATACAGTATAGAGCCTGCTCTGCATTATATACAGTATAAAGCCTGCTCTGCATTATATACAGTATAAAGCCTGCTCTGCACTATATACATTATAGAGCCTGCTCTGCATTATATACAGTATAGAGCCTGCTCTGCACTATATACAGTATAGAGCCTGCTCTGCATTATATACAGTATAAAGCCTGCTCTGCACTATATACATTATAGAGCCTGCTCTGCATTATATACAGTATAGAGCCTGCTCTGCACTATATACAGTATAGAGCCTGCTCTGCATTATATACAGTATAAAGCCTGCTCTGCATTATATACAGTATAAAGCCTGCTCTGCACTTTATACAGTATAGAGCCTGCTCTGCATTATATACAGTATAGAGCCTGCTCTGGACTATATACAGTATAGAGCCTGCTCTGCATTATATACAGTATAAAGCCTGCTCTGCATTATATACAGTATAAAGCCTGCTCTGCACTTTATACAGTATAGAGCCTGCTCTGCATTATATACAGTATAGAGCCTGCTCTGCACTATATACAGTATAAAGCCTGCTCTGTAATATAGACAGTATAGAGCCTGCTCTGCATTATATACAGTATAAAGCCTGCTCTGCACTATATACAGTATAAAGCCTGTTCTGCATTATATACAGTATAGAGCCTGCTCTGTAATATAGACAGTATAGAGCCTGCTCTGCATTATATACAGTATAAAGCCTGCTCTGCACTATATACAGTATAGAGCCTGCTCTGCACTATATACAGTATAAAGCCTGCTCTGCGTTATATAAAGTATAGAGCCTGCTCTGCACTATATACAGTATAGAGCCTGTTCTGCATTATATACAGTATAAAGCCTGCTCTGCACTATATACAGTATAAAGCCTGTTCTGCATTATATACAGTATAGAGCCTGCTCTGTAATATAGACAGTATAGAGCCTGCTCTGCACTATATACAGTATAAAGCCTGCTCTGCATTATATACAGTATAAAGCCTGCTCTGCACTATATACAGTATAAAGCCTGTTCTGCATTATATACAGTATAAAGCCTGCTCTGCATTATATACAGTATAGAGCCTGCTCTGTATTATATACACTATAAAGCCTGCTCTGCATTATATACAGTATAAAGCCTGCTCTGCACTATATACAGTATAGAGCCTGCTCTGCATTATATACAGTATAGAGCCTGCTCTGCACTATATACAGTATAAAGCCTGCTCTGCACTATATACAGTATAGAGCCTGCTCTGCATTATATACAGTATAAAGCCTGCTCTGCATTATATACAGTATAAAGCCTGCTCTGCACTTTATACAGTATAGAGCCTGCTCTGCATTATATACAGTATATAGCCTGCTCTGCACTATATACAGTATAAAGCCTGCTCTGCACTTTATACAGTATAGAGCCTGCTCTGCACTATATACAGTATAAAGCCTGCTCTGCATTATATACAGTATAGAGCCTGCTCTGCATTATATACAGTATAAAGCCTGCTCTGCATTATATACAGTATAGAGCCTGCTCTGCACTATATACAGTATAAGCCTGTTCTGCATTATATACAGTATAGAGCCTGCTCTGCATTATATACAGTATAAAGCCTGCTCTGCACTATATATAGTATAGAGCCTGCTCTGCATTATATACAGTATAAAGCCTGCTCTGCACTATATACAGTATAAAGCCTGCTCTGCACTATATACAGTATAAAGCCTGTTCTGCATTATATACAGTATAAAGCCTGCTCTGCATTATATACAGTATAGAGCCTGCTCTGTATTATATACATTATAAAGCCTGCTCTGCATTATATACAGTATAAAGCCTGCTCTGCACTATATACAGTATAGAGCCTGCTCTGCATTATATACAGTATAGAGCCTGCTCTGCACTATATACAGTATAAAGCCTGCTCTGCACTATATACAGTATAGAGCCTGCTCTGCATTATATACAGTATAAAGCCTGCTCTGCATTATATACAGTATAAAGCCTGCTCTGCACTTTATACAGTATAGAGCCTGCTCTGCATTATATACAGTATATAGCCTGCTCTGCACTATATACAGTATAAAGCCTGCTCTGCATTATATACAGTATAAAGCCTGCTCTGCACTTTATACAGTATAGAGCCTGCTCTGCATTATATACAGTATATAGCCTGCTCTGCACTATATACAGTATAAAGCCTGCTCTGCACTATATACAGTATAGAGCCTGTTCTGCATTATATACAGTATAAAGCCTGCTCTGCACTTTATACAGTATAGAGCCTGCTCTGCACTATATACAGTATAGAGCCTGCTCTGCACTATATACAGTATAAAGCCTGCTCTGCATTATATACAGTATAGAGCCTGCTCTGCATTATATACAGTATAAAGCCTGCTCTGCATTATATACAGTATAGAGCCTGCTCTGCACTATATACAGTATAAGCCTGTTCTGCATTATATACAGTATAGAGCCTGCTCTGCATTATATACAGTATAAAGCCTGCTCTGCACTATATATAGTATAGAGCCTGCTCTGCATTATATACAGTATAAAGCCTGCTCTGCACTATATACAGTATAAAGCCTGCTCTGCATTATATACAGTATAAAGCCTGCTCTGCACTATATACAGTATAAAGCCGGTTCTGCATTATATACAGTATAGAGCCTGTTCTGCATTATATACAGTATAGAGCCTGCTCTGTAATATAGACAGTATAGAGCCTGCTCTGCACTATATACAGTATAAAGCCTGCTCTGCATTATATACAGTATAAAGCCTGTTCTGCATTATATACAGTATAAAGCCTGTTCTGCATTATATACAGTATAGAGCCTGCTCTGTAATATAGACAGTATAGAGCCTGCTCTGCACTATATACAGTATAAAGCCTGCTCTGCATTATATACAGTATAAAGCCTGCTCTGCATTATATACAGTATAAAGCCTGCTCTGCACTATATACAGTATAAGCCTGTTCTGCATTATATACAGTATAGAGCCTGCTCTGCATTATATACAGTATAAAGCCTGCTCTGCACTATATATAGTATAGAGCCTGCTCTGCATTATATACAGTATAAAGCCTGCTCTGGATTATATACAGTATAAAGCCTGCTCTGCATTATATACAGTATAGCGCCTGCTCTGAATTATATACAGAGTTAGCGTTAGTGTAAGCATAGGGTTAGGGTAGGGATAGTACAGGATAGGGGTAGTTATGCTGTTAGTGTTAGTGTAAGCCTAAGGTTAGTACAGGTTTGGGGTAGGTATACTGTTAGCGTTAGTGTTAGCGTAAGGTTAGGGTTAGGGTAGGGTTAGTACAGTTTAGGGGTAGGTATACTGTTAGTGTAAGTGTTAGTGTAGGGTTAGGGTTAGAGTAGGGTTAGTACAATTTAGAGGTAGGAATACTGTTAGCGTTAGTGTAAGCATAGGGCTAGGGTTAAGGTAGGGTTAGTACAGGTTAGTGGTAGGTATACTGTTAGTGTTAGTGTAAGCATAGGGCTAGGGTTAAGGTAGGGTTAGTACAGGTTAGTGGTAGGTATACTGTTAGTGTTAGTGTTAGCGTAGTGCTAAGGTTGGGGTTAGGGTTAGTACAGTTTAGGGGTAGCTATACTGTTAGTATTAGTGTAAGCATAGGGTTAGGGTAGGGTTAGTACAGGTTAGTGGTAGGTATACTGTTAGTGTTAGTGTAGGGTTGGGGTTAGGGAGTGTTAGTACAGGTTTGGTTGTAGGTATACTGTTATTGTTAGTGTAAGAATAGGGTTAGGGGTAGGGTAGGGTAAGTACAGGTTAGTGGTAGGTATACTGTTAGTGTAGGGTTGGGGTTAGGGAAGGTTAGTACAGGTTTGGGGTAGGAATACTGTTAATGTTGGTGTAAACATAGGGTTAGTACAGGTTTGGGGTAGGTATACTATTAGCGTTAGTGTAAGCATAGGGTTAGGGTTGGGGGTAGGGTTAGTACAGTTTAGGGGTAGGAATACTGTAAGCGTTAGTGTAAGCATAGGGTTAGGGTTAGTACAGGTTAGTGGTAGGAATACTGTTACCGTTAGTGTAAGCATAGGGTTAGGGTTAGAGTTAGTACAGGCTATGGGTAGGTATACTGTTAGTGTTAGTGTAAGCATAGGGTTAGGGTTAGTACAGGTTTGGGGTAGGAACACTGTTAGTGTAAGCATAGGGTTAGTACAGTTTAGGGGTAGGTATACTGTTAGCATTAGTGTAAGAATAGGGTTAGGGTAGGGTTAGTACAGGTTAGGGGTAGGTATACTGTTAGCGTTAGTGTAAGCATAGGGTTAGGGTAGGGTTAGTACAGGTTAGGGGTAGGTAACTCTAGCGTTAGTGTAAGCATAGAGTTATGGTAGGGATAGTACAGTTTAGGGGTAGGTATACTGTTAGCATTAGTGTACGAATAGGGCTAGGGCTAGGGTGGGGTTAGGGGTAGGTATACTGTTAGCGTTAGTGTAAGCATAGGGGTGGGTTAAGGATGGGTTAGTAAAGGTTAGGGGTAGGTATACTGTTAACGTTAGTGTTAGCGTAGGGTTAGGGTAAGGTTAGTACAGTTTAGGGGTAGGTATACTGTTACCATTAGTGTAAGCATAGGGTTAGGGTTAGGGTAGGGTTAGTACAGGTTAGGGGTAGGAATACTGTTAGCGTTAGTGTAAGCATAGTGCTAAAGTTGGGGGTATGGCTAGTACAGGTTAGGGGTAGGAATACTGTTAGTGTAAGCATAGGGTTAGGGTTAGAGTAGGGTTAGTACAGGTTTGGGGTAGGTATACTGTTAGCATTAGTGTTAGCGTAGGGTTAGTACAGGTTAGGGGTAGGAATACTGTTAGCGTTAGTGTAAGCATAGTGCTAAGGTTGGGGGTAGGGCTAGTACAGGTTAGGGGTAGCTATACTTTTAGTGTAAGCGTAGGGTTTGGGGTAGGAATACTGTTAGTGTTAGCGTAGTTAGGGTTAGGGTAGGGTCAGTACAGGTTAGGGGTAGGAATACTGTTAGCGTTAGTGTAAGCATAGGGTTAGGGTTAGGGTAGGGTTAATACAGGTTAGGGGTAGGAATACTGTTAGCGTTAGTGCTAAGGTTGGGGGTAGGGATAGTACAGGTTAGGGGTAGCTATACTGTTAGTGTTAGCGCAGGGTTTGTATTAGGGTAGTTAGGGTTAGGGTAGGGTTAGTACAGGTTAGGGGTAGGAATACTGTTAGCGTTAGTGTTAGGGTATGGTTAGTACAGGTTAGGGGTAGGAATATTGTTAGCGTAGGGTTAAGGGTAGGGTTAGTACAGGTTAGGTGTAGGAATATTGTTAGCGTTAGCGTAGGGTTAGGGTAGTGTTAGTACAGTTTAGGGGTAGGAATACTGTTAGTGTTAGCGTAGGGTTAGGGTTAGGGTAGGGTTAGTACAGGTTAGGGGTAGGAATATTGTTAGCGTAGGGTTAAGGGTAGGGTAGGGTTAGTACAGGTTAGGGGTAGGAATACTGTTAGTGTTAGCGTAGGGTTAGGGTAGTGTTAGTACAGTTTAGGGGTAGGAATACTGTTAGTGTTAGCGTAGGGTTAGGGTAGGGTTAGTACAGGTTAGGGGTAGGAATACTGTTAGCGTTAGTGTAAGCGTAGTGTTAGGGTTAGTACAGGTTAGAGGTAGGAATACTGTTAGTGTTAGCGTAGGGTTAGGGTAAATACAGTTTAGGGGTAGGAATACTGTTTGCGTTAGTGTTAGCGTAGGGTTAGGGTTACGGTTAGTACAGGTTAGTGGTAGGAATACTGTTAGCGTAGGGTTAGGGCAGGGTTAGTACAGGTTAGTGGTAGGAATACTCTTAGCATAGGGTTAGTACAAGTTAGTGGTAGGAATACTGTGAGTGTTAGCGTAGGGTTAGGGTAAGGTTAGTACAGGTTAGTGGTAGGAATACTGTTAGCGTAGGGTTAGGGTAGGGGTAGTACAGGTTAGTGGTAGGAATACTGTTAGCGTAGGGTTAGTACAGGTTAGTGGTAGGAATACTGTTAGTCTTAGCATAGGGTTAGGGTTACGGTTAGTACAGGTTAGTGGTAGGAATACTGTTAGCGTAGGGTTAGGGTAGGGTTAGTACAGGTTAGTGGTAGGAATACTGTTAGCGTAGGGTTAGGGTAGGGTTAGTAAAGGTTAGTGGTAGGAATACTGTTAGCGTAGGGTTAGGGTAGGGTTAGTACAAGTTAGTGGTAGGAATACTGTTAGTGTTAGCGTAGGGTTAGTACAGGTTAGTGGTAGGAATACTGTTAGCGTAGGGTTAAGGTAGGGTTAGTACAGGTTAGTGGTAGGAATACTGTTAGCGTAGGGTTAGTACAAGTTAGTGGTAAGAATACTGTTAGTGTTAGCGTAGGGTTAGGGTAGGGTTAGTACAGGTTAGTGGTAGGAATACTGTTAGTGTAGGGTTAGGGTAGGGTTAGTACAGGTTAGTGGTAGGAATACTGTTAGCATTAGTGTTAGTGTAGGGTTAGGGTAGGGTTAGTACAGGTTAGTGGTAGGAATACTGTTAGCGTTAGTGTAGGGTTAGGGTAGTGTTTCTCAATCCCAGATGTATGAGGCATTTAACAATCAGGCATACTATATGTAAAACCTGGGAAGGTTTTTATCGTATCTAGCGGCTCTCAATAATTTGTTATACACTGTCATCTTATTTTTTTATTTCTTTACTTAACCATCAGGACTGACACATGAATCTATTTTCAGTTATTTTTATTTAGTTGCACTGTATGTGTAAACATTATTATAAGCATCAATGTGTAAAATCATTTTCATTCACGCTTAATGATCTGTTATTAAGCAGTTCTTAGAATGAGAGGCTCCTGATTGGTGGAATTTCTTCCTGTAACTAAGAAACTAACATTCCAGACATGTTGACAAGACAGCACAATATAAAGATTAAGCTATAACAACACTAAAAGAAAGACAAAACAACGAGAAACAAAAAGATACCAACAAACGTGGTGAAGAAAGAGGAAGAGAAAATAATTAGGGTAGAGATATGTTGCGGAGCTGCAATTTTATAATCCCAGGATCTCTGCTGGTAGAATGCAATAACCAAGTACAAAGCTGGAAGCAGGCAATATTCCCAAATCCTCCCAAGAACCAGACGAAACACAGTCTGAGAGTCAACTGCCACTTTATTCAAAAAGACTGATATTTAAAGCAGGTCACTCAACTGTCACTTTATTAAAAATAACTGATATTTAAAGCAGGTCACTCAACAGGGGTTTCCAAAGATGGGCAGCAGGGGTTTTGGTTGAGGGGACTGGAGGGAGACTACCGTTTCCAGGTCCTCCTCCCAACAGCCCCTGCTGTAACATACAGTAATGAAAACTACGAGGACATAAACCGTTACCTTTCTACTTCAAAATATACAACTTAGTCAGTTTTAATAGCAATGCTAACGAATGGGGAGGATTCGAACAGACATACACAGTACAGCATAAATTAAACATAGCCGGAGACGCCACACTATACCGGCGCGCAGTACACAACAGAAAATAGGCACAACCATTCTATCTTAGGCAGTCCCAAGTGGCTAGGTTTGCCACAATGCTCCCCCAAAACCAAGCCGGCATACACAGTCTGATCCCAACGGATCGGCTTGGGGATGTCCGGGGGAGTGCTCACAGATCATTTCTCAAGTTCTGTCTGTCTGGACAACCCATCGGCGTTACCATTCTGTTTTCCAGGGCGATAATGGATCGTGAAATCAAACGGCTGCAGCGCCAAACTCCAGCGCAACAGCCGGGCATTGTCTCCTGACACCCTGTGTAGCCACACCAACGGGTTGTGATCTGTGAGCAAGGAGAATGGTTGTCCATACAAATAAGGTTGTAACTTTTTGAGGGCCCACACCACGGCCAGGCATTCCTTCTCGATGGCGGCGTAGCCTACTTCCCTTGGTAGTAATTTTCTGCTTAAGTAAGCTACGGGATGTTCTCCGCCATCAGCTCCCACTTGGCTCAGTACTGCCCCCAATCCAAACATGGAAGCGTCTGTGTGAACAAGAAATCGTTTAGTTGGATCAGGGGCAGTTAACACAGGAGCCTTAGTTAATGCAGTTTTTAGTTCATGGAATGCCTGTTCACACTCTGGGGCCCAGTTGACCTGTCGTGGCAAGTTTTTCTTGGTCAAGTCCGTCAGGGGTTTGGCCAGGGCGCTGTAATTGGGCACAAATTTTCTGTAGTAACCAGCGGTACCAAGGAACGCCAATACTTGTGTCTTTGTCCTGGGGGTAGGCCACTTAGCTACTGCCTCTATCTTGGCCGGTTCGGGCCTCTGCTGTCCGCATCCTACCCTGTGACCCAGGTACTGCACCTCTGCCATCCCTATGTGACACTTGCTAGGTTTTAGTGTCAGCCCTGCCTCTCCAATACGGTCAATGACCACACTAATATGTTTCAAATGATCTGCCCAGGTCTGGCTATAAATGGCTATATCATCTAAGTACGCACAGGCGTACTCTTGGAACCCGTCCAGTAGCCGATCTACCATCCTCTGAAAGGTAGCCGGAGCGTTTTTCATCCCGAAAGGCATGACCCGAAATTGATACAGGCCAAACGGGGTGACAAACGCCGACTTGGGGATGGCCTCCTCGGCTAGTGGAATCTGCCAGTATCCCTTACACAGATCAATGGTAGTGAGATACTGGCCTCTTGCCATCCTATCTAGCAGCTCGTCTATACGGGGCATCGGGTAGGCGTCAGACACTGTTTTGTCATTGAGCCTCCGGTAGTCTACACAAAACCGCGTGGTGCCATCCTTCTTGGGTACTAGCACTACCGGTGATGCCCAGGGGCTATCTGAATGTTCGATAACCCCTAACTGCAACATTTCCTCAATTTCTTTCCTCATGTGCTCCCTTACTGCTTCAGGGATACGATACGGAGTCTGTCTCATAGGGAGCTGTCCTGGGGTCTCTACTCGGTGGGTAGCTAACAGAGTGTACCCTGGTAAATTGGAGAAGGTAGCACCTTTTGCCGCAATCAACTCCTGTACCTGGGCACGCTCCTGGAGACTTAGCCGCTCCCCCAGCTGCACACCTGTAGCGTTTTCTGCAGAATCTTCCTTTTCTAACATGTCTGGCAAGGGCAGATTCTCATAATCCTCAGTGGCTGGGGCACAGATGGCTGCTACCTCCTCTATTCTCTGGTGATAGGGTTTGAGCATGTTCACATGGAGCATGCGTCGTTTCCCTACCCCAGAGCACGGGCCGATCACATAAGTGGTGTCACATTTCTGTTCTACCACTTGGTATGGGCCCTGCCAGGTGGCCTGTAGCTTGTCTGTGCGGACAGGTTTCAAAATTAGAACTTTCTGTCCCACCTGGAAGCTACGGTCTCTGGCTCCCCTATCGTACCACCGGCGCTGTTGACGTTGAGCCGCCGGGAGGTTCTCCCGTACGGTTTGGGTTAGAGCCTCCAAGCGGTCCCGGAACTCCAGCACGTATGGCACAATGGGGACTCCATCTGCACTGCTCCCCCCCTCCCAATGTTCTCTAATTAAGTCTAGGGGTCCCCTCACCCTTCTCCCAAACAATAACTCAAGCGGAGAGAAGCCGGTAGATTCCTGTGGCACTTCTCGGTACGCAAAAAGCAGATGGGGTAAAAACCTCTCCCAGTCTTTATGGGACTCCCCAAATGTCCTGAGCATCTGCTTCAAGGTACCGTTAAAGCGCTCACACAACCCATTGGACTGCGGGTGATAGGCAGAATTTACAATTGGCTTAATGCCACATAACTTCCATAGCTGGTGGGTCACTTCGGCTGTAAATTGGGTCCCCCTATCCGAAATTATCTCTTGGGGAAATCCCATCCTGGAAAATATCTTCATCATAGCTTCGGCTACCGTTTCTGCTTGTATATTGGAAAGGGCTATAGCCTCCGGGTACCGGGTGGCATAATCTACAATGGTCAGAATATACCGCTTGCCGGAAGGGCTAGGCTTGGACAGTGGTCCTACTATATCCACTGCTACTCTGCTAAAGGGTTCTTCAATAATGGGAAGGGGGCACAATTTCGCTTTGTGGCGGTCACCCCTTTTTCCCACTCTCTGACAAATGTCACATGTCTGACAATACTGTCTCACATCTCTAGATATACCTGGCCAGAAAAATGCATGTGTCAATCTGTACCTCGTTCTTGTCATCCCTAAATGCCCAGACAGCGGAATATCGTGGGCAATTCTAAGCAGTTCCTGCCGGTATTTCTGGGGCACTATAAGCTGCTTATTAGTCACATGTACAGACCCCCCTACCACCCGCTCAGCAACACGATATAACAGATTTTTCTCCCATACATACTGTTCTCCCTCTAAACCTGTCTGACCAGCTGTCGCCTTATCCTTATAAATTTGCAACGTGGGATCGTTTTTAGCCTCTGCCTCAAAGTCAGTCGGGGTATCCCAGGAAACACGGGTTACACGGGGTACATTGTCTCTTACCTGAGCCTCAGAGTGTGTGGAAGATGAAGCCGTGGTGCGAGCCTGCTGACGGGTGGTCACTGGATATGCCTCATGGTGAGGACTTTGGGGCACAAAAGCGGAAGTCATTTGCCCCAGGTCATTCCCCAAAACAACATCAGCTGGTAACTTGTGCATCAGCCCCACCTCCACCATACCTTCCCCCGCACCCCAATTCAGATGTATCTTGGCAGTTGGTAGCCGGTACATGGCACCCCCTGCTACCCGGACTGCTACCGATCCCCCGGTATGTGCTGATCCTGACACCAAATGCGGGGCAACCAAAGTTAAGGTAGCGCCGGAATCACGTAGCCCCTGTACCTCTTTCCCTTCCAGAGTCACGGTCTGGCAATGTGGATGTCGGTTGTCAGTAGCATGGATGGACATTACATCGTGCAAAACGCCCAGGGGTTCATCAGCCGACTCAAGCGGCACTCCTGGCAAAGTTGGCTCTGCATGATAATAATGAGCAGCTGCCCGCGGGGCCATATTCTGCCGGAGCTGATTCCAGTTCTTGCGGCTCCGGTTTTGGGTGCACTCCCGGGCCATGTGCCCCCATTGCTTACAGGCATGGCACTGGATGTTGGACCTGCCATTATAACGGGAGTGGGGAGGTTGTCCCACAAGTGCTGGTCTGGATGGTGCTGTCGCTGGGGCAGGAGCAATAACTGGAAACGGTTGCGGGTTGGGTTTTGCATACCCTCGGTTATTATTTTTATGATGCCTCCTAGCATCATAATGTTGGTCGGCCAATCGTGCCGCTTCGGTTAGGGTGTGAGGATTTCGGTCATTCACCCATTCTTGAGCCTCTGGTGCCAGGCCATTACAAAACTGCTCCAGTAGCAACATCTGGCGTAACTCTTCCATGGTGGTAGCTCTGCTGGCTTGTATCCAGCCTTGTGAGGCTTGGTCAAGCTTGTGTGCCCACTCCGCATGTGAGTCTTTGTCCCTTTTTTCAATTCTCGGAACTTGCGCCGGTATGCCTCTGGGGTAATGGCATACCTTTCTAATAGCGCCTGCTTTACCTTGTCATAATTCTTGCTGTCCTCTCTGGGTACAGCCCGGTAGGCGTCTGCTGCACGCCCAGACAGTTTGCCTACCAACAAAGGTACCCACATAGCTTGCTCTACATCATGCAAGTCACACAATCTTTCAAAATCTTGCAAGAATCCATCTATTTCGTCTTTATCCTCGCAAAAAGTTTTAAATACATGATGTGGTATTTTTGGCCTTCCCTGGCCCACAGTTGAAACAGCAGCGGTTTCTGCTTGAGGTGAGAAGGCTTGATTCCTTTGCGCCATCACGTACTCCTGTGCATCCGCCGAAATTATGGTCATAATTTCTGGAGATACTGGAGCGGGCCAAAATGCCAATCTTGTCCTCATTTCTCGTTCAAATGGGGTCTCCTCCATGTTTGCTGGGGGTGTAGCACTACGAGCTCGGTCTCCTTCCATTAGCTCGGCAATAAGTCTTGCTTTAGGCTTATTGCTGGCTATCTTACCCCTGGCTTCCAACAGCTCCTTTAACGTTTGCCGTTTCAATATGGTGTAGTCCGTCCCCATTCACTTCTGCATCTGTATCAATTGCCTTCTGCTTTCCAGTATGTCAATTCCAATTGTATAAACAGCGTTTTTCCTGCTGTACGGTTGGATCCCGCCGCTTGCCACCAATTGTTGCGGAGCTGCAATTTTATAATCCCAGGATCTCTGCTGGTAGAATGCAATAACCAAGTACAAAGCTGGAAGCAGGCAATATTCCCAAATCCTCCCAAGAACCAGACGAAACACAGTCTGAGAGTCAACTGCCACTTTATTCAAAAAGACTGATATTTAAAGCAGGTCACTCAACTGTCACTTTATTCAAAAAGACTGATATTTAAAGCAGGTCACTCAACTGTCACTTTATTAAAAATAACTGATATTTAAAGCAGGTCACTCAACAGGGGTTTCCAAAGATGGGCAGCAGGGGTTTTGGTTGAGGGGACTGGAGGGAGACTACCGTTTCCAGGTCCTCCTCCCAACAGCCCCTGCTGTAACATACAGTAATGAAAACTACGAGGACATAAACCGTTACCTTTCTACTTCAAAATATACAACTTAGTCAGTTTTAATAGCAATGCTAACGAATGGGGAGGATTCGAACAGACATACACAGTACAGCATAAATTAAACATAGCCGGAGACGCCACACTATACCGGCGCGCAGTACACAACAGAAAATAGGCACAACCATTCTATCTTAGGCAGTCCCAAGTGGCTAGGTTTGCCACAAGATAGGTCTGGGATAGTTTCTGGGGGTCGAATAAAACCCCCCAGAAACTATCACAATGTATCCGTTTCACTCATGCTGCCTTTTATCCAATCGAATGTCCCTGTTGGGAAGCATTGTGTGAACACAGCGCATGCACCATGCACCAAGCCTGCAGGGCAGCATCTATACCAAATCTATCGCTCCACTTAAAGCATAATCTGTATACTGTGCTACAAATAGGGCTCATTTGAACCTGAGTGTATCTTTAACCAAGTAAACCATTGTGTCCATGGATTCCTCTCACAGAGCTCCGTGTCTGCGTCTTCCTTACACCTGACGGGGGCCGTGTGCACGCCAAATACCAACTACACTAAGAGGAACAACTGCTTCTGCCTGAGGTAAGTCCTGGTATACCACAACCCCCATTCTTAACAGGTACTCCATAAAACATGGGCCGACACCATAAGGGGCATGGGCCAAGTATGATGCCCCTGGTGGGCCACCTTAAAGACTCATTAAATTCATATTAACCAATAGTAACTAAAGGCACAGCATACTGAGTAGGTCTAAAAGTGCAGGGGAGTATTATGCTAGGTCAATAACTGTAAGGTATAAATGGTCAACCAGTTATCAGCAGCATGCTAGCTCTCCACTGGCAATATCCTTGCCCTCTCCATTCTATTCTATCGAACAATTAGGCACACAGGTTAAAAACGTACATACAGTTGCAAGAAAAAGTATGTGGACCCTTTGGAATGATATGGATTTCTGCACAAATTGGTCATAAAATGTGATCTGATCATCATCTAAGTCACAGCAAGAGACAATCACAGTCTGCTTAAACTAATAACACACAAAGAATGAAATGTTGCCATGTTTTTATTGAACACACCATGTTAACATTCACAGTGCAGGTGGGAAAAGTATGTGAACCCCTAGACTAATGTCAGCCAACTGGAGTTCAATCAATGAGATGAGATTGGAGGTGTTGGTTACAGCTTCCCTGCCCTATAAAAAACACACACCAGTTCTGGGTTTGCTTTTCACAAGAAGCATTGCCTGATGTTAATGATGCCTCGCACAAAAGAGCTCTCAGAAAACCTACGGTTAAGAATTGTTGACTTGCAGAAAGCTGGAAAGGGTTATAAAAGTATCTCCAAAAGCCTTGCTGTTCATCAGTTCACGGGAAGACAAATTGTCTATAAATGGAGAAATTTCAGCACTGCTCCTACTCTCCCTAGGAGTGGCTGTCCTGTAAAGATGACTGCAAGAGCACAGCGCAGGCTGCTCAATAAGGTGTAGAAGAATCCTAGAGTGTCAGCTAAAGACTTACAAAAGTCACTGGTAAATGCTAACATGCCTGTTCACGAATCTACAATACGTAAAACACTAAACAAGAATGGATTTCATGGGAGGATACCACGGAGGAAGCCACTTCTGTCCAAACAAAACATTGCTGCACGTTTACAGTTTGCACAAGAGCACCTGGATGTTCCACAGCAGTACTGGCAAAATATTCTGTGGACAGATGAAACCAAAGTTGAGTTGTTTGGAAGAAACACACAACACTCAACACTATGTGTGGCGAAAAAAAGGCACACCAACATCAAAACCTCATCCCAACTGTGAAGTATGTTGGTGGGGCCATCATGGTTTGGGGCTGCTTTGCTGTGTCAGGGCCTGGACGGATTGCTATCATCGAAGGAAAAATGAATTCCCAAGTTTATCAAGACATTTTGGAGGATAACTTAAGACCATCTGTCTACCAGCTGAAGCTCAACAGAAGATGGGTGTTGCAACAGGACAATGACCCAAAGCATAGAAGTAAATCAACAACAGAATGGCTTAAACAGAAGAAAATACGCCTTCTGAAGTGGCCCAGTCAGAGTCCTGACCTCAACCCGATTAAGATGCTGTGGCATGACCTCAAGAAAGCGATTCACACCAGACATCCCAAGAATATTGCTGAACTGAAACAGTTCTGTAAAGAGGAATGGTCAAGAATTACTCCTGACCGTTGTGCACGTCTGATCTGCAACTACAGGAAACGTTTGGTTGAAGTTATTGCTGCCAAAGGAGGTTCAACCAGTTATTAAATCCAAGGGCTCACATACTTTTTCCACCTGCACTGTGAATGTTTACATGGTGTGTTCAATAAAAACATGGCAACATTTCATTCTTTGTGTGTTATTAGTTTAAGCAGACTTTGATTGTCTATTGTTGTGACTTAGATGATGATCAGATCACATTTTATGACCAATTTGTGCAGAAATCCATATCATTCCAAAGGGTTCACATACTTTTTCTTGCAACTGTATACCAATGATGGGACAGTTGATGCAGCTAAATGCCAATCTGTGGCCACCTTAGAGGCCGGAAGTAAATGTTCTTGGAGCACAGCTGTTTATCATGAATTATTCTGATTATATCACTGTCATTGTCTCTGTTCTCCTTCTCGGTCTCGTAGATTATCAGATGGTTCTGAGTATTTGCTCTGCGCCCCCTCATCACTTCTCGCTCACGAATGGGTGGCAAAGCTGCAGCATAACTCAGGTAAGTAGCCTTTCCGATATTGGGGGTTATATGAGGCTGTGTAACCATTGAGATTAGCCCATTTAGCCCCATTAAAGGACCACTATAGTGCCAGGAAAACATACTCGTTTTGGAAGGGGGAAAGGGGTTTAAACTTACCTTTTTCCAGCGCTGGGCGGAGAGCTCTCCTCCTTCTCTCCTCCTCCGTTCCGCCCCGTCGGCTGAATGTGCACGCGCGGCAAGAGCTGCGCGCGCATTCAGTCGGTCGCATAGGAAAGCATTTACAATGCTTTCCTATGGACGCTGGCGTGCTCTCACTGTGAAAATCACAGTGAGAAGCACGCAAGCGCCTCTAGCGGCTGTCAATGAGACAGCCACTAGAGGCTTTGGGGGAAGGCTTAACCCATTCATGTTTATTAAAAAATGGGTTAACCCTAGCTGGACCTGGCACCCAGACCACTTCATTAAGCTGAAGTGGTCTGGGTGCCTAGAGTGGTCCTTTAACGGACATGTTTGATGCCCATGGTTTGAGGTGAAGCTGCACTGTGTTTTAGCATACTATGGATTCCAGGTATATTGTATCTTTGGTTTCTTTGTCTGAAGGGCTTGAAGACCCGGATCTGCTTAGTGACCCAATGCTTGGATCCACCTTCTCCCCTCGCTGTCACCCCAGGTGAGTTCAATGTATAAAGATATATACAATTATTCTATATAGGGGCACAGATTGTACATAGTGTTAGAGGTTTTATTCTATATAGGGGCACAGATTGTACATAGTGTTAGAGGTTTTATTCTATATAGGGGCACAGATTGTACATAGTGTTAGAGGTTTTATTCTATATAGGGGCACAGATTGTACATAGTGTTAGAGGTTTTATTCTATATAGGGGCACAGATTGTACATAGTGTTAGAGGTTTTATTCTATATAGGGGCACAGATTGTACATAGTGTTAGAGGTTTTATTCTATATAGGGGCACAGATTGTACATAGTGTTAGAGGTTTTATTCTATATAGGGGCACAGATTGTACATAGTGTTAGAGGTTTTATTCTATATAGGGGCACAGATTGTACATAGTGTTAGAGGTTTTATTCTATATAGGGGCACAGATTGTACATAGTGTTAGAGGTTTTATTCTATATAGGGGCACAGATTGTACATAGTGTTAGAGGTTTTATTCTATATAGGGGCACAGATTGTACATAGTGTTAGAGGTTTTATTCTATATAGGGGCACAGATTGTACATAGTGTTAGAGGTTTTATTCTATATAGGGGCACAGATTGTACATAGTGTTAGAGGTTTTATTCTATATAGGGGCACAGATTGTACATAGTGATAGAGGTTTATTCTATATAGGGGCACAGATTGTACATAGTGTTAGAGGTTTTATTCTATATAGGGGCACAGATTGTACATAGTGATAGAGGTTTTATTCTATATAGGGGCACAGATTGTACATAGTGTTAGAGGCTTTATTCTATATAGGGGCACAGATTGTACATAGTGTTAGAGGCTTTATTCTATATAGGGGCACAGATTGTACATAGTGTTAGAGGTTTTATTCTATATAGGGGCACAGATTGTACATAGTGTTAGAGGTTTTATTCTATATAGGGGCACAGATTGTACATAGTGTTAGAGGTTTTATTCTATATAGTGGCATAGATTGTACATAGTGTTAGAGGTTTATTCTATATAGGGGCATTGATTGTACATAGTGTTAGAGGTTTTATTCTATATAGGGGCACAGATTGTACATAGTGTAGAGGTTTTATTCTATATAGGGGCACAGATTGTACATAGTGTTAGAGGTTTTATTCTATATAGGGGCACAGATTGTACATAGTGATAGAGGTTTTATTCTATATAGGAACACAGATTGTACATAGTGATAGAGGTTTTATTCTATATAGGGGCACAGACAGAGGTTTTATTCCGTAGAGGGGTACAGATTGTACATTATTATTATTATTATTATTATTGCCATTTATATAGCGCCAACAGATTCTGTAGCGCTTTACAATATTATGAGAGGGGGGATGTAACTATAAATAGGATAATTACAAGAAAACTTACAGGAACGATAGGTTGAAGAGGGCCCTGCTCAAATGGGCTTACAGTCTATAGGAGGTGGGGTATAAGACACGTTAGGACAGGATATATCAATCAAATTAGTTGGGAGTGAAGCAGAGATGGAGGAGAGAGTAAAGTGCTGCCCTTTAGGAGAGACCCAGAGACAGGTATGTGAGGTAGAGGTTACTCTGGGAGGCCATAAGCTTTCCTGAAGATATGGGTTTTAAGGCTCTTCTTAAATGATTGAAGACCAGGGGAAAGTCTGATGGCGGTAGGCAGGCTATTTCATAGGAAAGGAGCCACCCGTGAGAGGTCCTGCAAGCGCGAGTAGGCTGTACGGGTGCGAGCAGCGGTCAGGAGATGGTCACGGGCAGAGCGGAGGGAACGAGGAGGGGCATACCTATGGATCATTGAGGAGATATAAGAGGGGCTAGAATTGTTCAGTGCTTTAAATGTATGGGTTAGCACTTTGAATTGACTCCTATAGGATACAGGGAGCCAATTTAAGGGCTGGCAGAGGGGTGATGTGTCAGAGGACCGACTAGAGAGGAAAATCAGTCTAGCTGCAGCATTCATTACAGACTGTAGCGTGGCAATACGGCTTTTGGGGAGACCAATCAGGAGAGGGTTACAGTAATCCATGCGGGAAATTACTAGAGCATGGACAAGCTCTTTGGTCGCATCTTGTGTAAGAAAGGGGCGGATGCGGGCTATGTTTTTGAGTTGGAACCTACAGGATTTGGTAACAAACTGGATGTGAGGCTCAAAGGTGAGGCCAGAGTCAAGTATGACGCCAAGACAGCGTGCTTGCAAGGATGGACTTATGTGGATATCACTGACTTGAAGGGAGAGCGAGAGAGGAGGATCAGTATTAGGAGGAGGAAAGACAAGGAGTTCAGTTTTAGAGAGATTGAGTTTCAGAAAGCGTGAGGACATCCAGTCAGAGATGGAAGAATGGCAAGCAGTGACACGTTGCAGGACGGCAGGGGAGAGGTCCGGGGAGGAGAGGTATATCTGTGTGTCATCAGCGTACAGGTGGTAGTTGAATCCAAAAGAGGCAATAAGCTTGCCAAGAGAGGCAGTATAAAGAGAAAATAGAAGGGGACCAAGGACAGAGCCTTGGGGAACTCCAACCGAGACAGGACGAGGGGAGGAGGTATGCTTGGGAAAGGAGACACTGAATGAGCGTTGCGAGAGATAGGAGGAAAACCAAGAGAGGACAGAGTCACAGAGACCGAGCGATTGAAGAGTTTGAAGGAGGACAGCATGATCAACGATGTCAAAGGCAGCAGAGAGGTCAAGGAGAATTAATATGGAGTAGTGACCTTTGGATTTAGCTGCGATTAGGTTATTAGTGACTTTGATGAGAGCAGTCTCAGTAGAGTGGAGAGGGCGGAAGCCAGACTGAAGAGGGTCAAGGAGAGAGTTGGAATTGAGGAAGCGAGACACACGGGTAAAGACAAATCTTTCCAAAAGCTTTGATGAGAAAGGGAGCAGGGATATTGGACAATAGTTAGAGGGGAAGGATGGGTCAATAGTAGTGATGTCCCGAACTGTTCGCCGAACGGTTCGCCGCGGTTTGCCGCAGACTCCAGTCAGCAGACACATTACAGCCAATCAGCAGCAGACCCTCCCTCCCAGACCCTCCCACCTCCCGGACAGCTCACTAAGAATGCAGCTTCAAAATGGATGCTGTCCAGGAGGTGTGAGGGTCTGGGAGGGAGGGTCTGCTGCTGATTGGCTGGAATGTGTCTGCTGACTGGAGTCTGCGGCGAACCGTTCGGCGAACAGTTCGGGACATCACTAGTCAAGAGATGTTTTTTTTCAGGATAGGTACTACAGTGGCATGTTTAAGGTCAACAGGAAAAGTACCAGAAGAGAGAGAGAGCAGTTAAAGATATGTGTTAGGGTAGGCACAAGACAAGGGGAGAGAGATCTGATGAGGTGGGATGGGACAGGATTGAGCGGGCAAGTGGTGGGGCGAGAGGAATGGAGAAGCGCAACCACCTCTTGTTCAGTAGCCGGGGAGAAAGTCTGAAGGGTAGGGAAGGCATGATTTATGTGTGGTTGAGAAAGAGAACGGCAAGGAGGAGAGAGTTGTTTCCTTAGCTGTTCAATCTTGTTGGTAAAGTAGCATGCAAAGCTACTTTGTAAGGTTAGAGGGGTGGCCGCAGCAGGGCGCAGAAGTGAGTTAAAGGTATCAAAGAGACGTCTGGGATTGCGGGAGCATGAACTAATGAGAGAGGAAAAGTATGACTGTTTGGCGAGGGCAAGGGCTGCGCTGTATGAACGCAACATGAATCTATAATGGAGAAAGTCTGCCTGGGACTTCCTCAAGGAGCATTCAGCACAACGGGAGCAACTCTGCAGATAGTGTGTTGATTTATTATGCCAAGGTTGGGGTCGTGTCCTCCTCGAGGTGCATGTTTGGCGTGGGGCTGCAGCGTTCAAGGCAGAGGTGATGGTAATGTTATATGTGGAGATGGCCAGTGAGGGACAGGAGAGGGATGGGATGGATAGCAGTTGTGAATCAATGTCAGCTGACAGCTACTAGAGGTCAATAGTGTTAAGGTTTCTCCTGAGTTGAGGGGGGTTAGGCTGAGGTTGCTGGGTGAGGGGGTAATTGAGAGCAAATGATAAGAGGTGGTGATCAGAGAGAGGAAATGGAGTGTTGCAGATATTAGATACTCTACATGAATAAGAGAAAATAAGGTCAAGGGTACTGCCAGCTACATGGGTGGGAGAGTTAACCCACTGCAATAGTCAGAGGGAGGAAGTAATTGAAAGTAGTTTAGAGGCTACTGGAGTCAAAGGTGGGTTGATGGGAATATTGAAGTCTCCAAGAATTAGGGATGGGATGTTGGAAGAGAGGAAGTAAGGTAGCCAGGCAGCAAAGTGGTCAAGGAAGAGGAGAGGGGAGCTAGGGGGACGGTAGATAACGGCAATGTTAGCAGAGAAGGGTTTGAAAAGGCGAATTGAATGAATTTCAAATTATGGGAAAGAGAGGGAAGGGGGGGTGGACAGGGTTTTAAAGGAGCAGTGGGGTGAGAGGAGAAAACCTACACCGCCACCTTTAATCTCTGCTTGTCTTGGATTGTGGGTAAAGTGAAGACCACCAAAGGACAGTGAGGCAGATGTAGCAGTATCAGAAGGAGAGAGACATGTTTCCGTTAGTGCAAGTAGGTTTAGGGAGTGTGAGATAAATAGGTCATGGATGGAAGTAGATTTAAAGATGCTGCACACAGAGCGTGCATTCCAGAGGGCAGCTTTAAAAGAGGAATTATAGTGAGAATTACATGGAATGGGTATTAGGTTGTTGTGGTTTCTGGTGTTTGTACCAGGTGGCTGAGTAGTGGAGGGACCAGGGTTTGGAGAGATATCACCCGCTGCTAGGAGTAGTAGGATGGAAAGGAAGAGAAGGTGGGAGTAAGATTTAAATGTTGGGGATGAGAGCTATTATTTAGGGGATTTAGGAGGGGTGTGTGGAGAAAGGCTGGATAAATATGAGTAAAGTGCATGTGATGAATACAGAGATGAGGGAGCAATGACGATGGTGTCAGCAGGAACAGGTAAGTAAAGGGATAGAGAGATATTGATAGTGAGGGAAGTGAGAGAGAAAGTGAAAAATAGAAGTGAGAACATTATTAGGAGAATAGGTGCTGTGTTTTTAAGAGCTGTGGTTAGGAGGGTTAATGGTTCAAGAGGTATTGTGTGAGTATAGCTATTTTAGGTGTGGAGGGTTTGGTGGACAAAATTGGTTTAACAGGAAAGCCAGGTAATTTGAGCTATCTATAAATGTAGTGATGACCATGGGGAGGGTGGGATGTAGGGTGGGTGGGAAGTGATCATCCAGAAATGCTACCTCTGCTTATGGCAAGTCCTGTAGGGATGTGTGTTGTGAGTCCTGGGTGTAGCTGTTTCAATATTGTAAGGGGCCCAGGCTCTGCTTATGGCAAGTCCTGCAGGGTTGTGTGCTGGGAGTCCTGGGTGTAGCTGTTTCAATATTGTAAGAGGCCCAGGCTCTGCTTATGGCAAGTCCTGCAGGGATAGAGGTTAGTGATAGAGGTTTTATTCTATTTTATTCAGATTGTACATAGTGTTAGATGTTTTATTCCGTATAGGGGCACAGAGTGTACATAGTGTTAGATGTTTTATTCCGTATAGGGGCACAGAGTGTACATAGTGATAGAGGTTTTATTCCATATAGGGGCACAGATCGTACATAGTGTTAGAGGTTTTATTCCGTATAGGGGCACACATTGTATTTTTTTATATGGATGCAAACTGTGTCCTAAATTGAGCATATATTTCTCAGTAGAGGCCCAATCAGCTCATGCTTCTTTGAGCGATTATATTCTCTGCAGTTAATAAAACTGGATAATAATGCATTCAAGTAATTATGAAGCTTTTTTTCCTGTCTCCTCACAGATTTCACCCATGTGTAGTCATCATTTTCTTTTGTTGAATAGATAGGAACGTAGGGGTAAATCAGAAGGACATACACTAGCTCTAGAAGTCTGTTAGTCTACCTATTGTAGAACGCTATGGAATTTTTTGACGCTTTGTAAATAATAATAATAATAATGTAGACAGCTTCCCTGGCATTGTTAGATGGGATATCTGGAAAACTCGGCAGAGCCGCATCACTCTGTAACACTGGCAAGGAAGATTTCAATGCCAGACAAGACTGGCAAGATCGAATGTGGACACAATTTTCCATAGAGATGTTTTATATTATGCGCTGAGTGGATTGTGCCTCACAGGACTGTTCCTTTTAGATCTTGGATTCCAGAGGTTTGTCAGCCAATTCCAGTGCAAGGCCCTGAGATCTCGGGCAAGTTGCCGGAGTTACCCAAGAACCAGCTGCAGAAACTGCATATCCGTGATCAGCTAAGTAAGTGTAATCCACCAGCTATTGCTTGTGGTTCAAAATGACCTTTCTGTCTGTTTCCAATACACACTATACACACTGAAACGAGTCTTCGGGTTTGTTTCTGCTTCTCTCTGGGTAGATGGCAGCACAGAGCCCCCTCCATCCGCCCTGTCCCAGCTACTATACTGGTTCCCAGATGAATCCACCAAGACCTCTGACCGCTGCTTTGTAGAGGATGACAATGTGACCACTAGAAGGCGATCACAGTCTTTCAGCTCAGGTAAGAGCCCGACGTTGCCTCCACAGGCACCTGGTGTAACAAAGAACATGTAGGACACCTGGAACAATACTGAAACCAATCCATAAACTATTCATTGTATATCAACTAACTTAAAAATACCATTTTCCTTCTACTGAACGCTCCAGGTTACAAAAAAATGGGAGGAGACAGACACGTGAACCCTGAAAAACTAGAGACAGGGGCTGTGTAGAGACTGAAACTAGAGATAGGGGTTGTGTAGAGACTGGAACTAGAGATAGGAGCTGTGCAGAAACTGGAACTAGAGGTAGGAACTGTATAGAGACTGGAACTAGAGATAGAAGCTGTGTAGAGACTGGAACTTGCAATTCTGAATAGGTGTGTAGATGAATGTAGTGGTTAACCCGATGAGTAGAGGGGTTCCCACCGCTAGAGGGTGTCCTTCTCCCGATGAGCGAGGGGTATTCTCCGCATCCAGTAGTCATCCAAGTTGAGAAGCTCTTAAAAGAGCTAATGTTATAGCTGTATAGCAGTTTATCTGTAGACAAGACTCTAGATTGAGGGTGAAGTAGAACTGCTTTAATGAGCACACAAGCCTTTCTTTTATACAAGTTTACCCACAAGGTTACCACCCACGTGGACCTTGTTGGGCACCGAAAATACAAACTCAACAACCAATAGCTTACAGTCACACAGTTAAGCACTCCCATTCGTTACTGTAAATTCCTCCCTTCTGCATGGGAGATAATTGAGTTAATTGCTTTATCAACTCAATTATCTCCAAGTGAAAAATATACTTTTTACTCAATTTTTATAACATCACAATTACACATCCAATCTCCATAAAACTTACATTATCAGAACCAGCATAATTAGGGAACAAACATATCCAAAAATCAAAACAATCGGTCCAGGGGTTCGGGGTTGACCGACCGCACGCATGTTTTCATACCCAAAACAGTTCCACAGATTCAGGCTGTGTGGCCGGTCTATCTTCTCCTTCAAATAAAGTAAAAATTTCACGAATGGATCCGTTCGTGCTTACGGTCATTAGATGTGTCCTGTTCAGGAGTTTATGCTCCAGAAATAGCGCTCTGTTTGTATGATTTTAGCCAAACGCACGGAAAATAGAAGTCTCAGTGGTGTTCGTGGAAATAGTAGCCAAAATTGGTTCCACGAATTCGACGACAAAACACCGCTGAGTGCGTTCGGCTAAACAAAATGGCCGCTGCCACGTGTTCGTACAGACGAACGCCAACCACCCTGTTGATCAATTAGAACGTTGGGGTGTTCGTGGTTAATGGGTGCCACACTCCTGTTCTGGGTGGTCAGTCGTTTAGCAGAAAATTTGTGATTCAAACGGCTCTTAGCCCAATAAAGGTTCATTCCATTTAGACAAATTGTTTTAAACAGAGTTTTTCAAGGTTTAAAAATCAGGGACAGAGGGTCTGTCACAATGAATTTAGATATTTATAGAGCCTGCCCAGACCTATAGTGAAGACACTATGTACCAAATGGCAAATTTTGTACCAGTTTCAGCTTTCAGTGTCTGTTGCAGATTGGTGGCCCCTGTTCTAAAAGACTGTTTATATATAAATAATTCCTGGTTAAACTAACATTAATCTCTCACTCTCTTACAGTTTCATATCAGACGATGTCTACCAGCTCCTCACCCCAGAAAACCTCTCACAAATATTCAGTTACACTCCAGATTAGCGACACACCTGCTCCCCGCGGGCGCTGCCACTCATTTGCCATCAGCCCTGACCAATCTCGGAATGGATGGAACAGAGATGGGAATAAGGGAGGCAACTCTAAACCTCGTAATCTGTCTGTCTTCAAAAAATTCTTCTGGAAGAAGGAATGACCAAGTATCTAAGCTGTCACTTGACCTGTCTTATTAGCCTGTGTCTCCCCATAATAACTCAATGATATGAGCTGTCTCCGAGTGGTCCTGTGTGAGATGCAGGGATTCCATGTCGGACAGTCCCTGGAATGTATGTAGATACCAGAACACATTTCATAGATTATCTCCGCATCCAGTGGGACAAACCTGTCATCTCCCTGGACAGGAGGAGGCGATTGATGTATGAAAACATGAACGCTGAGCCAATTGAAAGTGTCTCTAAACCACTATTAAAGATATACCTGGAGATTACCTGCCCACCTACCTGCCTACCTACCTGTTTCAGATTGGATTTTGTAGTAGATGGTTTGAGTGTATTTCTATTTATTTATTGCTGAATTTTTCTGGGGTGTCACTCACATTAAAGACAGATTCAGAGATAATTCTATAGGACAATGGAATAATAGATTCCCTATAAACCACCACAAAGCATTACTCTGAGTTGTGTCAGGACCAATCATTCCAGGCCACGCTTTTTACGCTAATAACAGCACTGCTATGCAATTCATACCATTAACAATTTTTTGCAAGACTACTCTGTTTTTGTGTAATAAAAATGTTTATTTTGTGACGGATTCGTCTTTATTTTCTCATCAGTTGTTCAGACAATATACATCATCATTTACTGACATTGGCATCACACCGGCTCGTCCTTATTACATGGTAATTCCATAGTTCAATGTCCCAATTTAATGTCTTTCAATCTCTAGAGTTTGGTGTTGAGGAAGCGCCTTCTTGGTTCACCCAGCGTTTTACTTTGCGTATTAGACCTCTCCTTGCAGCTTCAAGGTAATGAGAGAGAACTTCAGAACAGAAGAGTATTTTCCCAAAAGAGAGAGTACAAGTCAGCCTCTGTTTGCTGAGGTAAAATCGTAATAATACCACAAAGATCTAGAACAACATTACATAGGATACCATCCATATTTTATATGCGACAGGGCTGGTGGCGCGTTTCACAACTTGATGAAGAATTATTATTTTATCTTTTTAATGACTTGGATAGATTATGAGAACTCAAAGACAATGTGGGGCAAAGAAAACATTTAATTCACAATTCTAACATTAGGAAACAACCCTGCATCTGTACAATATGTATAAAAAAGTGTTAAATGCGATGAAAGAAAATGGAATTTGTGAAAGCTTGACAGGGCTATTCACTAACGTGTGAAAGGTCAGAAATTCAAAATTAAGGTCAAAATAGACAAAGTGAAAAGACTCTCCCAAGTCAGCTATGTTAACAGTTGGACACTTTGGCCAAAAATATTAAATATACTTTAGATTTCTGTGAGTGCGCTCTGCGACTTCAGGCGGTGAGTGCGCTCTGCGACTTCAGGCGGTGAGTGCACACTGCGACTTCAGGCGGTGAGTGTGCTCTGCGATTTCAGGTGGTGAGTGCGCACTGCGATTTCAGGCGGTGAGTGCGGACTGCGACTTCAGGCGGTGAGTGCGCTCTGCGATTTCAGGCGGTGAGTGCGCACTGCGATTTCAGGCGGTGAGTGCACTCTGCGACTTCAGGTGGTGAGTGTGGACTGCGAGTTCAGGAGGTGAGTGCGCACTTCGATTGAGGGCAGTGAGTGCGCTCTGCGACTTCAGGCGATGAGTGCCCTCTGCAATTTCAGGCGGTGAGTGCGGACTGCGATTTCAGGCGGTGAGTGCGGACTGCAATTTCAGGAGGCGAGTGCGCACTGCGATTTCAGGAGGTGAGTGTGCACTGCGATTTCCGTCGGTGATTGTTCTCTGCGACTTCAGGCGGTGAGTACACTCTGCGATTTCAGACGGTGAGTGTGCACAGTGATTTCAGGCGGTGAGTGTGCACAGTGATTTCAGGCGGTGATTGCGGACTGCGAATTCAGGCGGTGAGTGCGCACTGCGATTTCAGGCGGTGAGTGCACTCTGCGACTTCAGGTGGTGAGTGTGGACTGCGATTTCAGGAGGTGAGTGCGCACTTCAATTGAGGGCAGTGAGTGCGCTCTGCGACTTCAGGCGATGAGTGCCCTCTGCAATTTCAGGCGGTGAGTGCGGACTGCGATTTCAGGCGGTGAGTGCGGACTGCGATTTCAGGAGGCGAGTGCGCACTGCGATTTCAGGAGGTGAGTGTGCACTGCGATTTCCGTCGGTGAGTGTTCTCTGCGACTTCAGGCGGTGAGTACACTCTGCGATTTCAGACGGTGAGTGTGCACAGTGATTTCAGGCGGTGAGTGTGCACAATGATTTCAGGCGGTGATTGCGGACTGCGAATTCAGGCGGTGAGTGCCCACTGCGATTTCAGTCGGTGAGTGTGCATTGCGATTTCAGGCGGTGAGTGCGGACTGCGATTTCAGGAGGTGACTGCAGGCTGCGATTTCACTTGGGAATGCAGGCAGGGGGCGCGGGCTGGGAGTGCAGGCAATGGGCATGGGCTGGGAGTGTAAGCAGGGGGCGCAGGCTGTGAGTTCAGGCAGGTGGCTCAAGCTGAGAGTGCAGGCAGGGGGTACAGGTTTGCAGTGCGGGCTGGAAGTGAAAGCTGTGAGTGCAGGCTGGGTGTCAGGATTAGGGTAACCCCTATACATACAAAATAGAAGGAAGAACAGGATACGGATACTGGACCTTGGAGTGGCCGGACTTAACGTATGCCTAAAAATGCAAGAAATCTGTAACAAACTCCTTGTATTACCTATACTCCGTTCGTTCATATACTCCCGAAATGCTAGAGGCTTAAGTGATTATAGCCCGTTCGGATAGTACGCTGATTCGTACTCTCCCGAAATCCTAAGTGTGACGGACTGCCTGGACCCCCTGACCGGGTACCTCTGTCAACCACTGTTTCCTAGCACTATATAATTCGAGCACCATAAGCACTGCACTATCATAACCACTGTAATTCCTACAAACCGACACAGCTTGGTTGGGGTCTCGTTGCCCTCCACCCACCCTGGACCCAAGACCAGCATCCAGCTTCCAGTGGGTAGACCTCTGCTATTCGGTACTTTGGTGCATTCGACAGAGGGGAACGATTGCTGCTAAGAGCCAGGGGGATCCATTCGGTACTTTGTTCGCTTTTCTCCTTTTTCTAAAGTGACCGGCAAAACCCACCAAACTCATGGAACTGTTTTGGGCATACAGCCCAGGGTGAGCCGGTCACAGAAGACCTCCATAGTTTTTGAGAACCCCTGAACCGATCTGGGTGAAATTCGGATATGTTGGTCACCCAGATCAGGGCTATCATGTTATTTGTGGGGATACTCAAAGTATAAAGGGGTGTTCCAGTTATTGGGGAAAAATTAGATTTTTATGCCTGGAAATAATCAAGTTATTATTTTATCAGACTTAATTATCTCCAGAGCTAGGGGAGGGAACTGTGGGTGTGTGTTATGTTTTTACAGTACGTGATATATGTGATATATATGTGATATGTGATTTCCGAGATATTATATGTGATACCCGGGATATTATATGTGATTCCCGAGATATTATATGTGATTCCCGGGATATTATATGTGATTTGCAGGATTTATATGCGATTTGCAGGATATTATATGTGATTCCCGGGTATTATATGTGATTTGCAGGATTTATATGCGATTTGCAGGATATTATATGTGATTCCCGGGTATTATATGTGATTCCCGAGATATTATATGTGATTCCCGGGATATTATATGTGATTCCCGGGTATTATATGTGATTCCCGAGATATTATATGTGATTCCCGGGATATTATATGTGATTTGCAGGATTTATATGCGATTTGCAGGATATTATATGTGATTCCCGGGTATTATATGTGATTTGCAGGATTTATATGCGATTTGCAGGATATTATATGTGATTCCCGGGTATTATATGTGATTTGCAGGATTTATATGCGATTTGCAGGATATTATATGTGATTCCCGGGTATTATGTGATTCCCGGTGATTTGCAGGATTTATATGCGATTTGCGGATATTATATGTGATTCCCGGGTATTATATGTGATTTGCAGGATTTATATGCGATTTGCAGGATATTATATGTGATTCCCGGGTATTATATGTGATTCCCGAGATATTATATGTGATTCCCGGGATATTATATGTGATTCCCGGGTATTATATGTGATTCCCGAGATATTATATGTGATTCCCGGGATATTATATGTGATTTGCAGGATTTATATGCGATTTGCAGGATATTATATGTGATTCCCGGGTATTATATGTGATTCCCGAGATATTATATGTGATTCCCGGGATATTATATGTGATTCCCGGGTATTATATGTGATTCCCGAGATATTATATGTGATTCCCGGGATATTATATGTGATTTGCAGGATTTATATGCGATTTGCAGGATATTATATGTGATTCCCGGGTATTATATGTGATTTGCAGGATTTATATGTGATTTGCAGGATATTATATGTGTATCCCATATATTTTGTATGATATGTTGGGATGTGTTTATTTCTGATCCTGTAACTTTCACGATAAACCTGTGCATGGGGGGGGGGCTGTATGTAGGAGACGGCGCTGAACACGTGGAATATGTGGATTTTATTACAGTAAAAACTAAGTTTTATAACATTCAGTCACCATGCAGAACATTTCTTAATTTCTCACATTTTGAGGACTAGGGTTATTAAGGGGTAGGACTAGGGTATTGTGTGCGATTTGCGGGATATTATATGTGATTTGCAGGATATTATTTGTGATTCCCGGGATATTATTTGTGATTCCCGCGATATTACATGTGATTTGCAGGATATTATATGCGATTTCCGGGATATTATATGTGATTCCCTGGATATTATATGTGATTCCCTGGATATTATATGTGATTTGCAGGATATTACATGTGATTCCCGGGATATTATATGTGATTCCCGGGATATATGTGATTTCTGGGATATTACATGTGATTTGCAGGATATTATATGTGATTTCTGGGATATTATATGTGATTCCCGGGATATTATATGTGATTCCCGGGATATTATA